TCTATCCACCTCATTGGTACTTTATTTCGTATGACAATATCAAAACTAACCACCTTTATACATGTGTAATTTTGAGGCTCTGGCGGAAACCACTTGAGTTTTTCTTGGATGGTACAGAAAAAGCTCACAATAAACAGGCGACTGCCAGGGTATGTTAGGTAGTAAAATGGTTTTTATGAGCAGAAATTATGTATCTGAAGTATTTTCAAACTTTTCTTGGCGTCCAGGGTTTATATTCAGGGGCCCTATAGGGAAACACAAAGGCAACAAACCTGCGCCCATTTCAAGGTCGGGCTTCTGCGTGTTTGGTTGAGTGAAGGTTAACGGGGTCGGGTCAACATGAGGATGAAATACTTGGACAAAAAAAACAGAAATGCATAATGACCTGCTGTCCAAAGCTGAAAGTAGCTCCTGGTTTTTGTTATCAGTTTTGTTGCCAGCAGCTGTAATTTCTGCTCTCCCTCTGAGGCATGCAGCCTGAAGCAAATTAGGTCTCAGGACAGTGTTGCAGAATACAATAGACAAGAAAACATTCATCACCGTGTGCACCTTCTCTGTATCCAGATTACAATGGTGCCGCCACAGCGACAAGCACCTGTTGCTAAGGCCACCGCCTTGTCTCGCAGAGAGCTGCCATGATGCCTCAGTGTTTTATAATTGCGGTAAAAAGCAAAACTACCTCCACCTGGGGCTTGGTGGGACGACCAGTTTTCATCAGATGCTGCACCGCCAGAGGCGTCTCTCTGTCCCAATCTGTTCTCTGAAGTCTCAAGTGGAAAGCAACTGGGGTAAAGATTTCCTCGGGCTTTTCTGAGAATGTGTTTGCAAATTTAGAAAAGAGGCTCTAACACTGAGGTAGAATTTATCGTGCACAAAAAGGAAAAGAGGGCAGTAATTTTAAAGGACATCATAGTTGGTCATTTATCAACAACACACCTGACTGCTCTTCTCAGACCTTCCATTAACGCTCGCCCGAAGCTCAGTCCTGTCATGGATTTAGCCAGAGATTAAGCCTTAAAATTGTTTAGTCTCTGGCACCCTGTGGAGGGTTATAATTACTAAGACATCATCGCCATAGGAGGTAAATGGGAAGGAACTGAAGGTTAAATGTGTTTCCACATGGCTGTGCCTCCTCTAAAAGGTAGGGATCATGCCTAAAAATAACCCAAATATGTAGATTATTAAAGACTGAGTTATTCATCACTCTCATATCCTAATCACTTCCTTACACAGCCGAGGGAATGGCATCCCACTGCTGGAACAAAAGCCTCTCATGTCTTTGAAAATGGAAATGCCACTGCCTTTCTCAGGGGATCATTCATCTGTGCACCTCTGTTTAAATTAACCGCCAGTGAATTCTTGATGTGGGAATTTATGTAGTTGCTTTACCAGAAAGAACACCACTAATGATATCACGTGTAAACATACCCCTAAAAGTCCAAGCTCAGCACATCCCCTCATGTACACAATCTGCTTGCAATGAAAGCAATCAATTTGTTATCGGCCGCGACAAAAGCCGTGTTGTTTCCTGTGTTTGCATTCATTAAAATGTTCCGTATCAAGGGACTTACTGTCGCTGATATCAGAGTCATCCCCTGAAAAATTAAAGCCCGTGCTTACAGAGCACATTAATTTGCAGTGATGGATTATTACTCTGGATAGTTGAACCTTTCAGCGGTGAACGCTCATGACATACCCAGTGGTTAATGATTAAACACAACAGACATGCTCCAAATATTTCCCAGTCATTAACAGTCGGTAAACATTGTCACTGCTATGGACCGCATTAAAGTTATTAAAAACAAAGTTACAGGAGAGCTCAGTCACGTAATCACACACATGGTGTTTGAAATTAATTGAAGTTGGTTCTCATTAATACAGACTAACAGTGTGAGTTTGCTGTGTGTCTGTTTCCCTATGAGTCTGTTTTAATCTGATACTGTCTGTCCTTTTCTTACTGCCGCAGATAGATATTCACGTAGGGGCCTCGTTCTGCTCAATGTGCATCCAAACTTCTGAATGCAAAAGTTTGCACTTAACAGTGGAACCAAAATGTATTGAGCTCCCCCTACTGGTTGGCTGCAGTATAGGTCATTAACCCTGCCCTCTAAGTGTTTCATGAGGTTTAAAACTGATAAAAAGTCCAGTATATTTTTTGAACTAAGGTCTAAATAAGGGCTGTAACAGAGGACCGAGTCAGAATCTTCCGATCAACATGTTTACATGACGCATTTTTATTCCGATCAGGCATTTATTCCGATAAATTGTGCCCATGTGAACGCAGCTATAGAAAGGTTCCTGGTTCAAATCCCAGGCCAGACAGGTGCCTTTCTGTATTAAGTTTGCAGGTTCTGTCAGGGACTCTTATTTCCTCCCAGAGTCCAATGACATGCCTGTTAAGTAAAATGGTGACTCTAAATCGACTGCAGGTGCGTGTAAATGGTTGTCTGTCTCTACATGTAAGCCCTCTGATAGACTAGACTCCCAAAACCCCATATGAGAAAAGAGGTCGATTTTTAAAAATGAGATTCATGTTTGGACTAGACTTTGACTAGAATATATCAGAAATACACTGCTCATGATTTTGTATTATAACAAAGCTTTTACTGAGATAACTCTGTGGTGATTTCTCGTAAATTCTGGTTGATTAATAATCGTTACGGCATCTGGGACTTTCCAGAAATATAAATGTACACTGAAGTGCATTTAGCTTTTAGACGGTGCAGCTGTCCACTATACTTCAAAGTGAAAGAGAGGCAAATCTAAGTTATTAATTATTTAACAACCTCATTTAAATAGCTAATGCATCTGGTAGAGTTTGATTCCTGTTTTTTTTTTTATTGTTTTCTAGAAAGTAGACATCGCCCAAACAGTTTCTGTTTTGTCTGTATGTCTATGATGATAAGAGCACAGGTGTTAGATTGACTAATATTTGGTTAAATTTGGCTGGAAACCATACGGATAGACGACAGCCTTTCATTTTCATGTCTCTTAGAGATATTGGATGGCATGTCTGTCTTGTCCTCTGAAGTTTTGCTGTTAAAATAAATGCGAAAATATTCTGAGAATCCAAAACTTGCCACGACAGGCCTGTGTGAAAGATCAGCTTTGAGGGGAGCCGGTCTGTATATTCTTACCTCTCAATTGAAACAAGTCCTGCTCTTTTCAAAGAACCCCATTCCCTCTGCCATCCTCTATTGCACTTTATATAACCACTTAAGTCTGTCCTTACAATAACAGGCTGCCTTCTCCTGCTCGCAGCAGCTGTTGCAGACCGAGAGTTCACACCCACATAACACATGCTCGTCCGCTCACGATAAAAAATCATATCAATGAATAAATATTAGATTCCTGTTGATCTTTGAAAAACATGAAAAAAAACTGGTCATTTCTATCATTTCTGTGAAAACTAAACATGACCCCCAATTCCATATTGGCACTTTTTTATGTTGCTGCACATGGTGGTCAAATAGAGTTGTATTTGGTTGTGCAACTCTGCCAACAGTATGGTCAAAGAAACAATGTGTGCAAACACGATAGACTAGCTCCAAGCAAATAAACCTGCTGTATGCGGCACATCCTGAAAATGCATATTACTGTACCTTAAAGTAATCACTATGTGGCAAACACGGGCTTAATGTTTGCTGTACTGTATGAATATATATACATACCAAAATAGAAATAATTCATGAATACTAATGCATGTGGAGGCTGACGTGTTGGTGAGATTTACAGTAAGGGAGAAATAAATTATGCGTGTATTACAAGGACATGCAGGTTGCCATAACTACTGTGCTGCAAAAGATGTATTATGTAGAGAAAAGGTTTCGTCTAACAACAATGATCACGGGGTGCAATCAAAACTAGTTCTAGAGACAGTTTTTTCATCCACCTGATGGGTAAAGTGTCAAAGCAAACCCATTCACACAAGGGGGTTCTTCTTACAAACTTGTTACATGCGAGCAATCTTCTCCGTACTCCCAGGAAAAAAAAGCGATTTTCTGGACAATAGCTGTGACATGCAGGTCTTCTTAAGTGAGACCCCCGAAGATCCAACAGATGTCCTGTAAATGCACTGTGATGGAGGGTAATGTGTTTCAGTCAATGCACTTCGACACTGACATAAAATGAAAAGGCACCTTGCTTCTCTTTTTCCCTTTGGTCTCACATAACCGTGAAGATTTATGGGTATGAGGAGCAACAGGGTGGAATGAAACAAGCTGCTTTCTATCCATGATAAAGTCGTTCTGGAGTTTATTGGCGTCGCAAGGACATTTTTCAAACAATGGTCGACTACTTCTGTGACTTGTTTTTGTTTGTCGTGTCGATTCAAGATTAGAGAATTCATTTTAAAGAGTTTTACATGTCATCTCATGAACATATAATTGGTTAAACAATTCATTAAATAGCTGCTGTAGTGCTCAATCTAGTTTATGGCCCTCAGAGGATGAATCGATCAGACTCATGACATTATTCTGAGGTAACCATTAGCACCACTAGCAGGTAATTTTTTAAAGGGCATTGAATCTTATAAACATAAAAGTGAAATAATAACTGAAATCTGGAAAAGACATCAATTCAAGGTCCACTGAGGATACTTAAAATTAAATAAATAAAACCCAGAAATGTGCGTAATAACCTTACTTGTACCTTTTGTTAGTAAAACTTTGATGACACTTCACAATAACCGTAATTTATAAATGGTAAAAAGATAGTTTATTAATGTTTAATGATTATTTAAAAATAGCATATAGACCAATTATCAATGTCAAATAGATAGTTTATTAATGTAAGTTAATAGTTACTTTACCAATAAAAAGCAATGAAACCATGATTAATAATTTTCATCAATTATTAATGGACTTTTTATTAAAGGTTGATATAGGGTTTAAATATTGGTTGTAAAACATCTAGATTAAAATATGTGTCAGTAGCGCTTTGTAAAAGGTTAATATTTGGTTTATAAATCACCTATAAACATAACTAAGATGCTTATTGTAAGGTTAGGGTTAGGGTTATGTTTTTAAAATTGTAAAATTTATAATTTATTAATGGTCTATATGCTATTTATAAATGATTAAACATTCATTAACTATCTGCTTACCATTTATAAATGGTCTATTTACCATGTATAAGTTATGGTTACTGTAAAAGTGTTACCAAAACTTTTCACCCATCTGATGAAATGTCACAGAGCTTTTGATTCAACAATCATTCAGTCATGGTACCCTGAGGATGCACCCAATGATTTTGGTGATACATGACTTTTTCTCTCGTAACACCAAGTGGCTCATTATGATTCTGAAAGATACACCAAAACTGGCCATTTACTTGTACAACATTTATTTTGTAAGTAAGAAAACATTGATATGCAAATGTATTGAATGAAAAATATGAGAATGGTAACCTTTACTGCTGTTTGATTTAGATATTTTACCCATTTTAAATGCCATTTAAAATCGCTTATATGCAACAGAAATTATGGCAGGGCTTTGGCACATTCACATAAACTCATAATTTCTTATCCAATCTTCATAAAACCTCTAAGAAACTTTTGTTTATGTCATTCCCAAGAATGCAAATTGTATCTTCATTTCCATTTGTACAGATTTTTGACATCAGCATTAAAAGCATCTGTGGTCGCTGGCTGCTGACGCTGCTGAGCTTTCTGAATATATTAAAGATGCAGGATATACATCAGGCCAGTTGGTTATCAGCCTGATAAAGGGGACTTTATTACCCCCTCAATCAGGGAGATTAGTGGTTTGAGCCCGGCTCCAAAAGCCACATAACAAAGTGTCCTTGGGCAAGACACTAAACCCCAAATTGTTCCTAGTTGCATCGCCAGTGGTGTGTGAATGAATGACATTACTTTAATGCTAATGATCCCATACTGTAGCAGGCCCTGCTATCAGTGTATCAATATGGCATGAATGGATGAATGTGGCAAGTGCTTTTCTCGGGCAGAAAGACTGGAAAAGAGCTTCAGTACAAGTTTATTTACCAAGTTATTTAACAATATTGGTAAAAAAAACTACTGATAAAAGTTGTTTATAAGTTTTGAACATGATGATTCATGATCTGAAAATGATTGTGTATGTAAATACAGCACTGTATGGAGAGACGTTACAGATCTACACATACTAGAATATGTTAAATAGGATAATCAAAATAGATCTAGCTTTTAGATATCTGTGCTGTGTCACACGTCTCAGGATTCTGGCTGGACATTGACCCATCAGCTGATAGAAACAACCTCTGATTGGTTGACAGACCAAATAGAACAGATGGTAGTGTTTCTCTTGCGCAATTAACTACTAAGAGAAATAATATGATTACACTAAAATAAATGCAAAAAATATCAGATTACTTTCTTTTTTGAGATTAGATGGATGCAGACAGTCGCTGAAATTAAACTAATCGTCTCTGTTGGATAGAAAAGCTCCGTAAATTCTTTACCTATCAGTAAAGTTGTAAAAACACAAAATCTATTACTGATAGGTAAAGAATTTTACAGTAAGTTTCTGTTATATGCCTTATTTAAGTAGCTGAAACTGTAAATACTACAGTATTTTGTTGTATAGTAGTACAGGGTAGACTAAACTAATTACCCACTCAGAGTGAAAGGCAACCCTACTTTTTCAGATGTATTTTAGGAGGGAAACATCTTATGTTTGGTCAGCACAGTCAGAATTAGTAGTCTTGAAACCCCCTTGGATTACAGTAAATTAAAAAAAGATAGTAATTAGAGTAGACAGAGGTGTTTTTATTTTGTGATTGTAGAATGGAGATACAGATTGGATATATAGTCATGTTAGTGATCAATTCACTGTGATGAATCGGCTGCTGTTTTTTGGTCATGTTTTAATGAAAATATGAATATCATCAAGTTCATTTAAGATAAACTGCACATTTTAAAGGACACAAATGTAACAGCACATTTAGATTGTTTTGGTAATGGCCATTAGGAACAGGTTATCTACATCATGCATCCTCGGTTTATCTCTCAAACTAACAAGATGAAACAAAAGCACAGTGAAATCTACAGAACATATGAGGTAACACCCCACTGTATCGTCTCATTATGGTCTCTATTTACAGTCCTGACAGCTCCTGTTTGAAGAAGAAGAAGTTCCCTCACTGAAACAAACCAGATCAGACGTAATCGCTAAGACCCTCAGGAAACATATCGCACATTTCAGAGTCATTTTAATTTTTGAGGAAACATTTCCGATGCACCAATGCAATAGGATGAAAAGAATACATCTAGTATGTTGGTTTACTAATGAATCTTTAATGGGAAATATATTTGCTGCAAATAACTCTCGTCAGACACGCCGTTTGCTGCAAATAACTGCGCCGGAGACGGAACAAAAGAGACCCTGTTACAGACACATCACTGGGTCCCTCTCATCTAAAGCACCGTGATTCATCATACTGAGTAATATGATACTCACACATTTGCATATTTGATTCTAATGTGCTGTTTGTTTACGGTAATGAGCACTTGTAATTGGATTTTAATTCATTATAGCAGAAATGGCCTGTTGGCGGGACAGGTTTTTGTAGCGTCTACGTCAGTGAAGGTATCAATCTTCATGTCGGTGCTGTAAGGTGTCTCTCGTTTCCAGAGGAGCCTTGAACTAATCGGATTTGTGCACTTGCAGCGTCTCTTTAAAGGGCTGTTTAGGGTTGTCTGTGACTCAGCTCAATCAAATCTAATTGTTCAGCTCTCACTTTAAGTGTCTCCCACATTGTGTTGCCATTCATGCATCATTTGTATGTACAATAAATCCTCCAGCGGTGCTCAGGCGTTGTAGCGGCACAGCTCCCAGCAACTGGTAGATGAATATCTCTCAGTCGTCCCCGTCCTGAAGACCACTGGAGAGTTTCAGCCACATCAATGGCGGGCAACCAGGAGAAGGACATTGTGCTGGGTAAATTAAATCATTGTCTCAGACTGCTTTAGTCGCAAAAGAAATTGTATTTCGACCAACTGGGAGAATTCAGACTGAGATAACCAGAATGAGTTTCCAGTAATGGTAAGGAGAAATGGCGAGGATTCATATTTAAGAGAATGAACAATAGGAATCTCATTTGGTTTCAGCTGTGTGATCCAAATTTTCATGACGAAAGCAGATTTAAAGTTTGAAATTTGGAAAACTTCTTAACCCAGGGACCATATTCATCGAATCCATCTGATATTACTTAAAATGGAGAAATTGATATTTTTAATAGTTATGTTTTAAAAATGTAAAAGTATGTTTTGTGATAACATCAAAAACTTGTGAGCACAAGAGACCCCAACTGAACCTCATGTTCACACTGTAAGTGCAGATTCAGACACTTTGAAGCAACAAAATTAACTGAGCTTAAATGAGCAACGAGATAATGAAGTTAACTCTTGAGAACATTAAAAGGTTTTAAATTTGTGAGTCTAATTCCACTCAAAATCACAGCTCTGAGACTTCTCTAATTAAAGCATTTACAGCATTCCTGGTACTGTTCAATCAATGGTGCAGCTTATTAAACTACTTTACAGAGTGGGGAACTGGGTGTGACTTTCTGACACAGTACGGTTCGTCTTGTATTCAGGGTGATACAATAACTTCACATCTGAGCAGACATAGATTCAATGTGGAGTACCCCAAGGCTCCACTCCGGGGCCTCTTTTGTTTAACATCTCTATGCTTCCACAGGCTCAGGTTTTAGAAACAAAAGGTCACAGTAACTATGCAAAGAACACGTTACCCAGAGACCATGGTGTTGTACAGACCAAATCAATAAGTGAATGTACCTTAAAGGGATATTCCGGCATAAAATTAATTAAGGGTCAATTACTGTAACACCGAGTTAGACACCCTCTCGAGAGATGAATGTTGCCGACTGCTTGCTTCTCTAGTTATACCAACTTTAGTAATGACCGCACGATAGCAATACACAGCGGTCTGAGGAGCCATAAACAAACCTCAACCAAAACGCCACTCTATAGCCACACCGCGGTAGTTCTTCTGCCTAAACGTCTCAGTCTGATTGCATTTCCATGAAGAAATGATCATAAATGTTCTTCCTTGAGCTGCGTCACCCCGCAGCGGTCTGTAATGGACTGGCCTGAGGTCTCGCTACAAACAAGCGGCTGCTGGAAGAGAGTCGGTGAGTTGTGTTTAGTCTCTTTGCTAAAGAAATCAGGCAAAGTTAAAAAGATGTTTGGTGGCTAGTACTGTGGCTAGGACCCTATATGTACTGATGATAAAGTTAGGTGCTGTTCTGAGCATTATTTGTGGCTATAGAGTGGCGTTTTGGTTGAGGTTTGTTTATGGCTCCTCAGACCGCTGTGTATTGCTATTCTGCGGTCATTACTAAAGTTGGTATAACTAGAGAAGCAAGCGGTCGGCAACATTCATCTCTCGAGGGGGTGTCTAACTCGGTGTTTGACCCCGGAATATCCCTTAAATGTCCTCAAAACATACACATTCAAATCAAACATAATAATTTTAGAGTTACAGAGGAGGGGTTAAAGGTCAGCTTTGGTCATTACAGCTAAAAACTGCTGAGAAAGCCAGAAATCTGGGTGTGGTTATGGACTGAGACCAAATTTTTATAAACCACATGAAGATCATTACAAAGTCAGCCAACTGTCAACTCAAGTTGACTTGATGACTGTAACAGAGTTTTATAGGTCTCCCTCAAAATCCAGACAACTCCAGCTGACTCAGAACGCTGCTGCGAGAGTCCCGAGACCAAGAAAGTGGACCACATCTCCTCAGTTTTGGACATTGGATCCCTGTTTGTCAGAGAGATGGTTTATGAATACTACAGCTGAATGATTTACAGCATTACGTGAGTATCATCTTCTCAAACAGATAGAACAGCCAGACAGCTGTGGTCCAGGACAGGTCTGCTTTCTGTCCCAGAGTCAGAACCAAATGTTGGAAAACAGCATTCAGTTTTTATGCTCTGTGTCTGGAACAATGTCTGCTCTACTGAAACTCTCAGGTTGAAAACTGGTTTGTTCACAGCTGCTTTTTTTTTTAGATTATTCTTAAAAATTATGTGAATATGTGTTTTAATCAAACAACAATATACTGCCACTTTTATGCTTCCAATTTGGTGCTGTAATATCGAATCTTATTACTCTAAATTTCCCTTTAAATGGATTTTAAATATTTTCTTTCAGTGTTTTTATTCTAAGTTTTATAACAGTTCTTTTAGTGTCTTGTGTGACAAACTTACAAGGAGTATTAAAGTATTTTTTCATCTCTGAACCAGTGAAATCATCTTTAAATCAATATTTTCCCTCAGTAGATTTCTGTGCCCCCATTTTTCTTGTTTGCCACATATCCAAGTCGTGTTTTCTGAAACAGCAGTCACACGCAGCTGCAGTCAATCTGTCAGAGAAACAGCCTGAACAAAGACAGCCAAACTCTGTTTTTCCACTTGTTGTGATCAATGGGTGGACACAGCTGACATTTACTTGAAAGTGCTTTGAAAGGTTTATTGAAATGTTCACGTAGATGCGCAGCCCTCGATTAAACTTTGTGAAAACTTTTCTGTGATGAGCTGCTCTAGAAAAAGTCGTCTAAGTCATGACTCCGGTTCAAAATTCAGGAAACACTTAAAAAGCCGAACACGCACCAAGAAGATGAAGAGTCGAGTATATATTTGATCCACCTCTTTCTAAAGCACCTTGGAAGTCACCTTTTAAGGCTGTTTTATTACTTCTTTTAATGCATTCAACTTTCTGTTTCTTTTTGTGTCAGAATCAGGGACAAATCTCTTTTTCATATACTTTTATATAATCTCTGCTTTTTTTCTCGACTGCTTTCAAACATTTATAAAAATCTCGCCTGAGTGTTAAAATCACTTATTTAGAAAACCTCACCACATCTCCCGGTTCGGATTTGATCTCCTGAAGGCCTGCGCACAAAAGCACACACACTTTTCTCTTCCATTTTCCAGAGAACAAAATGGTCTGAACTCCCATCCTCTTAACAAGAGTGAGCTGAAGCTCAGAGTGCAATATCAAACCGGCAGCTCTTACTCCCAGCTCATGTTGCCATGGCGATAAAGGGTGAATCCATAGTTTCTTCCCTTTGCCGGGTAACTAATTCGGTTATTCCGACGTGAGAGATGGACTCCGTCAGTTATACAGTCGGGCTGCAGAGACCACAATGAAAAGAGAATTAAATTCTAAATATAAATCTGTTCACTCACTTCATACAGCGTGATTGAAAGACACAGAGTAAGAGGAAGTGAAAGTGTAGAGAGCTGCAAACATCATGTTTAAGACTTAATAAATTAGCACTTATCTTCTCATTTTCTACTCTTGCAAGCGGAAAAACAACTCTCAGTTTTAACAGAAGCTACTGTCCTAACAGCATTTTGAAAAATGTTTTTAAAGTCTGTTTTCCTCTTTACGTTGTTTGAGACCTAGTGCATAACTTAAACAGTAATGCCAGAGTACACTGATTTTACAATGACTGACATAGATATTTGGAAAATAGTGAGTTTTTTCCAATCTATCCAGTCCCATCTGTCCACTGATAAAGGCTTTTTAACGGGCCAAAGGAATGTGTCGTTCATTAACGTTTCATTCAAAAGAATAGAAATGCTGAGTGAACAACGTGAACGGAATCACTCCGAGACCTGATTCGTTCCTTTCTCAGTTCGGTTGCATGCCGATCGGGAGAGGAACTGCCGCTTTTGACTCTTTGACGAACGACACACAGATTTGTATCAGTGAGTCTGGGAACGACATGGTGAACGAAACGAACGACCTCCGAATGACTTGAGGTGGGCAGAGGAGGGAGGGGTGTCGCGTCGTTCAATTACTGCCAAGCAACAGTGCATTATAGTGCCTTTACATTAACACACATTTATAAACTTTCCTGCAAGAGGGATTTAATTTCAGCCGATTTAAAGCAATAAGCTATTTGATATATTTAAAAGTAGCAGAACAACATGTGTCACCCAGCAAACGATGACGTGACTTCAGCAGCAGGGGAGGGGAGGGGCTTGTTCAATGAACGAACTCGCGGCTGTGTCACTCACTGGTGTACTGCACCGGCAGGATGGGGCTCTGAAGCACTGACTGATTCAGTGAATGAATCTTTTAAAATCGTTATAATGAACAGATTCTAAAGATTCAGTTCAGTCAAAAGAACTGTTCTTCCCATCACTACTCCAAAGCAGGTGTCCAAATATTGGTGTTATGGTCTAATCTCCTTATTCCTGTTTTCTGATCAAAAATGCAAGTTAAAGAAGCTGAACATTAAGCTTCCATTCTAATCACATCTTCCATTTTTTAGCGATTCTAAAATGCACTTGCCCTTTAGAGTCATCTGTACATGATGGTTGATGGAGTGGTACTGTAAGCAAAAGGAGCCCAGAGATGTTAACAGTTCAACTACATGTTCTCCAGAGCAAAGTGCCATATGGGAAGAAGAGCTCCAGCGGTGCTCCATATGCTCAGAAAACAAGGACGGCTCATAAATGTTGGATGTGAAAATGCAGAAGTTCCATTTCATGTTAAATAATGTCGAATTAAAAGCACCACTGTCACGTATTTCCTGCTGTTCGTCTGCAGATATATGCTCTCTGAAGAAAGAGTATAGCTCTATATTATATAGATGATCTGAACATGAGATAAAAAGCTTGACACACTGCCCTACTTACTAGGTCTGTGACAAAGGCAGCACTTAAAGAACAATTTCTCGCCTTTACTTTAGTGGAAACAAAGGCTTCCTTTTACACTGTGAGAGTACTTTGAGTTAAAGCCAACATATCTGTTTGTATTAAAAAGTCAATGCTGTGGCTGAAATACACTTTTTCTGATGCATTAAGGGCCTGTGTCACATACTGAGGTCTGATTGGTTGAAATTATTTGAATTCTGATTGGTTGAAAATCCTATAATAATGGTAATTAATCCTAAACAGCAACACAAGGTCACATATCTTGTATGAAATCAGTATCTGGAGAGAAATCTAGCATGTTTTATCTCTGCCTGCTGGTCTTAAGTGTAAGAATATTATCCAGACCTTTCAAAATATCATGCTGGCATTAAAATGTACTTTTACTCCTTAGTTCTTCTGGTGCTGACTAGCTAGGGGGGTAATCTTTGAGCATTTCTTCAACTAATGCTGCTTTCAAGTTATCTCAGACGTCGGAAGTTGGAGCTGTGAATGACACTACTCCCGAGTTGACAGCGTTCCAGTAAACAAGTCGCAAAACCAAGATGGACGCCCACTGTTAGCCATTGTCAGCTGTTGTTAGCTATACCAGTAATCAACAACACATAACACAGTATTTTACTCTTACAAACACCATAGCACCGTGTTCACAGTTGGGCAGTCTTGGTCTCGAGACCATTTTTGAGGGTCTTGGTGTCGTCTCAGAATCCACGGCATTTTCACCCAGTCTTGTCTCTGTTTCAGTCCTTTCTTGTCTCTGTAATGTCTTGGTCTCGGTTGGTGCGGTCTTGACTACAACACTATCACCCACTATTATCCCTTTCTCTTTAAGCTGGCAGTGCCAATGTCTATTCAAAATCAGAGCAGGTTACCATCTTCAGCTCTCACTATTTTGATACAAATTTTCCAATTCCAGTGTTTTCATTCAACATCAGCGTGCCATTCTTACCTTTCAATGCTGATTGTAGATTAGTTAATTTCAGCCTCCAGTCACTCCCTTTCATTACATGTCATTGTTAGATGACAAAGAACTACACAATCAGAATAGCCAAGGAGAGAAAAAGACGGGAACACTTAAGGATTTCTTTGTAGTCGACATGATGTTAGAAAATGCATCTCCTGGACAGCGTGTTGGGGACATGGATGCACCAGCGACAAAGAAGGCTCACAGTTTGCAGAGAGAGTGGCTGAAAGAATTTTAATGGCTCCACTATGAAAATGACACTATACACTTGCTGCAACCACTCCTGTATTCGCTCATTTTTTTTATTATTAATAACAGAAATCTCAGTTCATGTATTGTAGTTGTGATGCTCTTTAATTTTCAGTGGGTAATCCTACATTTTTGATGGTGCTTATAACTTTTTGAAGTTGGGAGCAGCTGGGGTGTGGCGTTCAATGTCGAATTCAAATTGGACCCCAAGCCGAAGAACGAGAACCATAGAAATGCAGCTTTTATACCAGACAGACATATTCCCTGTAGCCCAAAATGTACACCAATAAACAAAGCATTTTATCATAGTACATGATTGGGATGCAGCTCATTTAGCAACTTGTCATTTTGTCATTGTCTGCTATGATTTTCTCAGCAGGACGCTGCATGAAAAGATGGAATATTTGAGGATATTTGGTTTTTAATTATTTAAAGTCCTATCATCAAAGTAGTCAGTCATAACCGGTGCACACATAGTTTACTAATCAGGATTTTTGTCATAAAACAAGTAAAATAGAATATCTGAAAATGTCACATCTTAAAATACATGATTTTGACTGAAGGTAATGTGACCAAATCAGTGACACAATCCTTTCAGACAGATCCAGATATGCTCCACATTTGAAAAAGCTGTATTCTGACAATATCCAGCCCATTTCATCAGATTTGGGTCATATCTCAAAAGAAACATCCGTGGATTCAGTGGCATTTTGTGCATTGGGAACAGATATGTAACTACGGCTCTAAGATGTGATCTGGTACCAAATAAAGGTGAAATGTAGGATTTAATCTCAGTGTTACTTTCTTAGTTTTTCAATGATCCCTCAAAAACCTTTAAAGAAAATCCTGAAGCTCAGAAATCTTGATGGAAAACTCCAAATAAATGTGCTAATGAAGAACTAAACAAAAAAAAAAACTGTGCAGGTAAAAAATGAGGATCCATGTGAAAAAGCATGAGGAAAAAAAAGGTATTGATTGAAAAGTTGTCAGACAGATGTACTGCCAGTAAAACTCCCCACACTCTCCGTTAAATCTTTCAAAACAGACAACTCTCTCTTCCAACTCTTGCCAAAAAAATGATGATTAATCTCCCCTCTCATATCCAGAAATCTCCCGGTGATTGAAAAACAAACTGACTGCAAATCTTTGAGTCAATATTCAGACATTTAGCTCATAAATCAGACAGTAGCTGTACATACAGTGTTGTTCGAGTGGCCAGATGGACTCATCATATCCTCAAATTAAATTAATCAAGACAAAGGACAAAAAAAAAAAAAGCACTTGGAAGTCATGATTAAGAAACGCCAGGACAGATTCAGGGAAGTAATTTTATTAAAGGCCAAGAGTCCTTGAAACGGCCTTTCGGTATTACACTCCATATCTGAAATTACAGATCAAAAGCCATGAATGAATGATTTCTCTGTGACCTGGGTCTGTGGAGACGGCGCTCTCACAAAGGCCGGTGGAGGAGCTTGAAGATGAAGAACACTTGATACCGGCCCCCCGCTGCACACCGCACACACTCTGAAGGAGGCAGCGACAGCGGTCTGCTGCTCCCTGGGTGCACTTAAATCATCTACCCTGATAAAGACGCCGCTAGATGGGAGCCTCATTGGAATTTTAAAACCGCAACCATAAACAAGGCGTATGCTACTTTTAGAGGTGGCAGCGGCAGGCGTAGCATGAGCTATTACTCCAGGGTCTTACCGCTAACTGGCCGGCAGTCCTTGTTTCTCCTCAATTATACTGCAGCCATTTCTCCCAGTTGTGAAACAGGAAAGAGCATTTCCCCGCATGGAGCTTTACAATACTGCGCTTGCATACATTAGCAGGGCGCGCTGTCTTTAAGGAGCGTGTGCCGGCATGAGGATTCAGGGAAAACTCCCGCACTTTGGATACAAGGTGTAACTCTGTGATAGCAAAGAGGAAGATACGGCAAGTGTGACAATCTACATGTGCAGCTGCCACCTCAGCTGCGTGGGATTAATAAGAAATGAATAAATAAAGTTTTTTTGTTTTTTTTTTTCCTTGCAACCTCACCCCGAGGGACGTTATCAGTGTAACAGGGCCCGGCTTCACGTCGCTCTAAAATGTCAGCCACGCAGACCCGCGCCGCTGTCCATTCTTAATGATGCAAAACACCAATCAGGCTCGCTCTCTACCTGCCAGCTTCAGAGTCTTCCCTCCAGAAATACACAATAGGCAGAGGGCGGATCTATGCGAGGAGAGGATGAAAAGACGACAGGAGGAAAAAAGGGGGTGGTGGTTGCAGAGCTGACATGAAACATTTAAGAATGAGGCGCACTGTTGCACGCTTGCGGTCCACCTCCACTCTGAGATGATGTACTTTTACAGCCCAGTCTGTCTACTCTGAATGTACAAACAGGCAGTGGGATGTAGGATTGCTAATTTGGGAAGCGTGCGGCACGTCTGGGACAACACCGTCGTCACTGGGAGAGTAATGAGCGCCGTTATAAATTGGCTGAAATGAGAGGATGAGACACGGGTTTCCAAAAGCTTTAATCATTCCATTTTGTCAGGATTGAGGTGTGTCTCCGTCTCCTCCTCCTTCTCCTCCTACTCCTGTCTCATCCCTGATTCAGGCCAACTTAAAGGAACGCCGTTGGTTGCTATTTCCAGCACACGAGCGTCTCCGGTTGAGAAACAGCTGGGTGGAATTATGTTGCGAGTGTTGTCAAAGAGGAGGAATGACCAAATTAGAGCTCTAAATCTTCAACTCCTCCTGAAGACGTGTTCTCTGTGCACAAACACAGGGTTATGTACGATCCCGGAGGATGTAGAGCGGTGAGGGCGGTTATAAATGTAAAGCGGTTGTGTTACGAAGCGTGCAGGATGACCCTGTGATTACAGACCAGACCAGTTCAGATTTGAAACATGGAGGTCTGACTCTGGGATGATCACTGAAGACTTAAAATAATCATAAAATATCATAGTAATGATTTTTTTTAAAAGACTGGAAACGAGTAGCATGGAGGTGAAACACTGATGTTTAAAAAATTTAAAAAAGATACAGCTGCAACTCCAGATACCTGTCTCTTATCACCTGATCTGCAGCGAGGCCACAGAAATAAACCTGAAATTAATGACTCTGCTTTGCATGAACTATCTCAAAATAACTTGTGCAAACTAAAACCTTCAACACTTAATTTCTTCTCTTTTTAGGATCACTTCAAAATATTGACATCAGACAACATCTGTCTTGTTTGTGAGAACAGGAGGTACAGTTTCAGGTTAATGGGGAAAGTTGGTGAAAGTACAAAATTAAAATACTTGCAGAGAGAAACGTGACGAGAACATTGTGCTGTCAGTGTTTGAGGAGGAAACAGAGGTTCAGCCATTTACTGGTATGGCATTTACCATCTACTTTAACTAGGACATGGTGTTCAGGTTCTTCATCCACCACTGTTTTTTTTTTTAACTTTGATATTTCTTGGTTTTGGCCGCCCTGATATCCAAAGCCTTGATTGACTATTTGAGAGAGAAAAATCACTTTTCTCCTGCAGAGCTCCAGTAGATCTTTAGCAATTCACCTCTGAGTCGCAGGCGGAGACAGCGCTGCTCTGGACACTCCTCTTCACGCTAGCTTGTAGCCTAACATTGCCGGTGTAGTAGAAGAAACAAGTAACATAGGAGCTATTCAGCTCTTGGACACTATTGTCTTTAGGGGCATGATAAAAGCTAATATCATTATTAGCTTTTTTACGAGCATTGCAATCCGCTAACTAAAGGCTGTTTCGCATCTGTCAATTTTTTTGTCTGTAATTCACTGTATTATGTATTGACTGTTAATGAATGTAATTAATTGTACTATATGATGACTGTGTATCAGTGTCTGGACACCAGGAAGAATAGTCCTGACTAAGGTCAGAACTAACAGGGATCCATAATAAACAAACAAACACAGACGCTTGTTCCGCGGTCGTCCTCTCTATTTCTCCGAGCCTGACCTGCTTAGTGGGACTCGGGGGGCGGAGCTTGGATTGGTTACGTAGGAAATCTCACTGTTTCTGAACCTGCTGTTTGGGTCTGCCAGAGATTCACAGCAATTTGAATGAAGAAATACTCAGAGATGCAACTTCGCATTTAGTTTTCTCATGATATGTCCTCTAGTATCAGAAAAAATACATGAACATGTAAAAAACATGAAAAATGTGATTTACCTCGGAGTGGGTCTTTAAGAGTAAGTAGAAGTGATTCCCAGGTGTTTACCATGCTTGGCCATCCCTACAATACTCAAAAAAGTCTGGTTCTGCCTCTGTAACCATCTCCTCAGTACTCATTAAAAAAAATGACTCTGTTCCGCTGAAAGAAAGGTCATCACAAACATAAATCTCAGGGCGCCAGTTTGGCCTATAATGGTGAAACTCTGTGACCCACAAACAGAGGCTATCGGCAGAGGGTCCAGGTTCAGTTCTAATCCATCATCTCTTGGCCTCTCTGAGTAAAAGTATGAAAACAAAAGTCTAATACAAATTATCCCAGTGGACAAATCAGGTTTAAAGTTTAACAACTAAGTTTCCCAACCATGTCTGTTATTGTATCCCAACAAACAATAAAGACAAACACGTACATGAAAGCACTCTTTTGCTTCAAACTTGATTGAAAGATAACTTATTACAAATTATTACCACTACCTAGGGTGACCATACATCCTCTTTTAATAATAATAATAATTCATTTATTTAAAAGCGCCTTTCTGAGCACCCAAGGACACTTTACAGGGCATAAAAACACAGCTAGAAACATAATTAAAATAAATAAAAAACAACATACAGGTGTGAAAGTAGACAGTTAAAGTGAGTATGCGATTCGGAATAGGTGTGTTTTGAGATTTTACACGGACATGTCCTCTTTTTGGGGATGCTGTCCGGCCTTTTCCAAGGAAGTTTATAAAATCCTTCAAATGTCCGTGGGTCAAATGGGTTTGTATGGAAGTTTAGAGTTTCTGTCACGTGGTTAGATTTAGAAGTGTGTAAAAGACACTCGACCTGACCTAAAAAACTCTAAAAATTTACTACACGTGACTCCGTGACTCCACCCCCACGTAATTGTGTCCTCTTTTTGGGGTTTCAGAATATGGTCACCCTACTGTTACCATAGAAACGGCCCAATAATCAGTCACTTTTTAATGTTTTAAGTTAGAGAAGTTTTGAAAAAAAGCGTAGACCCTGCTGAAGTGCTTCATAGCAGGGCATTGAGCACAGATCTAAAACCACTGAGTTTTATCTGAACCTCTTCTTTGCTCTGCCCTAGAGATGAAATATACGACTGTCATGTAAAAAAAGCTGATTTGGTAAGTCATACTCAGTTTGAGTGACTCAGCTGTTTTAAAAATATTTTAAGTATAGTACGGCTTAGCAATCAGGACATTCATCCTCACTGATGCCACGATGCCTCTTTGTCAGTTTGACAGTCAGATATTCTTACGTTCCCTCATCATTATCCAAGACAATGCCACATCTTGTTTCAAGCAAACCGCTCAGTAGAAATATATATATATTTAGATAAAGAGAGCTATGTCAGAGGCTTTGAACATATAAATAAGCGGCCTATTTTAAGAAGCCGTCTTCCTCACATCATCCTTTCAGAGTCCTCTCAAACAGGAATTACTTGTGAAAGTCAAAGGTACTCTTTGACAGAAGAACAAGGTGCAATGTTGAATGTGCAAGACGGCAAATGTCAGACGGTTGTTTATCAGGAAAGATGCTGAACATCAGTGCTCTTTTGCTGCCTTTTTAGCTGCAGTATTTTCGTGCCATTGCTGAGGGAGCACCGTGGCGCTGCGAGGGATCAATTGATGCCTTTTTTTTTTTCTAAACGCGCTCGGTGAACGGCGTATTAACAGTGACGCTTTGTGATCACACATGCAACCTGAGATGCAAAAGACATGAGAAGTGTGAAAGTTCTTACCAACTTTTCTCCTGAAGTGTATTCTCAACATGGGAAGTCATTTTAAGTGTTAAAACCCCCAGAAAATATGAAGTTTGACTTTTGTTGCTCGTCTGGAATAAATGCATGATTTCAGTGCTTGCTGTGGGGGTGTTTTTCCATCTGCAGCTATCAGGTCATTGTAGTTTAGATATAAATATCAGATTTTACATTCAGTGGGTTTTAATTGGCTTTAAAAGTTATAGGGGGTCGTGCCATCTGTACACTTGGTGTGATGTTCTCCAAGTCCAAAGGGCCTTCGGCTGCCCCCCTAAAGATTGTGTGCTGACTCATTTTGCCAAGACTTATCTGGATCTTTGCTTTTCCTCCTGCATCCTTCCTGCACACAGAGTTCTGAATTAACAAGACTATGCAGATCAGTTTCATGTTAGAGTCAGTGTTTCTCAAAATGACTACAAAGGTCTGTGTGCTGAGCTGCTACAAAGTTGTTTGTATAAGTCGGTATATTTCTGACCCTTCATGAAGGCTTTAGGGGCTTCGACCTGAGCTACTGCGAGCTTGTTTCGAGGTTCTTAGCTTGGTTTGTTTTCCTTTACTTTCAGGTGTTTGTGTGGTTTATAAAGGGAGATCATTACTTTATCATTTCCTTGAAGTAATAATCATCATATTGATTATTTTGCACTGCAGATGCAGTAGTTCTTCTGCCTTAGCGTCTTGGTCTAATTGCATTTCCATGAAAAAAATTATCATAAATGTTCTTCCTTGAGCTGCGTCACCCCGCTGTAGTCCGTAATGGACTGTCCTGAGGTCTCACTACAAACAAGCGGCTGCTGGAAGAGAGTAGGTGAGTTGTGTTTAGTCTCTTTGCTAAAGAAATCAGGCAAAGTTAAAAAGATGTTTGGTGGCTAGTGCTATGGCTAGGACCCTATATGTCCTGTTGATGAAGTTAGGTGCTGTTCTGAGCATTATTTGTGGCTATAGAGTGGCGTTTTGGTTGAGGTTTGTTTATGGCTCCTCAGACCGCTGTGTATTGCCATCCTGTGCTTGTTACTAAAGTTGGTATAACTAGAGAAGCAAGCAGTCGGCAACATTCATCTCTCGACAGGGTGTCTAACTTGGTGTTTGACCCTAAATTGATTTTACACCAGAATAACCCTTTAAGGACTTTGGGGGCTGCATGCTGAGCTGCTGCTAACTTCCTTGTCAGTGCAAAGCCTATATTCAGTTCATGTTTGTTTTAAAAATCATGAGACTGGAAAATCTGCATTTCTCTTTATGAAGGTTTTATGAGGCTAAGAGCCGAGCTGCTATTAGCTTATTTTTGTGTACTTAGTTTGAGGTCATATTTGTACTCCTTCAATCTTAAGTAGTTTTGTAAAATTCTTTCCGTCTTCCTTAAAGGTCTTTAGGGACTGCAAGCTAAGGCCGCCTTTTGAACCATGCACTACTAACATACCAGGTGCTTCCTCTCCAATGCAGTACCATGCAGTTTTGAAGAATTTGCTCAGAGGTCTATCGATTCCTGTCTTTACTTATTTTCGTATAGACTTAACCTCTTTGGAGTGCCTTTTTTATACCCCACCATTAAACTAATCTAATGTAAATGATGTTAAAAATGGCTGAAAATAATCTTGAGGCTGGTTTTGCATGAATCTACCATCAATCCTGAAACAATCTAAGCTTCTTTCTTTGATTGTTTATCGTTCTGTTTCTAAAAAGTTAATCCCCTTCACAGCTGTTAATACTCCGTCAATTAGAAGGTGAGAATCACAGTGCATGACTTGTTGTCATGGCTGTCTGGCTAACCACTGATCATCCTCAGATCAAAGAATAACACAGACATTGATTTCAGTGCAACTGAATCTCCAGCTCTGGAACAACAAGTCAAGCGTGGGAGTCGACAGACAAAAACATTCTCTGTTCCTCAACCCTGTTCACCCTCAAACTGCCAAATGTACTTTCTGAAGGTATGTTTGTTTTATTTTTCTTTTTGGAGAATATGCAAATGTGTGCATTTGGACAGAAAAACAACCAGAGATCTCACAGTTCATCTGCCTAAGGTATCAAATCCTGCCTCGGTGCTGTAGGTCTGACAGAGGATGTACACAGGGGTGAACAAGGATTTTAAGTCTGGCGGTGAGCAAACCTTGAAATAGCTGCATCTCAAGTTCTGTGTTTGTTGTGTTTGTGGTGCACAGCAATAAACCCCAGAAAGGTAAATACTTTCCAAAGATGAAGAGGATACATCTGGATTGTTTTTCTGTTCCAGCAAACTCTGAACTCGCTTATTATCGTGGTCATAGCTGCTTTAGTCCTCAGGTTATGGACGCACAACTCAGCCTCTCGTATGCACTACAGTTGACCAGCTGGCCAAGAGATTGTTAAACTCGCTTTTTCAGCCAAATAAGATGCTGCTCCGCTCTAATCCGCCTGGCCCTTGTGTGTGCTCTTTGGCCTGAAAACCGGTTATCATTTCTCCTCAGACCGCTGACTGGATCCCTGGGCCCTACAGTGCTCCAAGTAATGCTGCTAATGAGCAGGAGGAGGCTGGATAGCGGGGATCAATGCTCCGAGCCGTGTGTCGGAGAAGCAGCTGGCCTAACCTGACCGGCTGCTGCCCTGCGTGCAACGAGGCCCTGCTGACTCGAACGCTGCTGAGTCGCTCTGGGCGACACGGGCCTAGGGGTGTGGATGTTTCTATAATCACCTGTTATCTCCGGCACACCAGCACCTGAGCCTCTGATACTCAGGACCTCTGTATAAGTATTACAACAGGTCTCTTACACAGTCTTCTGCTCTCTTATATCTGAGTATATACTGGAATAAGTCGGTTTATAATGCACTTTAACTGTGCTGTGCAGTGGGTTGTTCTAATGATCATTTCTGTGTCTTGCATGATGGTTTTTAATGAAACACATAGTCGAGTCCACTGGCTCAGGGTTAGTCTTGCATATGCAGCCCTTTTTTCCCATAATGTGCTGTGCAAAGACTGGAAAATAGTCTGAGTGGTTTGTATTTCTTAAAAACGATCATGACATGAAGGAACATTTGTTCCGCTGCCCCCTCAAAAATGTCATATTTTGCATTTACAAAACAAAAAGACAGACAAAAGCCCCGTCTTATAACATGATTGACACCATTTTAATGTGTAGGTTGCTCTTTAGGAGGCTGTTGTGCAAAAAGCTCTGATCTTATTAAGTGTTTGTGTCTTTTTTATGGTTTAAAATGTCTTTTTAGGTTTAATTTAGGGCACAGTTACCTGACAAATCCAGAAAAAAATGTCTTATTTTAAAATGAAATTAAAAGGAATGAATTTGCTTGTAATGAGTGAAAAATTTGGCCAGTAGAGTAAGAAAAAGTCACTTCGCCGTGGACTGAATCTAGAGTTCCAGGACAGGAGAGTAAAGGTGGAGCCAGAGGAGGCGGTAGAGAGAGGATTTCTTTTTGACCAATCAGATAGTCATCACTTAGCCAATTAGACATCTTCAGTCATCATTTAAATCAGCCAATCAGATTATCAGAGAGCTCCTATATTAAAATAAACAGGAGAATAGAGACACAATGAAAATATGATAAATAAGCAAGTAGCAGCGTCACAGTAAGAGAGACATGGTTCAAATCTTGGTTAATACCTGTATCTTTAAAGTTTGGAGAAGCTTTTGAATGACCAGAACGAACGAGAAAGTGAGGAAAAGTGGTGTAGTGGTGTAGATCTCTGCCATTTAGTCTAGGGTGACCATACGCCTTCTTTTACCCGGACATGTCGTCTTTTTGGGGGGGCTGTCCAGGCTTGTCCAGCTTAATAAAATCCTTCAAATGTCCAAAGTTTTGCACACAAGTTTCAAGTTTGTGTCACGTGGACTTCCTGAATTAGAATCACATAAAAGACACTTGATTCAACCCAAAAAACCCTCAAAATTAACTCTGTGCAACTCTGTGACTTTGCCCCCACGTAGTCGTGTCCTCTTTTTTGGAAGTCAGATTATGGTTACCCTGGTTCAGTTCAAGAGTTCTGGGTTCAAATCTAGACTGGTGCCAATCCACTTGAAGTTGGAAGAAAGGTTTGAAAACATGAGAACTGACAGTCAGCTCAGAAGTTTAGTGGTGAAAGTTGGTGCAGGCCTGTGTTGAATAGATATGACTCCTGCCTTTGAGTGGCATGGTTGTAGGTTCGAATCCCACTCCGAGACAGTAAAAAACTAAGACATATGGTGTGCAATGTTAAGCATAGGAAAGGAAAGTTCTAACCCTCGAGAGGAGAGGGTAACAAAAATATCCCTGACTTCTCTTGCCTGTTTTTAAAAAGTTAATTCAGCTGATTTTTTTTTTTATGTTTTACATGCTTTATTCTGCCAGACAAATGTCCATTTCTCCATCCTCTCAATAAACGCATGAAGACTTGTTATTAAATTCCCATCATTTCTGACCCTGTGATTATTTTCCTTGTCTTTGCTTTTAAAAGATGTCGAAGAAAATCAATCACACATTGAACCCCAAAAGCCTCAAAAAAGAAAGACATGTGAAAACAATAACCCCGGAGTACATGCAGTTGATACAGTTTTCCTCATCGTTGCATCATTTTCTGTCCGGCTTATTTTCTCGCTCTCAACTAACAGGTGACTTTGAGCACAGTTTGAAAAACCTAAACAAACAGCTTGTCAGAACATAAAGTGAAAACAGCCACCGTTATCAGGGCCAATTTCAGAATGGATTAAGGGTCTTTAAGTGCCTCTCACTGACAGATTGTGATTTCACCGTGCAGCCATGCTGAGTCATCGAGCGGTTCAAGCGGCTCACATAAGTGGGCGGATGTTCACTTCATGAGAGGACTCTCATATGGAAATCAGAGAGAGAGAGAGAGAGAGAGAGAGAGAGAGAGAGGACAGTTCTGCCAGGTCACCTTTGTCCATGACATTAAATCGCGTTATGTGTTGTGGTCTAACATTTCATGACTCTGTCAGTCAGCTATGATACTCGTCCCAGCCCACAGATCATTAGCGGGATCACAAGGTTACATAATGGATCTGGATTCACTTAATCTGTTCAATTTTTGTACACAACACTGAAACTAAACACTACTAATTTACACAGTAATAATTGAGTATAGTGTTAGTTCAGGCAGGCTGCCAAGTCAGCTAAAGCCAACACTTCATCAGCTGATGCTAATGCTGCCTCATATCAACAGACAGCCTGGTGGATTACTTTCTGCAAACCCAACTGGCAACTGTAAAACTGTAAAGGTGTTCATTTAAAGGCATGGTTGATGATCTGAGAAGCAGCTGAAAAAATCAGAGGCGTTGAGGCAGATTTGAAAAAAGCGTCTCATCCCCCACACACAAACCTCTCCCCTCTGTGCTCCATTATAACTCTCCCTCCAAACCTGTATCGCCCTCCCCACAACACACCCCCTCTGGCAGAGCAAGAAGCCGGCCAGCGGAAGATCCTACGCTAGCTTCAAATAGGATTCACCATGTCGGATTGCTGGTGACTAGCGGCAGTAAATGCCAGCTCTGCTAGCTAGCACCGTCTGCAGCTGCCTGGACAGCTACCGTGTTGTTCCTTGCGGAGCTTTCTCCACCACTCGAAGGATGACCCGAGTTAGATTCCTCACTTGGTCACATTTCCCCTTCAACTCTCCCCTTTCTTCTGTCTGCTTGCGTTTTCGTCCTACTTTTGGCGGTGGGGCTAGCAAAAGTGTTTTTTTGCGTCCTTCTCCATCACAGCTCCTGTAGCTAAGCTGCTACGCTACTTTTAGCTGCTCAGAGCTCCGAGGAGGGCCGGGAGAGTGGGAGGGGACGAGTCAGAACTATGGGGGAGGGGTGTGTTGAATACAGCGAGGTGATTGGATGGAGAGGCGGAGCAGGAGATTGACCAATAGGAGCTGTCCCGGATGGATGGCTCCTATTGGTTAATGTTTGAGCAGCCCTGCACCTGCTAGGTTGAACGTATTTTTCCGTTCTTTTTGCTCTTCACTTTGTGGAGATCACACTATAGGACCATGATCGCCATAGAAACGAGGTTCATGATAATTACCAATCCCCAAATCGTCAACCATGCCTTTAAGCTACTTTTGTCCCTGAACTACTCAGCCCTACAAAACCACTCAACTGCTTTCAGCTCATTGTTTCGGTTTCACTGCTTCTCTTTTTCCATTTAACACTGAGTCACTCTTACCAATCTCATCAGTGTCGTGTTTAGATGCAGGAGGCACTTTCAAGCTTGATACTACTACTTACTGCTCGATACTAAACAACACATGGGGGGGATTTACTGGGAATGGATCACTGCAGCTAACAGACCCAAATATAATAGATCCAAGGTCTCAAGGTCCAGTTCACCAAGTCTGTAGCTCCAATGACATTCAAGTGGAATTGGTCCATAAATTTTTCAGATTCACTCAGTCCATTTGAATATGGTAATGAACTGTCTGCAGCATGTTTTTTTTTTCTGCTCAGGGCTAGACTGCGCCGTCTCATCCTGATAGCCTTTAATTATGTTCATACACAGATGATGATGAGCCGAGAGCTGCAGGGACGCTACTTATAAGTTTATTGTTGGGTCAATTCCTGACAGCTGTGATTCCAATTTCACAGAATGTTTTCACTTTACAGTCTGTAGAAAGCAGACTGAGTGCAGTACAGCACATGAGGGGTAATGATGTATTATCATGTCACTGCTCTTAAAGTATTACCAGGCTGAATGTGAGGGAGTGTTTTTTATACCTCTTTTAAATACTGAAGTGCAATTACCAGCAGCTCTCAAAAGACTTCTTCTAACTGTGCAAGACTGTCTGCGAATCAGACATTTCAGCTTCAGGGTTAATTTGCATAGTAAGGAAGTTATTTTGCACCATTAGTGCACAAAGATGCTATTTGTAGTGCTGTTTAGGGTGCATTTGCATGGTTCAAACAACATGTATATCTTTAGAGAAGAAGGCGCCAAAACAGAGAGACCACTGAGCGGTTAAAGATCAGGAAGATTTCTGCAGACATTAGGCCCGGACTACACGTATATAGATATTTATTTATCAGGATATTTTTGTACTCCCGTCTAAATAAATGTATCTGTCCACACGTGTTAGTTCTCAAAAATATCTGCGTCCACATGTAGCCTTCAAACTCAATCCTATCTGGTGCCGCTTAAAAAAAATTCAGGAACAAAGCTACCTGATTGGCCGATGAATCGTAACAGCGTGATGCGTCATGCATTGTTTGCGGAAGCTATGCTAGTGCGGCGGGTCCATGTGACGGTGTGGCGGCTATAACAAAGCAGACGCCTCTGTGAGCTGGCTGACTGGTGGATGTAATTGTATAAAACAAGGTTCACTTGCAAGGCTGAAATTAGCCTCAAAAGGGCAAAACAGACGTAAAGAATACCCTGTCTGTCCGCCGTCGTTGTTGTTGTTGTTTTTCTTTTTAATTCGCATGCGCGAGCTGCGGTTTGACGTCATCGATCCGTAAAAGTTCAACCACTTACATGGATATTTTTTTATGTCTCCGCTTGTTTTTTCGGATTCAGATTTATCCGGTTTGAGTGTTCCAAACTCCCGTTTTGTCCTAATCGGACATAAATATGTGCGGTTTGAAATATATCCGCATTCGTGTAGTCGGGGCTTTAGTGGAAGACAAAAAAGCAGGATAGCATGATTCCTGGTGAATGACCGAACAGGCTCGTTGTCAGTTGATGCAGGGTTGTTACTGTCTCCTCACACCAAGTGCAAGTAAAATCATTCGTGCGAATGGCAAAGACGTGATTAGAGGCTTCTGCTACTCTGACGGCGCGAATGAAGCAAATTGGGCGGGAGCTTAAAATGTCTCAACTTGTGCGCATATTCGAGTCGCAATAGCTGATCAGCACAAAGGTTGTCGGGTGACCTATAAAAACGGATGGTTGTTCACTGGTATCTAAAATGAAGGACAAACTGATCATGTCAGTGACTGAAACCGGAATAAGAAGAAGCTCGTCTGGGGGCAAGTGAGTCAGGAGGTTGGATTAACTGGTTATACGATACAATACTATACAATTTTATTTGTAGAGCACGTTTAAAAACAACCAAGTTGACCAAAGTGCTTTACATAGACATTATAAAACAAACAAAATCAACACTCAGCGAAATACAAGAGCAGACCGAATAAATGCAATTAAGAAGTAAACAAGAAACAGACAATATGTGATTAGGGTTGTGTTGAAAGCCAAAGAATAAAAGTGCGTTTTCAGACGTGATTTAAAAATAGCTAGAGTGGGGGGGTGTACTGTTAACACGTCTAGATTCGCAAGATTTAAGTAGATAATTTTACTCACACTTGGTGTTAGCACCACATAGGGAATACAATCTAACCTTGCACCGCTACAACACAGTAAAATTCATTTAAATAAGTGTATTTGTTGAACATTTTCCTTTAAAGCATCTCAAAGCTTATGAATTCTTGAGGATATGAGGGTCCAGACGTCTTCCCTTAGTGCTTCACTTGGAAAATTACGCCTCCATTGTTGGATAAGTGCTGCTGCATTCTAGATCTGTCTAATTATATACTCTGTGAGATGACTTCTAAAGCCACATTACTGGATATAATCCGGTTTTATTGGTGCACCTCAGAATCATTCTTGTTAATGAACTTGTAAAGTAATTATGTCGGCACCTAAAACAAAGTCCTCGCTCCAGATCAGACAAACACCACCTAATGTTATCCCATTTAAACACACGAGTAAACCACAGCGACACTTGCAGCTATACAAGGCTTTAAAAAGTCTCTACTGCCGGCTCTCCAAGATCGTTTCCAGCGGAAGTTAAAGGAGATAGAAAATAAAAACAAAGCGTTTGACGTCCATGAAAACACGAGGATCTTGCAGGCATCCTCCAGTGTGGCAAACAGCCATGTTAGCTGACATTTCCCCACCATTGATTCCCATCATTGGTTCAACCTTTGCGAGTGCTTTGGTCTGACCTACACAGACTCCACGGGGGAGGCACAATGCCACTGAGACTCACACAAAGCGGCCTCCTATCGATCAGCGCTTTGCCTAAAAATAAAGTCAGGGCCGCGCAATGACAGAGAGGCGAGCGAAAAGCCGGCGTCTGCTAATCAATTGTGACCTAGAATTTTATGTCCTGAATCGATGCATCATGCTTTTCTCCTGCGATCTAATGATTCTCTTGGATGTGTCGGTCTCTCGCTCCGTTGGGGAGACAAAATGTCAGGTGGATAAAATTGTTGTTGTTGCTCCTTGTTTTGATGTTTTTGTGGGTAAATTGCTTGTTTTGTGCAGTTGGAGCTAAATTATAGATGTGTAGGGATGTGTTAGCCGAAACAAATTTGCAACCAGATGTGACCTTTTCCAGGCAGAGTAAAAATTTAACAGGCGCTGAGGCAGATTTACAGGTTTGAGGTTTTAATTGCTAACTGGTCATTCTTCCACCTGTTCTTTCTCTTCTTGTTCACTGTCTCTCTCGTTTTACTCCTCCTATCTCTGTCTCTCTGCTTGCGTCTCGCAGCAGGAGCCCTGCTTCGCTCAAGGCTACGCGCTATCTCCCCCGTATTCCTCTCCGGTGAATATTTTATCTCCCCTTTCAAGTATCATTTTTGTACCCACAGAGGGGCCCTGTGTCCCGCGGTGGTTCTCCCCACGCTCGTCGTTGTGAAACATCTCTGTTTCAGACAAGGTGACAATCTGTTTGCACATTTCAGGAGGGCTTTTGATCAGAGGATGCAGATCAGGAGTGTGGATTTTTTTATCGTCAACAGGCGCTCATGAAAGAGGGATGAGGGCAAACGCTGGTCAGCTGGCACAGAGCCGTGGAAGACGATGCTGTTAATATTTACCGTATAGCCTTTGTAGCCCTTGAGCTTTATGAGAAAACTAATTATTGTTCTCTTCTCTTCCTCCATGTCCTCCTCCTCCTCCTCCTCCGTTCTTTATGCGTCATTGCCCAGACTGACGGTGATTTAAGCCGTCAGACTTTTCAAGACCCCAAATTCTCGACTTAGTGAGTCACATTTCGGATCAGCGGATCCCACTTGTTTGCATTTGCCCAATTTATATCCTCAGGCGGCGCTTCCTGCATGCACAATGGTAATAGTCCAATTTGGTTTTTGGCAGATAGCGAACAGGAGGAAATGGAAAAAGAGAGATGGAAGAGAAATATGCTAACGTCAGTGATTATGGAATAATAGGGAAAAGGGGGGAAAGCAGGGAAGGGGACAAAATCTCAAGAGCAATCTTGAGCGTATTCATAGAGTTATATTTAAATCAATATATGTGTTTATTCACAAATGTTTTATTCATTGAGCACGTTCTCAGTGGAGGAAAAAAAATCAGCTTTAAGTTGCTTCAGCAGAGCTTCAGCCCGGGTATTTATCTCGCCCGACACAAACCTGTGCAGATCTGTTTCTCTATTTTGAGTGCATGTTCACGTTCCTTCACAACGATTGCATGCTGGGACTGACGTGTGTCTTTTTGCAAGAATGTAAGTGTCACAAAGATTCTGATCAATCATATGAATCACATAAGGCCGTCCGGAGCCCTTCAGCGTATATCAGGATTAGCCATCAAGCTTTACGTTACACCTCAGAGACAGAGAGCAAAAGAGACAAGAAGATAAGAAGCAGCGGCATAAATAAAATTAAGGTAAAGAAATAATAAATAAAAGCTGAGGCATAAATCATTTAGGTTCCCACCATTCAAAGAAACCAATACATCACCCACTCAGTGGCATGTAGAGCAGCCAGCCAAGACACCAGATCTGGGTTGGGATTCAGAGGAAAACAAAATCTGGGTTAGCGAGTGATTTAAAAATGCTGAAACCACCAGAAAAACGGCCTTTGATAGATTCACATGTTCAGCACTAACAGCTGGGAAACTAGGGTACAAACATGCACAGTGTGCCACGAGCTGTGGAGCCGAACTGGAACTGGTCCTGAACTGCACTCCCACAAGCTGTTATTATTGTAGACACTGATTTCTCTCCGTTTTACTTCTGACCTCATTGAATGAAAGAGTGCGACTGTAAATCTCAGCCTGTGCCACCAATGAATTCAGTTTTAACGGAGCATTTAGAAATATATTTAATGGAGCTGTCAGTGTCTTATTTTATGGTTTCTTTATATTCATCTTTTTCCTTTCTCTAATGTAAAGCACATTTTAACCGTAAAAGGTGTCATAAAATTATGTTGACTTACTTACATCAAAAAATGTCCAGACAGCTCTTGACATGATAAAAGTATTGCACACTTTGTGTCAAATGGCATGGATACAAGGGTGACCGTATTCTGACCTCCCAAAAAGAGGACACGACTATGTGAAGGCTGAGTCAAGGAGTCGCACTGAGTTAATTTTGAGAGTTTTTGGGGGTCAGATCGAGTGTCATTTACATGCTTCTAATTCAGTAAGCCCACGCGACACAAAATCGAAACTTATGTACAAAACTATGGACATTCAAAAAGGATTTTATAAACTTCCCCAGACAAAGCCAGACAAACCCGAAAAGCCCCCCAAAAAGAGGACTTATCCTGGTAAAAGAGGACATATGGTCACCCAAATGGATACAGAGGCGGAAAAACACCAAAACAAACATGGGGAGTCCTCCAGAAGAACCTGCAAACGACAAGCACAAACATACAAATTTACACCAGCTTTTGTTTGAAAGAAATAGCAACCGCTGTTTTCCTTGAGTCTTACAGAGCTAACGCAGAATGTAGACAATGCATCGATTTTTGCAAATGACAGCTGATCAGAGACTCAGGCACAGACAACAGAGAGACACAGCAGACAAGCAGATCCCCAAAAAAAGGATTTATTTGAGAATAACAAGTTACCAAAACAGATGATAACGCAGGCAGTAGAGGTAAGCTGATAAAGCAAGACAAACAAAAAGAACTAAACAACCTAAAAGGAAAACTACTGTCTGCAAGGAAAAAAACTTCTACAAATGAAAACACCTAAGCTAACTTATCTCAGAGAAGCTGAAGTCTCTAGCAGCTAAAAAAACAAACTCAGAAAAGTAACTAACCAGGCAACAAACTGAAAAGAAAACAAACACACTACAAGACTTACAACTACCCTGACTTGAACAAACCGGATGAGGGAAGGCAGGCCGAGGAGGTGTGTGGCGTGGCTGAGTGATTTACAAGTCCAGCAGGTGAGCGGAATGAAACAGGCAGGTTAGGGTGGAAACTGTGATAAAAAAACAAAACAAAGGATTAGCATCCAGGGTGCAAAAAAAGGCAGCAAGGTTGATCAAAATTCAGTTCAGGATCAGAGTTGTGGTCTGGTTTTATGACAATTGGAGAGTCTGGTGGTTACCAATCTCCTGCACCTGTCTGCGCTTCACACACCTCCCTCACGCCCACCTGGGGAAAAAGAAAAGAGAGAAGGGAGAGGCTGCCACTAAGCATGACACTTTAACCTGCAAACCAAGGCAAAACCACAACAGCACAGTAGAAAGTACCTGAACAGCAGGTAGCGGTTTTGCATGCATGCCTATGCAAATCCCTCCTGTTGTGATGTCACCACAGGAGATCATTCAAATTGTCCAATAGAGGATATTTTCTCCAAGTAGGTGAGCTACAGAATCAGTGCAGAGGCTTTTTGTACCCACATTTTAGGATTGCTAAATAAATACATATAAAAAATATTCATAATATGGTAACTTTAACGGATTTTGGAGTACCTTTAAATAACAATATCGAAGGAAACTCTAATTTGGACTTAAAGCGGCTTTCTAAAATTAATTTTACATTTCTAAAACATAAAAAAAACATCTTCATAATCATCATGTAACCAAGATTCAACAACGTTTTGCAACAGGAAATAATTATCAGTGGTTTCTGTTGTTTGTTTCCCGCTTTATTTCCCACATATTCCTGTATTTACTGTCCAATCATTGCACTCTGGTCCTGAGTTATATCTTGAGACTTCAAGTCCTTAGTCATGTCCCATCATGCACTGCCTGATAACTGCTGAGGCCGTGAAAACCATCAGTGGCCGCTCCACGCAGTCACACAACATTTACAGCTGATATCTGCTCAGACCTGCTGCTTTTCTGACATATCTCCAATCTGCGCGCGGCTCTGTATCTGTGAGCGCAAACTATGAGGTCATCGCAGTACCCTGCGAGGCGGTCCACCCACGCCTGATGTCCCCTGACACCCTGTGAAACCAGGCTGACCGCTGATGACAGATGGACGCTGAGATACCAGAGTCCAGTGAGACGGTCGCTTTTCCCCAAAAGACAGTGTGAGGAGGCTGCAATGAGCCACCTACAGAGCACAGGGGGAGGGGGAGAAGAATTATGGAACGGCGATACAGTCCTCGGCAACAGAGTAATGAATCACCCGAGGGTATCAGTCACATAAGTCACACACAGGCTGTGAATGAGAGGAGCTGCCGGAGGAGAGAAGTATCACGACTTGAGGACTCATAATTGGTGCCGATCACAGTTTTGACTTTTGGTAACCAGCTTTTCATTCTGATTCTTTAAGTACGACTGAGTGTATCCATGTGGTTCACTCGCCCAAAAGTAAAAAGTTATCTCAAAGACGCATTGAAGTGTTTTTCTGGTTGTGAAGGACGTAGGCTCCTGGAAACTGTGGGAAGATTTATGGTGTCAGGACGATAACAGCCAATTGTGCTCATCAGTGATTACTCCTGTGACGACTAAAACTAAAACAGAACTTCTTGGTCATCACCGCATCCAGAACGGCTACGAAAAGGCCGTATCCACCGATTGCAGCTGATCGTAACCATTCAAGTCAATGTGCCAATTTCCACCGTCTTTTTTCCGTTTCGCTGCAGATCGCCGGACTCCACAGCTGATCGCAAGAGTTCTATTTTTTCTGGACTTCAGAGCATGCTGGATAAATTAAGCACAGATTAACCCGTGCTGGAAAGGAGGTCAGGCACAGACTCAAAATAAAACATCCGGGCACGAACAAGTCGAGAAGTGGATTTCCTCCTCTGGAAGGACACAATCTACTGCTAATATGTTTATGTGGTTGTCTTAACAGAGACAACTCGTTATCACGCGATTGCACGCGATTCCTGCTGTCCGTAATCCGCCACAAAATTCGCCTTACAATCCAGTAGGAATTGGCGGACGGCGAAAATCGCTGGTGGATATTCAGGGTTACATTAAATCACTGAAAAAACAGCCAAAATAAAGCAATGAAAAACAGAAGCTGAATGAGTATGATTTTCATGGCGCCAGTATAAGAACTTTGCGCCACTATACCGTTTCCCTGACTGACATAATGCAAGATAAAAATGAGCAAAGTAGATCTTCTTTATCTCAGCATGAGCCTATTACCTCCACAAAGGATACAGTATAGTACAGCGTATAAAACGGTTGGTCTTTGAGATGGTCTGTGAGGTCTTTTCTTTTTGTTTATGTATGAATTATCCAATTATGTGTATTTTTAAAACTTGTGCTTCTCCGTCAGGGTCCCACAGGGAGCAGAATACCCTTAAGGGTAATAGTGTTATCTTGTGTCAGGAACGGAGCGTCGCACTGGGGCTAATTATTTAACTGAGAGTGTGAGCTCTTGCATTGTGTTTTATACCTTATGGAATACTCAGAGCTTGTGTTTTAGATCTACCCGGGTAAACAGGTTGCAGTTTTTGCGCATTTATAGTTAAAGTTCTTTTGCAAAAGCTCTGAAAATAACATTGGGGATAGCTTCAGGTGGAAATTGTTTATAAGAGAAACTTGTACCATTAGATTTTATGTGCATTACAGTCATCTTGCAACTTAAAACTAAAGCATCCAACTCTTTTTCTGTAGCTGGCCTTATAGAAATTAAGACAATTTGTTTGGATGTGAAATTAAATATGCACCTTACCCATCACAGACTGAGGATGAGTATCTTTTGGGTGATTTTGGGCTCTCATTAAAGTCTCGACTGGCTCTGAAGAAACACGATCAGGAGAAAACAAGAGGCGGTGCAGAGCATCCCAAACTCTGCCTTTGCAGCTTTTCAAACCCTGAGGTGTCAGCATATTCACACTGCTAAGTCTATCTGTGTGTTTTATGGCTACAAAAGCCAGAGCAGATTTGTGATAGCTTATCATTACAGACCTTAAATGATTTCACAGCCCATAGATTCATTTGCTGTGGTGAATGATGCCCGGGTGTGTGCAAGGGGAGCCAATAAAAATCCTGCTGAGGCAAACAGAGCGGCATTAGTGATGCAGAGAGAGAGTGGATACAGAAGTCACACTCTGAAAATCTCCTCTGTGAGAGCGTGTAAATGTGTCTGCGAAACAAAGACCCGGAGGGAGGGAGAGTAAAGTCTCCAGCCATGATCACACAAGTGTCATGCCACCACTGCTGCCAATGAGTCATTATTCACATAACAAGCTAACATGCCGGCCTTGTGATTGTGAGCTGTTAAGGGTTTCAGGGACTCAAAAGCGGGGTGAGCGGCGGTGGCAGTGGTTAGCGAGCGCTTGTTAGCCGAGACAACAACACTTCATTATCATAGGCTACAGCCCAGACGCTTCAGTATCCGACACTGAGGGAGCTGTCAACATCATGTTTATCCCTCACAGGCACACTCGCGTCTGAATTCATAAATCAGAGGAGCGACCTGGAGATGATTTGCCTGTGCTTACACTTCAAGTCTTCTAGTTAGTAACATTTGCTCAGCTAGACGAGGTCTAAAACTTGACAGGAGCTTCACTAGCTGCAGGTCAAAATAAAGAGTATCTTTGCAATTTTCTACAGCAGGACAGAATAAAGGGATATTCTGGCATAATAATGTCTTAATGGGAATGTAATCAGACTGAGACGCTAAGGCAGAAGAACTACCGTGTCTGCGGTGCAAAAATTATTAATATGATGATTATTACTTCAAGGAAATGATGAAGAAATGATCATAAATGTTCTTCCTTGAGCTGCGTCACCCCGCTGTAGTCCATAATGGACTGGCCCGAGGTCTTGCTACAAACAAGAGGCTGCTGGGAGAGAGTGGGTGAGTTGTGTTTAGTCTCTTTGCAAAAGAAATCAGTCAAAGTTAAAAAGATGTTTAGTAGCTGGTGCTGTGACTTGGACCCTATATGTACTGTTGATGAAGTTAGGTGCTGTTCTGAGCATTATTTGTGGCTATAGAGTGGCGTTTTGGTTGAGGTTTGTTTATGGCTCCTCAGACCGCTGTGTATTGCTATCGTGCGGTCGTTACTAAAGTTGGTTTAACTAGAGAAGCAAGCGGTCGGCAACGTTCATCTCTCGAGGGCATGTCTACCTCAGTATTACTGATGGGTGGATTACACAGCAGCCTCACCCATGAGAATTGTAATTTATAATGTTAAAGGTCTCTGGATATATACGCACGATGCATTCACAATACGGGAGATAAAGTGTTCAAGACTATTAAAATTTCAAAATAAAAGCACGGCCAACAATCATTTCACAAGGCAATCAGTGATCCAAAGAAATCTCATGCAAGGCTGGTGACACTAAACTTGTCTTGCGTTAATTTTTTCATTTAGTTTTACATAATTATCACAACAATTATCAAGTTGTTTTTATCTATAACTTTTTCTTGCGATCCTGAGGTGAAAACGTGATATTGCGACAGCCTTCACATGCATTTATTTCCACTATTCCAATATGAAGAGCCACCATTATAAGTGTGTATTTACACTGCTGTAACTGGTAAATCTCAGCATCTCTATTTTTCAAATACTTCAATAATTTACAGACACTCTGTGTTCATTATTTAATATGTTTACCTGATATAACACCAATTCAATCGCTATTCTGCTTCTCAGCTTCACTCGCACATTACGTCCAAGAACTTTTTTTTCTTGAGAAAATAGTTTAAACTTTTCATCAACTTCTTTATGAACGTTGATTAATTAGTTATACACGTTTTAAGATTCAGAAAGAGCATTTATTAAACATGTCATGATTAAATAAAGAGTGTCTGGCTGATGTGTGCGTGTTGTTTATCGGAGTCTGGTTGCCTTTGAGCGAGGCGGCGGATAAATGTGACTGAATCTCAGCGTCAACCTTGGAGAAAAAGGGTCTTAACTGTATTTTATCTTGACAAACAGAGCGAGTTTAGTCAAAAGTTTACGTATTTAAAGTTATTCTAAGCACAGTCTGGAGAGAGAACAGACGGTAAGTGTACTTGTGTTGCAGACAAAGGCTGAAAAAGGGTGAATCTATATAACAATGCTTAAGCTTAAACATGCAGCTCTTCAGCGGCTGTGAACTCCTGCTTGCAAACATGAGCGGTTCAGCCCGGATCATCCTTTCGAAGGCTATTCTGTCTGCCGTCTAGAGTGCCAACTGTCACGAGGTTGAAATAAACACTGGGTTATTCAAATGAATGTTCCAAATGGGATCAGAAAGTGTCAATCAGTGTAAGCGTTTAATCTCTGAACCTCTCCAGAGTCCCACTGTAATTTTGATAGCTGTTTATTCACATGCAAAAAGACGCAGTCCCTCCTGAATGCTAATGGCAAGTTTTCAGATTCACTCTGATATCAGACACTGTTGACAGAAGCCAAAGAGAGAGAGACGGAGAGAGGGGGAATAAATTAGAGAGAGAAAAGGCAAATGCTTCTATCTGCATCATGAGTGGGTTTGGGGTCATTTCAATATGATTTTTGACGAGCGTTTTCGAGGTCGAAGATGATCATTTTTCTCCAGCAGAAAGCTCAGTCTCTCTCTGTGTGTGTGTCAGTCATGGAGGATAGGAAACACTGAAAAATATGGGATATTTCTCCAGCAGTGTATAAAGTGGACGTGTCAGCCACAATAAAGCAGAGAGAAGTCTCAGTTGCTCAGGTTAGTCGTCCCCGTGTGAATAAGGAAGTTAAGGTGCTTCTGATTCCAGCGCAGACCATGAAAATGGACAATTTTGTTTGTGCCACATTCATTTTAGGAAGTCATAAATCCTATTTATTGTTATAGTTTCCTCTGCACACTCTTATTTTCCATCTACAATGGCAAAAACAAGGATCAGACTTACATCAGAAAGCGTATGAATATGTTTAAAAGAAAAGTAGAGACCGCTAGCAAAGAAAAAAATCTGAATTTTTGGTTCACAAACCGCTCACAGTTTCATAATTTATGCCCACTGTTTGCAGTTTTTAGGCAACATTTGATGAACCGTGGTTGTAAAACTGTGATAACTGTTTTTTTCTTCAGAGAACGAACTATTTCCATGGTTACAACTAAGTCCCATTTATTCAGATTTGAGGGAAAACTAAATATCTCATCATTTAGTTTTTGTTTTCCTTTTTTTTTTGCATCTGACTTTTCACAGCTTTCACAGACTGACATTAATACTGATGCTTTTTTAATGATATCCAAAATCAAACCAAACTATTACCAACAAGATTGACAATTTTTAATCCGAACTTTTGGTAAAGTAGTGCAGCGGCCAAGTACAAATTTTAGCCAGAATCGTTCAGTTGGTGATACAAGCATGAAAATTGGCATGAACGTTCTCCATGGGTCACTTGACTAGAAAAGTGTCCCAGCCATTTGAAATTTCAAGATGGCTGCCATCTTTCAAGACCGTCGCCACCTAAGTGTAACAGTTAGGTGATGTACTCGTTAAATTGACGATATAGCCATGAAAATTGGTATAAACAGTCATCATGAGTCACTTAACAAGAAAATGCCCCAAGCTGCTTGAAGTTTCCCGATGGCAGCCATTTCTAAGATGGCCTCGTTAGAGCAGTCAAATGGTGTAAAGTTGGTGATATAAACATGAAAAATAGTAAGACCATTCTCCATGAGTAACTTCACAAGAAAATGCCCCAAGCTGCTTAAAATTTCAAGGTGGTGACCATTTAAAAGATGGCCGCCATCTCATTACAGCAGTGATATCATGTAAAGTTGGTGATATAAACGTGAAAATTGGAAAGACCAAAAAATGCTTGTTTGTGTTTTGTCCAACTCCTCGACCTCAACCTCTCCAATTTGGTAAAACCTGCCAGGAGTTGCCTCCTAATGGCGTAGCTCATGGCATAGCTCTTAGGGTTCACAGAAGTATGCAAACTCCCTTACCACATCAAGGTAACAGTCACAAGGGAGTTTTTTTTTAAAAACTTTTTTGTTTTTTGTACCTTTTTTCTAACTTTTTTTTATCTTTCTGACAAGGGAAAGGTTAACAAGGGGAAGTAGTCCTGGCAAAAAGATGGCAGCCATCTTTAAAATGACCACCATCTTAGGTGGCGGCCATCTTGAAAAAATGGCCATCATTTTGAAATTTCAATAAATAAATTAATTAATAAATAATTTCCTAATAAAGTGACCAATGAAGAATTTTCATGCCAATTTTCATGCTTGTATCACCAACTGAGCAATTGTGTCACTTATCTGCTCCACTAAACTGGTGCGAGGGGGTAGGTGTAGCCGAGCAGCTAAAGGAAAGAGTCACGTTTTTATCATTTCTATGTAAAGTATTCACAATAAAGACACATTTGACTATCAAAAGTTGCCAGGGGGGTGAGATTATTTTGTAAGAAGTCACAACTCAAGCATGTAGAGGACAAGATGAGCTGCACTAAAAGTTCCTTACAGTAGCTTTAAAAATGTAATTCAACTCCAGTATATCAGTATCACTGAGTATGCATGCATGCTGTGGATTTCTTAGAGGAGTCTTCAGCTTATGGTTCATAAGTCAGCTGGAGTTATACTTAAATACAGCATCCAGGAGGGTTTTTCTTGCACAAAGATAATTACTCTCCTCATTTACTTTAATCTTTAGTTTCTGCATCTGCAGTGTTTCACATTAACTGTGGTGCAATGGTCTACAGTTAAAACAGCTTCTGATCCCTGAGGGGAAGTATTGCAAAAAAGCTGTTTTGGTTCATTTCAGAATGTAATCAAAGACCATGTGTGGAAAAAAATCACTTAAGTGTTGAAAACAGTGTGTATTCTGTGCTGTATTCAACGTTGGTAGCAACAGGGAGCGTAGAGAAAAGTCTGAAAGTTGAGAATTTCTATTTGTAAAACCTCGTCTAAAAGAGAAGTTGGCTTGCAGGTCAGCTTTTGAGTTTTTTCAAAAGCAAATAGTCAGCATGTTGTCATATTGATTACTGATTCAGTCAGCTGTTTCTTTAGCAGTAGCTGTGTGGTTTTTATTCTACAAAGTGCTATATAGAAAAAAAACTCCTACTTTGTGTGTCCTCGACATGAATTTGAAGTAGAGGGATGAGAATATCAGAACCAAAAAAAGATTAACAAAGAAAGATAAATGGAAAAAGCAGCAGAGCCAGCGCTTCAGCATTCATCATTCTGGAGGACTGTCCTCTTCATCGTGTTCGGCTTTTTCCCACATAACAGAGAAGAGCAGCTCAGCGGTGCCAGACTCTGCATTTTGTTTTGTGTCTTTCTTAGTCAGATGAATAAAATATGAGTTTAAAGTGCAGGTTCCAAGAACAAGAACACATAAATTGTTACAGATGTAGTCATGCCTTTGTTGTTGTGTTAGAAACTGGGGTTGTTTTTTGCCTTAAAGTAAGTTATAATAACGGCCTTTGAATAAAAATGATGTTACAGTTTTTCCTCTGAAGCCGCAGAGTTTATCAAATCAGATCAAGTTGTGTCATACTGTCATATTTTATTGTATGGTTATATATCACATTGTGTCTTATATAGTATCAAATTTTATTGTTTAAAATTTTATCACACCCTATTTATCCCATCATAACGTGTATCATATCATATCAAAGCAAAGTGTATTATAGCATAATATGTTATACATCATATTGAACTGTAAAGTTCCACATTGTGTTAAATTGTATCATATAGTACCATGTCATACTCAATTGTTTTGTACAGTATCTTATTGTATTATAAATCATGTTGTACCCTGTTATATCCTGTGGTATCGTATCCTACCATATCATTTGGTTTCGTAATTTATCATATATTTTATCACAACGTATTGTATTGTAACATAATGTTTATGGTACTGTATCATAGCTTATATCAAATCGTAACATATCAACCGTGACATATCAAATCTTAACGTATCGGAGCATAACATATCGTGGGATATTGTATCATAGCAAAACGTATCATAGCCTTACGTATCTCAGCGTATCGTATCGAAATGTAACGCATCTTAGCGTGACATAACATAGTGTAACATAACGTAGCATAACATATCGTAGCATAACATATTGTAGCATAACATATTGTGGCATGACATCGCGGCGTAACATATTGTGGCGTAACATATAGCGTAGCGTATCATTGTGTAACGTATCATAGCGTAATGTATCATAGCATAACCTATCGAAGCTTAACCTATCGCGGTGTAACATAGTGGAACACATCATAGCGTAATAGCGTAACACATCATAGCGTAACACATCATAGCGTAACACATCATAGCGTAACATATCATAGCGTAACATATCATAGCGTAATGTATTGTAGCGTATCTTATCAAAGCATAGTGTAGCGTAGCATAGTATAACATAGTGTAGTGTAAAGTTGCGTCAAAACATGTAGCATTGTATGGAACTGTGTTGTATTGTGTCATATCCCATTGTTTTGCACTGTTCTACTACAGGTCATACTCCATTTACATGTGTATCATTAGAGCAGGAAAGTAGGTACTCTGAGTTTTAAGTAAAATTAAAGACAAGACTGAAATAGTCCAGGTATGTAATAGTTCCCATACAGGTAACACATTAAAAAATACTTGATGCGAGTGTCGACAGCAAACTGCAGACATCACATGCAGACATCACATGCACTTTCTGTGCAGTGAGGACAGTCGGCATCTGTTTCTCTTCCTGCCTCATGCTGCTGTCAGGACAGTCTGATTGATACAAACTGCTGCCACAAAGGACTCTCTAACAGGCGACACAGCCTGCTTTCTCCCCGTTCTTTGCTTGTGACAAATGTAGCCTCTAAGTGTCTGTGGCAGACTCTGATCCTGCAGGACCCTTCACGTTGCGTATGAGTGTAAAATTTTTTGTCATTAACTCCAGGTGCTCTCTGGATCCAATCCTTTCCCCCCTCTGTCATCATCGACCAGAGAAGCAAAGTCCGCACGAGGCTGCGCTTCCACTTTCCGCTCTGTTTACACCAAGTCCAGATAGGCAGAAAACGCATGACAGACAATCTCTGCCCTACTTACAGCTCCACCACACAGGCACGAACATCACACAGAGGGGGAAACACGTAGAAGTGAATCTGCAAAAGACAGCCCACTTTGGGAAAAAAATAAGGCTGAGGGCCAGTCCTGAATCCGCCTCTGGCTGTCCTTGACGAACCTCCGGGCCAGATCCTCCTGGGTGGTCTAAGCAGCGTGGAGCTCTGAGAAGATTTATCTGGATGCCTGACAACTTGTGCACAGCTCATCCAGACTGCTGGTGTCCCCACAGAGAGCACATGTCACTGCCTTAAAAGCAAAGCTGCCTGACAATGACATTGTGGGGTTGTTTTTATCTGGGATTCTCTTGATTTTGGAGAACTTTTGAAGAAGTTTGGAGGAGAGGAAGTACAGTTGGAGTTCACACTTTTGTTTGCTAGGTTACAGAATTTCATCTGAAATATTTATCAGGCTATACTGTTCGTTTGTGAACCCAACTGTGTCTATCAAATAAATAAATATATCATGACAATAAAGCTGAAATGCTGCACTTATATAGACATACTCGACAATGAGCTTTAGCTTTTCATAAAAGATTGTAAAATTGAGTTTTTCTGACTTGGTTCTCAAATTGTGTAACACTAATGCATGAAAAAAAGTTGTTCTTAACATGAGATATTTGTCATATATTTCACTAAAACTGTGTTTTTACACCAGTACAAGCAGAGAAATCTAAGATTTTGTAGGTCGGTTCAAGGTTGGTGAATGTTTCAAATCAATCAATCAAATTTTATTTATATAGCGCCAATTCACAACAGTCGTTTTTTCCCCAAGATGCTCTCCAAAGAAAAAGAGCAGGTCTAGACCAGTGTTTTTCAACCAGACTTAGTTAGTGAACCCTGAGAAATTATCCAATTTCACTTAATTGGTCTAAATTATTATCTTTTTTAAATTACTTATTATCTGCACATAACATGCAATTTTCAAGTGTCTGTGCTGTAATCTACAGCCCCAGGTTTCACACTGGGTTAGTATGAATCAATTGAGAGACTTTATCGTCATTGTGTAAACTGTATTTTGGGCTACCAAGTGTCATTCAGTAACGTTTTTGGTTGTTGGTGCGCCTCGTGATTTTTTTCTATGAAAAAAACGTACCATGGCTCAAAAAGAGGTTGAAAAACACAGGTCTGGACCACGCTGATTGTTTGATGAATTATCGAGACCCAACCTTAAGATGCGAAAGATTTGACCCATCTCATCTAACATGAGTGAAAGTAGCAAGAAAAAACTTCCTTTTAACAGGCAGAAACCTTGGGTGGGACCAAAGTCATGTTAGACAGCCACCAAGCCGCTGCTGGGCTGGGGAGAAGTACAGAGAGATAGGGAGGAAGAAAGAGAGAGAGAAGTGGAGAGAGGGCAGGGGGAGAGAAAGAGAACGAGAGAGAAGGAAGGAGAGAGAGAATGAGGAAGGGAGAGGGAGGGAGAGAGAGAGAGACAGGGGACAGCAGCAACATTAAAACAGCAACAACAAGAACAACAGCTCATGCAAAGTTGTGGTTGCAGAGCAAGAAATGATGAAAAAATATGAATTCAGTTTTCAGGATCAGGATATAAGTAATTATAGACTATGTTAAATTAGTTTAATGTGATTACAGCCTGCAGGCCCAAAAGTAGTAAATTTTCGCTTTATGTCATTAATGTCGGTGAGGCTGATGTTCCTGTCTGCAGAATCAAGGATGCGCCACACGTCACGTCAGGATGTGAACTTGTTTAACCTGCTGCTGTTTCGGAAGATTTAAATGACATAAATTATAAATAAACCAAAAATAAAAAAGAAGCTTGATTAAATGACTTTGTCAATTCTATTTCCTCCTGAGTCAATTACATTTTAATTAACCATGCGGCTGTGTTTTATATTAAAAGACTACAACTCCCATGATTGCTTTCTGCTTAATGACGTCATTACATAATGTCTTATCACTCAACATAATTATAATTAACTCAAAGCAGCAACAATTAAGGCCGAGGATAATCTGTTCACACCACTGCCTGTTGACACTGTGGCAAAAATGTGAGTTTCTGTTAGTTTCTGAAAACATAGTGGCAAAGCGTCAGTTTGCATCTCAAGGTAACTTTAAAAAAGTCGATACTAGATGTGCAATAACTCCTTCCCATGTGTGTGATCAGTTCCCAGCATCGCCTTTGCTTTTCAAACCAATCAGAGTGAAGCACTTTACACAGCCGGCTTCCCAGCATGCACTGGTTCTCTGCAGAGACCTTGTTTTAGTGTATGAAGAGAACATACAGGAGGTAGTAGTGCCACGCTAACTATGATTAAGATTAATAATGAATGAGATCTGGTGCTACAACTCAAACATAACAAGCTCCAAGAGAGCAGATTCACTTACTGTCTTCACTCAAACCTTGGTGTCCAAACCGGGGGATTAGATCCTCACCAGCTTTGGAGGCTACAAGTGTGAATAACTTGTAATTGCATCCTTGGTAAAAGTTGTCTTCAGTTCTATGTCACAATTCTCCAGATTTATTGGATGATGCTGCAGTTGATTCTTAAAATACAGGAATTTGCTTGCAGAGGATTTATCTGATTTATGTGTTGATGTGGATGTTGAAGATTCTCATCTACCGCAGAAAAAAGTTTGGGCACCACCGCCTTGAATAACTTTGATTTAAGTGCTCGACCGAAGTTATGTTTGGGAGCTGAACCGGCTTAAAATAATTTACCGCCTCCGCAGAAGAGGGAACATGATGTAGATGAGTTAAGGGTCTGTTTGTTGCTAAGTTTGGACAGAATGTGCTCCCTTTTAGGAGGCAGCAGATGTTGCAAACAGGAAAATGACATTTGGCTCTCTTTAATGTCTTATTGGGTTCATTAAAGTTTAAGAACGAGCCGTCTTTTTCTTCTTCTGTGTATGTAAGACTCGAGGGGAGAGAATGAAGGGAATCAGATTGCGGAGAATAAATGCCACTTTTCAAGGAGGCATCATAACCAGCTACGGTTTCTCATATGAAATAGTTGTATACATCTTATAAAAAGCCAGCTGATTAGTTTCAGTGGGTTTTGTTTCTGCACTTTTATATGTTAATTCAGCTTTTCCTGATGTTGCTCTGCAGCGATGTTTAAAGACATCGTCGTGACATTGCAGTAAAGTTAAACGCAGGCACAATAATTCAGCTCAGCAACCAGAAAAAGTTGTGCATTATTACAGCCGGGAAGGTTGCACACAGTGAAAGCCCAGAGGAGTGTGTTAGAGACGTTGTTGTGACTCTCAGTAGAAGGCCTGGAGCCTCATTACTGCTTGTTTTTAACTGTGTTTCTAAACCATCTATCAACAAGAATGTGTTTTGAGAGATTACCTCTGGGTCATTTTAAACCAAATAAGCGCTCACAATTATGTTTTTCTAATTATGATTATTTCATGATTACATTACTGGGCTCCTTTGCTGTAGTAAACACAACATGGTCTCCGGGCTGTAGAGGGAAAGGGGTGACAATGTCACTGAAACCAATTAAAAAGCTATCAGAGGGAGCAGAAAAGAAAACATTTCCTATTAGATTGCAGAGTTAAGCACTGGACCGAGCCAGAAGTGGCCACAGGAGCAGTAAGATGTTATTACTCTCTGCAGGCGCTGGCTTGTTATTCCTGTGTGGTGTTGGATCCTAAAGTGGGCTCGGTAATGACCACTAACAGCACTCCACGCTGCTGTTCTGAGGTACTGTGCTCTCTACTCCACTTGTCATTGTTCACATGAACATTCAAATGTGTCGGGTACATTTCAAATGAATTATTTTTCTCCTGTGGAGGGATACAGGGCTGCGTGCAGAGGCTAATGAAAACATAAGGGGTGCAACATCGATTTTTATCAACATAACAGGTTGGAACGAAGCTATCAGGATCTGAAATCTTTAGAGAATTAATAATGGCGCATTTAATATTAACACATGAATACTTGATGAAAATCTGCAGCAGCAATCCAGAGTAAGCTACGAGACGAGGGAGCTCAGGGACTCCCAGGAAGATCTACAGTTATGCTGCGTTCCAGTTGTACTCAGAAGTCGGAATTTTCTGAGCTCCGAGTCGGAAATTTATCTGGAACGCCCCCCCTAAAGTTAAATTTCTGACTCGGAAAGTTGGACGATCCTCACCAATCGCGACCCGACGACAACGTCATAATTCAAAGACGGCAGCGCAGTGCATCAACAGTAAAGAGTAACAGTTAAAGCTCTTGTAATGTATTATTTATCAGCACTTCTGTTTTGTTTTTGTGAAATTAAACAAGTGGTTTATGTTGTACTGCCCAACGTCTAACTGTGAACACGATGCTATGGTGTTTGTAAGAGTAAAATACTGTGTTACACGCCATTAACAACTGGTATCACTAACAACAACTGACAACGGCTAACAACAGCTGACAATTGTAAACAACAGCTAATAACGGGTAACAGTAGGCGTCCATCTTAGTTTTTTGACTTGTTAACTGGAACGCCGTCAACTCGGGTATAAAGTCATTCCCAGCTCAGACATCCGACTTCTGGGGTAACTGGAACGCAGCATAAGAGACCTAAAAGATTATATAAAGTGAGTCACATCCAGACAGATAGAGGTACTACAACTGAACATTTTCTATCCAAAGTAATAATATTGCTTCATTTAAGATGGATTAATACATTTAATACATTTAAACCTCACGTTACACTTAAACAGCGTTATAGCTTCTTGTTCTTCTCTGTAACTGTTCATATTTGGTTCGACATGTGAGATCAAATCATGTTCAAGCATGAAAAAACTAAAGTTGAATCAACAACGCTGCAGCTGGTAGATGAAAAGGATTACATTATAACATCAGACATGGTCTAAGAAATTAATATTTAAAGACAGTGGTGGTGGTCAAAGACTCTAATTACACAGAAAACACACAACCTCAGCTCCATAGGGGCTGAGACGCTGTGAAAATGTTGATATAAAAACAGCATCAAATCATTTCAATCCTTTACTTAACTGAAAAAAAGCAAATACAGCATGTTAAATGTTAAAACGGATGTTTGTTTATTTATTCTTTAAGGAAAATATACACTCAAAGTCTTTCCTTGTCTGAATGGAAGCACATGTAAGCTTGTCGTATCATAGAAAAGCGTGTGTTGACACCATACCAGGGGCTCCTCCCGTCTGAAATTAACAGATGTAGTGTCCATGATTTCCAAAAAGAGTGTCACAGAAAAGTTTTTTACTTGAACCTCAGTCCATCTTCAGTGGTCTGGGGTTCAGAGAGTTTGCTGGTGAATCTGGATTACGTTTATCATTACGCTGATGGCCAATGTATTCAGGCTAAACTCGTCATCGAAGCGATCGTGGGTTTGATTTGCGGCCACAGTCTCTTGCTCCCCAAGTTTTTTGTCTCTCTTCATCCGTCCTGTCTAATAAAAGCCAAAAACGCCCAAAATATGACTTCTTGCAGAAACCATTATTTTGGAGGTGATTTTCATTCTATACGTTGATTTCCACTTTAGAGTCATGTCTAAATGCCACACACAGATCACAGCCGTACAACTGAATTCAGCCTTGTTCCTCTTGTACTTTGTCATTTTGTACTTGGTTTTCAATAAAACCCCCAATTCTTTGCAATATGTAATCCTGAAACTGTCCAACATTAGCTTCCTCAATGAAAAATAAGAGATTACTCCAAGTTCAACCAACACAGGCTTAGAGGAAGTGTAACATTGTACAGTCATAGTCTGCTCTATATCACGACCCCACCCACTGTAAATGCTCTGGACATCTCCCCCTAAAGGATAACAGCACAAACGTGCCTCGCCCATATGAATCCCACTCTCTCCACAAAAACCAGCCCTTAGTTTTTCATGACCCAGTAGTATTCCTGGAGATAAATCCAGGATTTCAAGGGTCAAAGGGATTGGGAGACTTTATCCACAAGCTTTCCCAGCTCTACAGCTTAGGCTTTTAAAGGTGCTCACATCCAGAGTGTGTAAAAGTATCGTGTGCGCGAGTGTTGTTATGAAAAGCCAGCTACGGTCTGGGCGTAGAAAACAGGTGAACATCCGTAAGAGGGGACTTAAGATCAGATTAATGCATGTATACACAAGTATATTTTCACACGGCTAAATCTCATGCATCTTGTCTTCAACCATCACACTGCAAAAAACGGGGGGTTTTAAAAACAAGATAAAAACACTAAATCTGAGGAAAAAGGTACTAAAAACAAGTGAAATTATCCGTCCATGCAGCGAGATAATTTCACTTGACAAGATTTCTTGAATTAAGATCGTTAAATCTAGAAATAAGCATGTCTACAAATGTATTTAGAAGGCTTATACTAAGCCAAAAATGCTGATTTGAAGATCAGATTACTTAGAATTTAACCTTTTACAGCCCTAAAATAAGTAAAATGTACTTAAATATAAGCATAAAATAAGTATAAAATGCTGGTTTTAAGATCAGATTACTTGAATTTTAACTTTTACAGCCCTGAAATAAGTGAAATGTACCAAATATAATCATAAAATAAGTATAAAATGCTGGTTTTAAGATCAGAGTGCTTGAAATTTAACTTTGAAAGCATTAAAATAAGTGAAATTTACTAAATAAAAGCAATTACATATTTTATTGTCTTACCTTTAGCAAATTAAGCTGTAGATAAGTTAAACAAAAAATAGAAATTTAGAGAAAAAACACCCGGTATTAGTGAAGAATGACTAAACTCTGTCTCAATCCAAGCAGGCTGATCTCGAAACAAGGCTTATTTAATCTTAAAACAAGATTCCTTCTGATGAGACTTGAACTTATTATAACAGTTATTTTTCTCATTTTAAGATTTCCTGCCTATTGAAGACAAAAAACATAAGGTTGTGCTTGATATAAGTGTACAAGTGTAAAGTTAAACACTTAAAATAAGAAATTAAGTCTTAAAACAAGAGAAATTAATAATCTGAAATAATAATTTGCAGTGCATGAACCCTGAGTTTATCTGATGATCTTCTCGGACAGTAAAAACAGCCTGTAGAAAAGCACCAGCAGCTGCATCTCCTCTCAAACAGCTCCGTCTCAGGCACTGTAAGTCACCCTGACCCCCCCTTCCCTCCCCTAGAGGGGACAGGTCTCCTCAGTAAATGATAACCACCAGGGCAACATCATTAGGCGGCTGCTGTGTGGCAGCAGCTCCTCGCCATGGAGTGATAAGCAGAAACACTGAGCTGAGGAAATGCTTGCAGTGCACTTGGAGGTGACAGGGATAATGTGGGCCATGCTCTTGTTATTCTCTGCAGAGCTGCACATCATTTGTACGCTCCGGCTATAAATAAAAATTTGTCACAAACCGAGATATGGAGTCTGTATGAGGCAACGAGCTGCAATCCTACCGAGTGTTATGAGCTGACCCAGAGCTAAACCGGCTCCCTGAACTGCAACAGTCCAAACAAAAGTGGGCAATCAAAACTTTCACCTGATGCACATCGAAATCAGAGTTACATGTCGTGATTAACATATATATTAGGGATGCACTGATCAGATATTTGGATCAGATATTGGCTCCGATATTGACAATTTTTTTTTTTCTTTTAATTGATATCATACACAGCAACACAGCGATTCTGTTCACTCTATAGTCTGTGGCTATGTTCACACTGCAGGTCAACTCCGTTTTTTTTAACCATAGGTAACACATATCTGATTTTTTCATCTAAGTGTGAACAGTGCAATTCGGATTTGTTCTAATCCGACCCAGGCCTCTTTTGTATGTGGATATGAAACAGATATGTATCCGATGTGACTGCAGTGTGGACGCTCAGGCATGTTCATCCGACCTATACGTCATCAATATGCGGCAAACGTCACCATTGTTTGACAACACAAACAGGCACGGAGAGCAATTTGTGATTTGTGTGCATGCAGGTCACTTCATGGACGCATTCCGTTCACATTAGATGCCAATTTGTTGTTGTAATATGAACGACCGCACAAAAAGATCGGATTTAACAAAAAATCCGAATTGTGCATCATAACCTGCAGTGTGAATGTAGCCTTAGTCTGTCTATCCTTTTGCACTAAATGTTTACATGGACGTCTTACTTCTTTTTGCTGTGTGCTAATGTGTAATTTTTTAATAAGTAATATATCTGTGTTAATTTGTTACCTTTTTTTTTAACAAGGCTAATGTCAAGCCTGATGTCTTCACTCACAGGGCAAGCTATACAGTTCATTCATTCAACAGTAGTAGTATTGGATCTTGTCTAAATGTTGTGCAGCAAACTTTAAACGGGCTTCAACATGCTTTTACTTCAGCAATGGAGTCTTGAGTGGTGAGCGTGCACACAGGCCATGGCATTGACTGCATTACTTATAGTTTTCTTTGAAACAGTTGTACCTGTTAATTCCAGGTCTTTCTGAAGCTCTTCACAAGTGGTCCTTGGCTCTTGGACAACTCTTCTGGCCTGTTCTCACGGTGGCTTCACCCAGCGAGGAGGCAGACGGCGTCCATTCTATATACAGTCTATGGCAGCCACAGCTGGGGAGAGGAGAGCAGGGAGAGGAGCAGTAGGAGACAGATGTGTGTTTGCGTCTGAAAAGCCGAGGGACAGAATGAGGACGTATCTCAGATGTGGCTGAAAAAACACTATGGTTCGCCTTACAAAGCAGAAATCATGTTCAAATGGTTCAGTCTGCACCCATAACACCATCAGAGTGAGTTTTCCTGACTGAGATAATGACTCATACAATATCACCAAACGTTTTTGTGGATATTTTGCAAAACATTCGGCTTCACTCTGTCTGTCGTTCTTATCTTGTTTTCAACCTGCAGATAGTCTCCTCTGCAGGAGCGTGTTGTTTGTTTGATGGTCAGCAGTCACAGGCAGTCATTTTCACACAGCCCCGAAGAAAAGTTTTCTCCAAAATGTCAGGCCCATTCAGAAGAAAACAACAGTAACGAGCACCATCCCGTCGACTGACAGGCTGACAAGCGGCTATTAAAGCGAGCTGAACCTTCGACGTGAAGTCGCGGCGCAGAAATAGTCAACGAGCCTGCGAGATATTATCTAACCGCCGTGACGGAGAGGAAACACACAGAAAGAGCTGCTTACCACAGGGGACGTGAGATCTCAAAAGGCCACTTTGCCGACGTTGTTTGCTTAATTAGGCATTGAGGTGTTTTTTGTTTAAGTGTCGGGAAACAGATGGACTTCAGCAGCTGTAAAAGAAAAGAAAAAACAAAAACGAGCACAGAGGAGGAGGAAAAAAACTAATCATCCATTTTTCATCTGTATGATTGACACATCCAGCCTCAAGGTATATTCCCAGAACATTAACTTAAATAACAAGCCGTCTCTTTACCTTGACCAAACATCATAAAACACCTCCTATATGAAATGTGATGATGACTATCTCACGGTAATTTGCTATTTTAACAGAAGACAGGCGTCGGGATGAGCAGGCGTGTAATTGCCCTTGTCTCCTGCGCTCGATTGTAGGTCCTGAGAAGGAAAAAGAGACAGCAGGCCTCCTTCATTTGCCACACGATGAAACTCATTCTCAGAATATACAGCAGGGTAATTGAGCGATGAATTACTTTTGCGTCAGCGCCACTCAATGACAATGATTCTGATGTAGTCATATATTATCTCCCCCTTTGTGGTAATTTATCCCTAAAATGACATCAGATGGAAAATGAACATCCTGCCTCTTTTGTCAACCATAAAACCGAGCGTTTTAAACTTCCCCAAAAGAAACATAATTTTTCCTGACTACCTCTCAAACTTCACGGGGGTCAGTTTCCAGAAAGTACCGCTGCCATTGTGCTTTTCCATTATGTGAAGTCACGTCCTCGGCTTGTGGTTGCGTTACTCCCTAAAGAGAAGAAATAAATGAGTTTCACATCAAGTAATGCAATCAGCCTGGATCTCCCAAAATTTGATTATGTGAGCTATAATTGAGGAGACACCTCTACCTCGGATTATGCTGCAGAGAGAAAAAAACACATGCTTGTGATAATTGGAGAAAGATGGAGAAATAGATGTCTAAATCGAAGACAGGTAGGTAATTTAAATAGAGATGAGGACAAAAGGATGGCAGCCAACAAGAAAAAAAGAGGACAATCTTTATTTCAATCTTTCAATCCCGTATTAAAGTGTGACAGTCTCAATTCAAACCCAAGAAAAAGGAAGTTTGGCAGAGGATGGTAGGCAACTACAAAGACCAGAAGGCAAGGCGAGGGCATGGTTCCTTTAGTGCAGTTTCACAGTAACAACACAGATCAGCTCTGTGTAATAAAAAAAAAACAAGTGTGCTTAGGTTGAGGTGCCTAAGTCGATCAAAAGAAAACACGACACAATGAAAAGAGCAACAATGAATAACAGTGACGACTGCCTTCTCATTACTCGGCTTTTTAAAGAGCTCACAGAAAAGGGAATAATAGCAGTAACAGCTGAAAACATTCATTACCTTTCAGAAATATCATCCCCATTCAAGGCCCACTCAGCATCGAAATAGTTAGATGTGAATAAAATGACTTTCTCCACTGCTGCTGCTGTGTGAAATGTGATTATAAGCTAAACTAAAACTAAAACTAAAGATGTTGATCGAAGAGTTCAAGACTTGAGTGTCGCACTCCTGTCCCCAAGGTTAAGAATGAACTTACCGCTCATTCATTACCGTGTGTTCAAGTCCCCCCCGAGAGTTAAGCCGGTTATAGAAGCCTTCGCTGCTCATTTCAAACTTATAATTACTTTGCAGATCTGTGCGTCAAATATAACGCATGAGTGTTTCTGCAGGATAAGGTACGACTAAACTTCTTGTCATTGTTGCTCAGACTCAGATGGGAAGATTGAGGAAAACGGGGGAAACAGCTGGTTTAGCCTAATCGATAGAGGGACAATCTTCCCGTCATCTGCATTTTGAAGACTTTATGTGTATGTGTTTACTTAATTAATCATCAGAATTTAAGTTGGTCTGAGGCTCAACTTCCGTACATATAAGCTGATTTTTCTATCTGAACAAGCTGGATATAAACTAAAATCATTATTTATGTTGATGTAATTTTGCACCTCAGGATGAGAGCGCACAGTGCAGCTGTGAGCAGTAGAGAGGAGATGCTGACAGCTCATCACAGTCACAAAAGTGGAGCAAACTGCACAAATTTTTGGAGCTTCAGGTATTTCTGTGCTTGAATATCATAAACCCTGTCCTGTACTGTATGATAAAGAAGCAGCCGAGACCCATTCTTGGTAAAGTCCTCTCAAAAGATTTTGTATTATTTATGGCAAACAGAGCCCTGTTTGTTGTCATGATCATGTTTTCAGGCTTGCACAAAGTTTGTTTACGTTTTCACATTCAAAGCTCCTGTGAGAAACTCTTGCGTTTGTGTTGATTTTGGCGCCCCCTGTGGACAAAGAGGAACTTTACATCTCTGAGCTGATTTTGGCCGATGTATTTAGACATTTCTGACAAAAATCTGATAATTAAATGCATCACTCAGCAAAAAGATAAATATGACTTTTTTTTGCCGGGTGTGCTCTGGGAGGTTTTGTTACTAGATTGGACTAGCTTGCCTTTTCGCTGATGGGATTGTTTGTTTAGCTAACCAATCAAGAGGCGGCAACATATATTTTAGTCAAAAAACGTCCCCACAGGAGCTTTGAATTAAGGAGATTGAAAGTATCTGTTTTGTATTTCACTGATTTCCTCCTGTTTTAATTGTCTGCTTTGTTAGTAGTTTCTTTAACGTTTCCCTTCTTACTCGACACCGATTTCAAAAAACTAAATTATCTCCAAAACTGTCAAACTGCTGCTATGTTTCTTCGTTATTTACTCTTTAGAATGAGACCTAGGGTGATAAAATTATTTGCAATGTGTTTTTCAGTGATGATCATGTCACACAGCATCAAAATCATGTTTTTGTCGGTGAGGAGAAATCACTGCAAAGCAATCTGAAACTCAAATCCTGAGTGTTTGAGGGTGAACTGAGGGGATTTGTTTCTTCTCTTTAGACATTTTCTCTATCAACTATAAATTCCAGACGCCTCTCTGCCTGAAAAACCACCACCAGGCCCTGAATCCAACAAGGTGCACTCTACTTTCATAAAAACGTCATTACGCCGGGTGCAGCAGATTATAGCAGCACTTGCTCTTTTCATAAAATAAAGTGGCCACCTGCACCCAAGAGGAAGTCGTAACCCCTGCTTGATTTTAGTCATTACGCACGTTGTAACACAAGGGTAGAAGAAAAGGATAAAGATGGATTTGAACGCCTTGAGAGAGCTGAGAATACCTCACATTGTCAGTTTTCTCAAGATTTTCTGTTCATTTGCAACCAAAAAAGAGGTGAAACTGAGCCGTAGGAAGATGCTCTCATATTTCATTTGCACGGTGCATCAGGATGTAAACTCCACCCTGCCTACTGAATTCAATAAAAGCAAGCAGTGATGGAGGACAGATTGTAAAATGGAAGCAGACAGAGCCGGTCTATCTGAGGAATACGTCTTGTTAAAAGCCGCAGGAACTACTGGAGCATGTTATGGGTGTCTGCTGTACAGGTACAACCCGTCTACATGTGGAATTTTTAACAGGTTGGGTGGATACGAGTACAAAAAAAAAAAAATGTGCATTTGCCATATTTCAGTTTCTGACAGACTGAAACCAATTATCACTCCAGCTGTTCGCCATCAGCTGGCTTTGGAAATGGACACTAACAGCTAACAGGTGGTCGGGATGAGACGTAACACGAAATGCTCGGCACTTTGCATTCCTTAGAAAGAGAAGAAATTATTCCAGGCAATAAAATTCAATAAAAAAAAAGCACAATTCATTTATGGCAGATTTTCCTTCCTGGGAAACTTCTTTTGCTTTCTGAACGCCAATCGATTTACGTGTGAAGTCAACACTTTGGGTTGGAGAAAGAGGGGAACTAAATGGCTGTGAGTTATTCAGTTTGAAGGCAAGGTTTATTTACTGTCTACAGCCTCTAATAGTCTATCATGGTAATCCAGAAAACACAGAAAAGGTGGAAAATAACGAAAAAAAAAAAGCAGATGCGAGGATGTTGAAGTAACGATCAAAGGGAACATACCACAGGGAAGAGACCACTCGTTTGTCCAATCTTAATAAATAAGTGGTTCGTTTGGTTCACAGCCATCCCTTCTTGACTTTAATGTTTTCGTTTTATGCTCCGTCATTAAAAAGGCTGTTGGTTTTAAGAATGATTCGATGGCTCTGCTGAGCCGCTGACCGGACAAACTGACACACAGAACTCAAAGACGGGTGGAGAAAAAAAGTCTGTGCTAGAGGGACTTTTAAGGAGAGTGATATGAAAGACAAAGAAGCAGAGCAGTAATACATTGATATGTCTTTGAGTTTCATGTCACTGAATTCAACTAGGCCTATCATCCTCTATCCAACAGGCAGCCCCTGTGTTAATCGGTTTTCTTCTCCTCGGGATCCTTCTCCCCGCCGTCGTCTTCCTCGTCGGGGCCCTCCAGCTCGGCGGCGCGTTGCCTCTCCTCCTCCTCCTCGTCCTCTTCGTCAGTCAGGCCCTCCCTCTTGAGCGCGTCAATGTCATCCGCGCCGTCGTCCGACTCGGCTGTGCAGATGCCGTAGCACATCAGGCTAATTACACCCAGCGGTAGGCCGAAGAGGAAGCAGCCCAGCAGTGGAGAGCTGCGAAACACTGACTGATGTGGAGACAGAGACGAAGAAGAAGAAGAATAGACAAGGAAGGGAAAGTGTTAGAGGAATAATGAGACAGATGAGAGCAGCGAGAGAGGAGAGACAATTATGACACTCATGAACAACCTTCACGTTTGAGACCATGAGCTCCAATCTCTAAAGCCCTCCTCTCACCTGTTTGAATACAATCACAGCTGAGGCTACGCCACACAGTTGGCACCCTGGCCAAGGATATCTTATGTCTTCTAAGATTATCCTATAAGATTATCCTGTGTTCTGAGGTGTATTGAGAGTGAATTTGTCCCGATAATTGGGTCCGAAACCGGTCGGGTCCGACAATCTCTATGAATAGACGGTGTTTACACAGTGAAGAGCTTTTATGTAGAAACCTGACTTAGGAGGCTGATCCAAAAATATTGGTGTAAAAAACAATAATCAGCCGGCTTTGATGTTTTTAAGTGTAGACACTGGATTTTTATTCATATTATTCATTCATTTGCATCAGACCATTAAGCCTGGCAAGAGTGTTCAGGAGGCAGGTCACAAATCATCGGTAGAGACTCGGCGGGCTTTAATATTTTAGTGTTAATTAAATATCAGTCATATGTTTGAGTGTGTATGTGTGTGTGTGTGTTATAGTGTTGTACTACAGACTGATTCATTTGTCTTGTTTGTGTTTTATTTTAATTTTTCAGTGTAGCCTTTGGTCTGTAATTCTTTGGGATATTCTGCTGTATTAGTGTTATTATCATTATTTTACTGTGTAGTGTGAACAATAACAAAAAAGGAAACACCTTTAAAACGCTGCCCTGTTTCTGCACACACTGATAGTTTTTGTCTTCCTTATACGACCATGAACACTTACATTAGGGCTGAGCGATATGGCCTCGAATCAATATCACGATATATTAAGCAGTTCACCTCGATAACGATAAATGGACGATAACTACTTCACAAGCTGCTCACCTCCTCCTACATAAACGTCCTCCATCTACTCACCTGTCTTTCCCTCTTTGTTACAAACTGGATGGGGTGGAATCATGTCTCCGATGTAGGACAGCGTCTTAGAGGGACATGAGTCCATAGCCTACCTACATACATCAAAAACCAACTTTTATATATTTATTTTTTTGATATGACGATATGTGCAAAATGACGTTGGTTGTTGTCGTAAATTTTGTTATCTGTAAATTTTTGGTTTATCGCCCAGCCCTATCTGACAAAACAGAAACGTAAGAGGAATAGTATTTTAACTATACTTCAAAAAACCTACTTATCTTATTCGTACTGTGTCAAAAAGTCTGGACTCTCAGCTTTTAGATATTTTTTTGTCAAATGTATAATGCAGTTAATGCCAAAAACCTAAAATTTTCTCTTCTGGTCATGATAAAAGTACAGATGTGCGCACAAAGTCAAGAGTATGATTGTCACCCTCATTAGCTGGCACCAGAATTTCCAGTTAGTTTAACAAATCACTAATATTTTTTATAGCAGGCCTGAAATGTACGAAAGAGGATTAAAGCCACAAGAAGAGAAAAAAATAATTACAGGAGGGAGCTTTTTTAAATTTCCATTTCAAGATTAAAGTCGAAATTTCGAGATTAAAGTTGAAGTGAAAAAAAGTAAAATTTTAGATTTTATTTATGTCAACTTTCATCTTGAAATTTAGTCTTTTATCTCAAAATTGTAATTTTTTTAACCCTGATATTTCGACATGATTCAAGAAATTGACATTTTGTAATTTCGACTTAGTTAACATCAATTTTTTTAATCTCAAAATTTCAACTTTAATCTCCTTCCTGTTATTACTTTTTTTCTCTTCATGTGGCCTGAATCCTCTTTCGTCGAAAATGGGACTAATACGTTCATCACTAGCCTGGACTGTTGCTCTGGTTGATGGTGCTCTACTACCTCGACTTAAACAAGCACAGGGGGCCGATGTTATCTCGTAGCTTTAGCACCAAAATAGAGATAACAGCTGCAGACAGTCTGTGTGAAAATGATCCCTCTTTTCCCAAAGGTTACTAAAGGACAGCTTTTAAAGTTCCTCTCTAAACGATCAGAGTAAAAAATGCATCATTTAGCCTTTTTATAGCAGGAAACATCATTTGGCCCTAATGTAACAGGAGTCATCTGAAACAATGTACCTAGAGGGGGGGGCACTCAATCACAACTTCTGTCAGGCACTGAGCTGAGGAGAAGAGAAATATCCACATCCCCTACAGTCACTGCCTCAGGAAGAGGGATGGTAATTGCCACCGCTGCGATGCTACATGAGCTAGAGATGGGTATGCTATGCTAACAGAGCTGGCTGTGACTCATTGGCTCTAATGGCTGTTTCCTCATGCTGCTGTCAGACGCGCATTTAGATGGGCTCTCTGGGGGCAAGGTGATGACTGCTGCCTATCTCCTTTGTGTCATATCATGACACTGTGAGCGGAGTAGCCATGGTGATACTTGCAGGGGGGCTAAATTTAGGGAAGCAAGAGGGAAAGAGCATTTCCTGCCTCCTACGGGTGCAAAAGTAACCAATTTGTACATCACGCTGACTCTTTGGTGCCAGTTTCTATCTGTTGGTTGTCAGGAAAACTCAAATTTTGCTCTTTTGCAGCTAAAAGAAAAGTAATTGTGCTTTCTGTGAATCATTCCTTCACATCGACTAAGTGGAAATATTTCTACAAGCTTTAAGTTTTCGTCCCTGAAGTTTTTGTCCCTTTTATTTCTCCTTGTTCCCGAATAAACTCCACGATCTTCCCTTTAAGAGTTCCCTGCATCTCTTTAAGGGCATTGTTAAGGGCAGCTCTACCGGCGGTGGTTTCAGTGCAACTGTGCCACCCTGAGAAGCATAACAACACGGCTGTATTTACATTCCTATCACACCCTTGGTAAAAATACACCCGCTCTCCCAAAAGAACCAACAACTTAGAGAAAAAGTGGGAGGAGAGGCAAGTGCAGCCTCCTGACCCTCTCTGCTCCCTCATTACTCCACCTCCTCCTGCTCTGCTGCATGTTTCTCTTTCCCGGTACGGTGTTTACTGCCTGCATTGCATATTCTCAGCTGAACTCCCCACAACGTCCTCTGAATGTTGTTTTCCTCCCACAGGGACAGAGCAGGGCACTCGGGCATTTGTATTACAGTTTTACTGAACTTGGCGCAGGTTGTATATACACATATATTTATATATATTCACAGCATTTACCCTCAATTGGCAAACGGAGTCAAGGTGAGGCGAGGTGCGAGGCATTTTAACAAGAGCGAGGAGTCTAGTAAAAGTGATCCAGTTTATACGCGCAGCTAAAGGAAACCTAGAGCGAGAACGAAGGTGCGTCAATTCGACTGAAGGTCAATAAAGTAAATCAAAATAAAAACAACAGTACTTTTTGCACAAAGAAACAAAAACAAACATTACTGAGTTACTGTTATATAAAAAGCACAAGTGTAAAGGATTATCACCCTCATCAGTAGCCACGTTTACATGTGCAAATTTCTTGATCTGATTAAAAATTTGAGGGATCGGATGGTCATATGGGCGCAAAATCGAATAATCTGATCATGATGTGCGTATACATGCACCAAGCTTTATTCAGATTTGGACATGTGCAGAGTAATCTGATTTTGCTAAAACAAGCGCAGAAGAAGAAGAGTTGTATTTACGCCTGTGCTGTCAACAAACCAATAAACGCGGTAGTGGCTCACTCCATCTAATTCAGGATGTTTCCCCCTGTCAAGTGTTGTCATTAGATGGCGCCCTTGCTCACTTATTTTACTGTTCTGTCAAATGTTGGACTGCGTGCAGATGTGACATCAATACCCTGTGTGTACGCCTTGTTATATTATAGGAGGAGCAGACAGAAGGCTAACGAGTGGAGATCGGCTCAGGTAAGAGAGTCACGATCAGAATAAGTGTTTACACGGACGCGTTTTAGCATAACAATCGGCATAAACCACCACTCCCCATCGGAATACTATTTCTTCGGGATTGAGCCGAATTGGATCACAATCTTCCGATCGACATGTTTACATGACCAATTTTTCCTCTGATGGGGACTTTATTACGATTATTTGTGCCCATGTAAACACAGCTTTTGAGTGTTTTGGATGATCAGCTGATCGTGCTGGTTTATAGATCAAATGATCTATAAACCAGCTTCCTTAGACTTGTTCAGCATCAGACAACAAGGAGTAAAAGTGAACTGCTGGAATATGAATGAAATGGAGCTTTTCAAGACTAAAAAGACATATATTTGTTTAAGAAGATGGTGCAGACCAAAACAGAGCCAAAAAGAGTGCGTTTATATATTAAATATATATATAATGATTTAGGGCTTGGCGATGGACCGAAAATTTACTGATACTGAAATTTACAACAATAACTGATGTCATTTTGCCGATGTCAATATATTCGGTGTCAAAAAAACCAATTAAATAAAAGTTGGTTTTGGATGTTGTGTAGGTAGGCTATGGTCTCATGTCCCTTTAAGATGCTGTCCTACGGCTGAAACATGACTCCACCCCATCCAGTCCATAACAAAGAGGGAAAGACAGGTGAAGAGATGGAGGACGGTTCAAAAGTTGTAGCGGCTGAAGTAGACGAAGTTAATGTAGGGAGGGGGTGAGCAGCTTGTGGAGTAGTTATCGAGGTGAACTACTCAATACATCGTGATATTGATTTAATGCCATATCGCCCGGCCCTATAATGAATGCTTACTGTGTCACCTGGCTGGGAAAATAAACTGCTGAATAAAAGCTCACTGTTTGTGATTCAACGTGTGCAGAGCATTTTTAGCACCCTTCTTTTAATCAGAAAAAGACCTGCACCCTCTTAGCAGAATCCCCATGATGCATTGTGGTTGTGCATGTAGAGTTAAGCTCATTGTTATGTGAAAAAGAGCCCCTTCAGTGTGAGACGTGAAGCAAAAACAAATGCAACACTTTGTCGGCGCAACACGAGCAGCTGAGTAAAAAACAAAACAACAGGAGATTTAAAAAGTTACAGGAAGAGTTTTTTTTTGTGCAGCTGCTGTAATTTCCTGCATCTGGCATAAATGTTGGTGGAAAAACACAAAAGTTTGGACCTTAAAGTGAATAAAAACAGAAAGTGTAAAGTTACTTCTACAGAGTTTTTAAATGGAAATCATGAAGATTGTGTTTGATAACTGCAATAAATAATCTTGAAGTGTGTGATCAGGTTGCTTCGAACATCACCTCTGCTATTAAGGATCAATAATTACTGTCATAGGGTGTTGACCAATCAGGATGAACTTAGCGACACAGCTTGGTGATTATAATAGGAAGCCTTTTTGATGCGTGTTGAGAAAGACCGGGCTGCAGGTTGCACACATGGAAAGAAAATGTTTGTCCATCATCACGTGAAGGAAAAAAAGACTCTTCAATTCATGCCAGCAAGTGACCAGCGGAGATGGGTGGAGCATGTGTAGATGATGTGGTTGTTGGCAAGTCACCTCAGCTACTTTACTGGTAAGCTAGCGGGATCATAAACGCTCCATGGTGAAAACAGATGGTGTTACAAAGAACTTACACAGCTGCACAGAAGCTGCTGCTGCTGTAGTGGACCTGGCAGAGAGCAAAGGGAATCATGATCCCACAGGAAGACAGTGAGAGACTCTCATAAACAGACGGGTTCAAACTACACCTGGATTTTATGGTTATGTGGATTTAATTCATTAAATGTGAGGGGTTTTTGAGAGAGCTGCGAGGTGAGCGAAGCCGAATTCAGGTCAAATGCGCTTTTGAAGTTCATAGTTCAAGTAATGACGGCAAAATCCTGTTTGCAGCCTGGAATGAACTTACCATAATGGTGGATCTCGCATCAAAGGCCACACGTTTGATCCTCTGGATGACGCCATCACCTCCGTACGCCTGTAGGGAGACAGCATTTGATGTGTGAGGTCGAGTGTAGTTTCAAAGCACCGTGAGCTTAAAACAGGGTTTGATCGTGTTTATTTTGATGCGTTCACCTCGGGGTATTTCTTTATTAACCAAACATATGTTCATAAAAGCGTCTTCAGTGCATCTGAAGTGAAAAGTTTCGCTTTGACTCTTTGTTTGTTTGGTGTCCAGCAGCTTCCCGTCCGCCTGAGCTCATTTGTGCGAAACAGCACCTGGACCGCCGATGACTGATCCGTCCCGACGCTAATTCATCAGGACGGCAAATTAGCGAGCAATGACTAAGCATGACTTCTGTGAATGAGCAGGAGGTGGGCAGGGGAGGATTTCTGTGGAAACAGCTGTTGCACAGACTTAAGCTTATGCTGTGTGACGACTGCATAAATAGTTCAGAGGGGAGGGTTTTTACATCTTTATAAAGATGTTCTTTCTCAATTTCTAAAGAGCAAATTGTGACAGGGATTAAAAAAAGAGTCGGCCTTTGAACCACAGGACCTGTAAGTGGAGATATACTTTTAAAAATTATCTGGAGGAAGACGCCAAGGCCTGTCAGCTCTGTCCTCCTCTCGGCTAGTTTGTGCTTCACACGCGAAGTTAAACGCACCGTCCGTCTACCTTAATGTTCGTGCTCTGCTGACTTCTTTTGAGAAACACAAAGAAAGTTCAAGAATTTTAGTCATGCATGGGAAAAATTTTCAGCTCCCCTGCATTCCCAGAGAAAAGAGAAAAAGATGAAAAGAGCTCCCTTGAAGTCTTACAGAAACTTTTCTGCACCATATGCATCATTTTTAATGTACTTTAACGCTTTTAACGTCGTATTATCGTGTGTTTTTCTTCTCAAAAGTACAAAGCAGCCTTAAGACACCTCGTGGCAGTCATTTACAAGGCTGAGGTTGTCCTGGTTTTGGCTGGAGCCGGACTGCAGAAACATGGTGGTTTCTGTTTCTGTTTATTTGGTGGGAGGAGGTTTGTTATGCTGAACGAAAATAGCTCCAACCTTTGTTGGAAAAAAAGGAGAGGACCTCTGGCTGTTTGGCTTATGGTTTCATACATCTGGTGACTTTCGTGTAATGTGCGGAGAGCAATGACATTTCCTTACCAGATTAGAACACAATACAGAGTCGTGTAGTAATTTCAGCGCGAGACTAAGACGACAGAATTATTGTAGATAATCTATTCAGAAGAGACAGCTATATGAAATCCAAACATGCAGAAGAAGATTGCAAAAATACCTCATCTGGGGGAAATATCTTCCAGGAGGGACTCAAAATTCAAGACAACATGCCTGATTAATGAAGACTACTGGTGTGATTACAACGGTACAACACAAGAGAGGGAGGGGAAAGGGCTGCACTGCGCTGAGCTGAATGCATAAACAGAAAGCAGGAAGGGAAGATGGAAAGATTTGGACCTGTGCAGAGCCGTTCAAAACGCTGTTGATGAATTGGACCAGCTGCTCCATGGTCTCTATCCGCTCTCCGGGTAGAAAGTACTGCTCGTTGGAGGTGTTGAGGATGATAACGGAGGGCACCGTCACTTCGCTGAGGAAAACAAGAAACACAGCTTTTAATCTTCTTAACCTCGGCACCTTGGGCTGCCATTATCAAAGTGCATCATTAGATCGGAACAAATCGAGCTTTTTTTGAAAAAGAACAAAATGCAACGCAGAGATCACAATAGAGGGATAAACAAACCCTTTTGTACTCGGAGAAACCCAACTTTTCCCATGGGCATTCTTTCAAAGGGAGGCTTCTGCAGTCGAGCCTGTTATAGGGTGGCATTTCTTCTATCTTTTATGCAAACAGTGTGCAACTCGGGGCTTTACGGGTTCGTGCCGGTCACAGTTAAAGAGACCTCTGCAAATTACAGCTGACAAGGAAAACGCAGGGAGTCCAGTGGAAAGCAAGTCTGCATCCATGCTCAGACTAAACATACACAAAGAGGCCAAGCAGCGCGGTGATGCTGTTACTGTATACCAGCAGAAAAAACACAAAGAAAGAGACACACACACACATAAAAACACACGCACACTCAAGCCCACTTACTTCCACAAATCAGCAGAGGAATTACAGAGCTCAGTGAGATAACAAACAAGGTCGTATAAACAAGCAATCCCTCTTTCACATGTCGAGCACAAAGCACCAAACCCGGGCTTAGATAAGGTGTCCAAGTGCTTAGAAGCGCACACACACACACATGCGCGCACTCAGCCACACACACACACACACACACAGTCCATCACGCTCACATCCCCGCGGTGTTACTCAAGCCAGCAACAAATTTCACACACACGCACTCGTATCCATCACTGTCCCAATCCACCACCCAGCTGAGATCAGGAGTGCAAACACACACGCCCGAGCAGTCGACTCATCGACGCCTCACAACTCTGTCCAGCTGAGAGCTCCAATCAAACACACACTAACACACACACACACGCACACACACAACTAGTGTGTAGAACTTGACGTGCAGCCTAGTCCAACAGATGGCGGCCATTTAAAATAAATATGGATTAGCCTGTTCACCTCTGTGAGTGGAGACTACCGGGGTTTGCCGCCCATAATGAAGGGTCATATACGGTGCTACGGCGTGAAAACAGGCGGAGAGCGCACATTAAAGTCATTTCCTGTCAGCTGGAAAAAACAGCTGCTTCATAATCAGGGCTAATTATTATTTTATTCATATTCATGGTGAATAATAGCAACATTTGGGTTTTTACTGAACACATTTACTCGATATCCTATATAAACACCCTCTACTGTCGGATTTTATGACTTTAAAGTGAAAGCAGCTCTGAGCAAAGTCCTAGTTTGTGGCTTTTTTACAAATTTAGTTATGTTTCAAAAAGTTGCTGATGATGTAGAGCTGGGCGATATGGTCTACCTGCACACATCCAAAACCAACTTTTATTTATTTATTTTTTTGACACCAAATATACCGACATGTGCAAAATGATGTTGGTTATTGTCATATCAGTAAATTTTCGGTTTATCGTCCAGCCCTATGATGACGGAAACTTATTTTACTATGCAAGTGTTTTCAATGAGCGGCTTGTGGAGTAGTTATCGTCCATTTATTGTTATCGAGGTGAACTGCTCAATATATGGTAATATTGATTTGAGGCCATATCACCCAGCCCTACTTTCAGCTGTAAAAATCATCACCCAAACTGGCAGTTTACATTAGCTTTGGTAGACAAACATCATTTTAGTTTTACAGTCTTATCAGTTTTATTTACTCCTACAGGTTGCTCTAATAAGCCTAATGTGAGCTGCTTCATATAGCGTACATTTAAGAAGTAGACTATAAATTTCAGCCCATCCCATATTGAAAGGCAAAAGTCCTGGTGCAAATTTCAGTGTGTTTCATCGTCAGCTAAAAACTCCTCACAGGAGCTTCAAACAACTAATTGTAGAGTAGTTACTGCTCAACCCATGTTCATGTTGTTTGAGGAAATGTCATTTAAAATGATTTTTGCTAAGTAAACTTGAGGTAGAAGGATGATGGTTATGGTTAAGCTTGTGGCCGAGTTTTGCCTCGTAAGCGAGTCTGTTGTAACAAAAAAGAATGAACTAAAAACAGTCGGGTTGTGACTATTTGGACTGGATGTTCAACTTAGAATACAAATGTCAAAACAAGCAATGACAAGTGCGGTGAACTGCTCAATATATCGTGATATTGATTTGAGGACATATCGCCCAGCCCTACGCCTGTCCATGTCATGTGTTGGATTCTGGTTTCTTTGTTAGAACAATACGCTACAGCTAAGAGGTCAGTATCAAATGTATAAAAATTAGCATACGTTGCTAAAGGTCCATACTAGCGCACCCTCTGGTGTTGCTGTGTTTTGTTTTCGTTGTTTTGGCTTACTTAACGAGACTGCGGCTCATTACCAACACTTCATTAGCTCGTTTTCTTCTCATTTTCAGTTACCGGCGGCATTTTTTCTCTGCCTTAATCATCAGAGTAAGACTTAATTAAAAAACCCAAACTGTAAACTTGTTAGCTCAAGCTTGCTATTGTCACTCGTTCGCAGCGGGATTGGCATTCATTTCCAAAAAAACATTTATTAGAGGTTCCACAAAAGCGACACTGAGTATGCAAATCAAATGACTGCGGCTTTGTGTGGATGTAATGATGCCTCCAGTCATTCAACTTCTATGGTTACAACTCCTCTCTTCCCACACCGACTTTACAGTCACCTCACATCACTCCAAGTTTTTCACTGCCCACAATGCATTCTATATAAGGGGTTAGCAATAATCCCACATTTAAACAGAGGCAGAGACAGCCTCGGGCTTAGAGTGGTGCTCATGTTGTGTGCCTGTGTGCATCCCTGAGCGTGTCTATGTGCCTCTAGTGAAAGCAGAGCCAGCCTTACGCCAGACAGACTGCTGCCAGAACACAGTAATCGCTGTGATGACAGAAAGAGGGATAAAAAGCCATCAGATTTATTTCCACGGCTTTCCTTAGGGAGAGAATTAGTGGACATTGACAGGCCAGGATTTCATTCCTCAAAAGAGGGCAATTAATCCAGTGCTGCCGCGGCCAAAATCTGTCCTGTTAAACCCACGGAAATACATATTGTAAGCACTCATAAAACTAGTAGGTCTAATCACATCTTTTATCCTACACTGTCAGGCTAAATCCTGCTGTGGATCCAGAATCTGTTCGTGGAGTGTCGTCACACTTCCAAAAACGGTCTCCTACAGTACGCAGTGACACACTTTTAATTACAGAGGACTTTGGGGACCGTGTCGGCTATAATCGCCATCATACAAACAATAACACGCTCAAATTAAAAGAACATCCTGTAGCGGTCTATTACGCTCGCAGATTCCGCACACAGCACCCACAACATTACACAAAGAAACATAATTAGATACAGTAGGCTGGCAGACACAGAACAGACACCGACTGCTTTAGCCCTGCCGGCCTGTAACACTAGCAGGGCTCTGTCTAATTAAAAGTGTGGGATGTCAGTTGCAGAGCCTCTCCGAGTAAGACGCGCACACAGTCGGCCTTGGCCTGTGCGCAGAGCTTCAGCAGCAGGGATCTCAGCTTCATTAGCGCCGCTCTTTGACAAGCTATTAAAACACATGACTGCTATAGATCTAATCCATGCATTGCTTTATCCCCTTTCCCTTCCTGCCCCTCTTGCACGAGCAGATTTGCAGCAGCTTTTCCCACCTCTGCGTGCTTTTTTGTAAGCTGTGGTGTGTGACGACGGGTGGGCTCGAATAGCCGCGAGCGCTAAAATAGAAATGACAGTCCGTCGTGGTAATTGACTTCTCCACAAGAGAGCGTCTTTTACGGGCGGAGGCTGGCGTTACGAGTCAGTTTCAACCTGGTTAAGCGGCTGACAGAAAGAAATGTGAGGTACGGAGAGAGCGGGGGTGACGTGTGGGAAGAGAAAGAGGTAAGTTGGATGTGAAAACTCACCCCATAATGAGGCTGTTGATGTAGTCGTTGCCGTCCATGTGGCCAAACTGGAAGTCTCTGGGGGAGCAAGACAAATCAGTAGCATCAGCAAGTGAAAGCGAACATCAAAACGACATAAAAAAACACACTAAAAATAGAGTTTTTTTCTGCCTCAGTGGAATTCAAATAACTAGAACACACTGCAGAGCTGACTTTCCAGCACAAAAGCACTTTTTTTTAAAATCCCATGTTGACATTTTGGAAACCTGGGAAACATATACCCGTACATATCCCCACATCTCCATCCTTTCCCTTCTCCTGTTTCCTACTCATCTTCTCCAACCACAAAACCGACTCAGGTGATTTATCTCGACGATAAGGCGGGAGGAGGAATTCAATTTGTATCTCATTGTGCCGCACTATGTTCCGAGCAGAGTGTATTGTGGGTAGACACGGTGAGGAAAGGTGGGGGGCGAGAAGTCCAGAGACCGACTTCGCCTGAATGACTGATTGTTGGGGCCTCTACATATATATTATATTCACACTGAATCAAAGCTACATCTCGCACGTTTCTCCCCTGGGTGCAGCACAATACTGCCCCCGCTTACATCAATGACATGATTATGAGGAGGCTGAACTCTATCATAAATACAGAGCATGTGATATAAAATCATTCGGCGTTCGAGATAATCCTGCTGACAATAGCAGGCTAGACTCCGAACAAAGCTCATTAAAAAGTCCGTTTGAAACATCTGTACACGTCAGGAGAGATGTGCAGAAATTTACAGCCTCAGTTTTAGAACTTTAGATCCTCAAAAACTTATTTACAGGATCTGTTTCCTGTTTGAAAGCGCCTCAATACTCCCACGGAAACTTTTTTGCCAGACCACAGAGCAGACCGGCCAACAAAGGCTGAGTAACTAGCTGAGAAAGTTGCATGAGTGAGAGGGAGGCATGCGGTAATCTGAGGGCAAGAATGAGCAAGACAGTTTTCCTGGAAAATGCTCCGAGATGTCATTAGAAGTTTAAGATATTGGCTGTTTAGAGGAGCACTCCCTCTGGTCATGTTGTAATGTCTTACTGAGTCATGTAACTTACAAAATCTAAGAAACTGAAGGGTATTTATTAAAGATGTGTTTTTCCTCTGAAGCCTGAGTCAAACAGAATTTACATTCCAGGCAGATGAGGTCCAGGGCTGAATGTCAGTAAAGCCATTGCCCAAAAAGAGAGAGAGAGAGAGAGTGGTTTCTATTAGAGGAGAGAGTTAAACAGGGACTCATGCCATTTTCATCATGAGCAGGTTTTCCACCCTTAAAGAGGAGCATTTCTGTCTGTACTGCTCTCTTTGTCTCAGTATACATGCTCAAGGAGAAAATGAAGCTACTACCCGAGATGTGTGCGCCCCAGGTACAGTAGGAGATAGTAGGGCTGGATGATATGACCTCAAATCAATATCACGATATATTGAGCAGTTCACCTCGATAACGATAAATGGACGATAACTACTCCACAAGCTGCTCACACATTCACTTTGTCTACTTCAGCTGCTACAACTTTTGAACCGTCCTCCATCTCCTCACCTGGCTGTCTCACTTTGTTACAGACTGGATGGGGCGGAGTCATGTCTCCAACTTAGGACAGCATCTGAAAGGGACATGAGACAATAGCCTACCTACACACATCCAAAACCAACTTTTATTTATTTAATTGATACTGAACATATTGATATGGGCAAAATGATGTCAGTTATTGTTGTAAATTTTGGTATCGGTAAATTTTCGGTAAGTATCGCCCAGTCCTGTAAGAGGAGCCCCCTTTCAAGAAGTTACACAGACCCTTTTTATGTCACATGCCAAACAAGCAATAAGCAGCTTAGGAAACAGGAGCACAGGCGCTTCTACCAGTCTCCACACTTCTGTCAGTCAAGTTACCCATACAGAAATTTATGACAATAACCGACGTCATTTTGCCTGTGTCAATATATTCAGTGTCAAAAAAATAAATAAATAAAAGTTGGTTTTGGATGTGTGTAGGTGGGCTATGGTCTCATGTCCCTTTAAGACACTAACCGTGACAAACTGCTCAATTAATCGTGACATTGATTTGAGGCCATATCACCCAGCTCTACCTTAATATCTTCAAAACTGATGAGTCATGAGCCACTCAGACCAGAATAGTTTAAAAGGTTTTTTTTGGATGGGTGTGAATGTGGCTTACAAGGCTTTTGAAGCCAACCCCCTAGTGGACACTCAGGGAACTGCTGTTTTTAGCATTACACTATTGGTAACATTTTTTAAAACCAGAAGTTCAGTGTCTTTATTTGCTGTTTGATGGTGTATGGCTCACTGGGATTATCCAAATCAAAGCTGATTAGAGATGATTGAAACTAATCAAAACAAGCTAACAGGCACAAGTACGGGGCTAGAAAATTTGGTGATGACTTCCTGTGGGTTCATATCACAAATTTAGTCAGCTGTTTATCTAAAAGTGTTCATCTGAGAGTTTTTAATTACGATCCAACAGTTGAATGTTTTCAGTTTAACAAACTTTGTGATGAGTTCTTTAATCTGCTCTTCTTTTGCCAACTTTAACAGCTGCAACTGGCCCACAAGAGCTGAGACAACAGTCACTGTTGCAGATTTTCAACCCACCAGCTGACGAAATCAGACATTCCCACAAGTGCAATTTGGGCTCATGTAGGCATGTGGATGAGGGGAGTTTCACCCACACACCAACTCACACACACACACACACACGCACAGACTAGTCTAGATCTAAAAAGTTTAAGCAGAGCTGAACACGATGACATTCAGAGCCACATAGCAGCTTTAGTCTTCACCTTGGATCCCCCTGACTCCACACACTTGTGTCACCCACCAGGGGCAACACTCGAACATGCGACATGTTATCACAAGTACATTCAGGTGTGTCAGGGAGCTCCAGCTGCCTCTGATCTCAGCGGGGATTTTTCATTCAAAAATGTTCAAAAACACTGAAGAAGTGTTGCAGATAACTGTTTAACTGATGATAGAGATCTGTGTAATTCAATCAGTCCTAATGGGAACGCCTGCAGAGGGAGAAACTCTTTGATCACGGTGGTTTCAGATACACCTCGTGGCACCAGTGCAAAAAGAAATCTATCTGATGGAGCAACACTGTCAGTGATGGGGCAGAGTGAGATGCTTAGGCACAACATAATGATGGGAATGTGAGACATTTTCTTATTAATCCTTCAGAGGAAATCCTCTTGTCTACTGCTGCCCCAATGGGAGTGTTCGGATGTAAGGGTCAACCAAAGAACAGCAGTATTACAGCTGATTTGAATGCCACTCGGTTCAGCTGAGCACATGTTTGTTATAAGCCAGGTCCCTTAGCTGACGGATGACCTACCTACCGTCCTCACTGCAGCCACAGATACAAGTTTAATGTGTGTATTCCTGTGGATTGTGTCTCCTCATTAACAGTGAAGATTCCAGTGCTGCCTTTCTATCCTATCATTGTATTGTCTGAGGTTTAATTATATTGTGTCAAATTGTATGCTGCTGTCTTATATCATATTCTAGTATATTGTTTTGTATCAAATTATACCTCAAAAAATAACATCTTGTCTCTTTTGGGCATACCAGATTGAATTATATTGCATTATACTTTCATAAATAACATATTTTGTTGTATCTCACTTAACTGATCAGATTTCATTATATTGCATCTTGTAGCATTGATCTATATCAAACTGTTCATACATTAAGGTACCTTATTCTATCATATTCAATTTTTTTTATATCTTAAGTCTCATATCGTTACATTCTATCGTATCATACTGTAAGGTGTTGTATTATATTGTATCATATCGTATAGTATCGTCATCATATATCTTGTCAGTGCTTGTATCATACTGTATGATGTCTAACTGTGTTGTATCGCTTTGCATCGAATCATATCGCATCAAATCGTATCGATCTGTCAATCACATTCAATCAAGTTGTATCATATTGTGTCCAATCGTGTCGTATCGACTGTATCCTATCTTGTCGTATTGTGTCCAATCGTATCTTCTTACTGTGTTGTATCTAACCGTAACGTATTTCGTACTGCATTGTATCATATTGTATTGAATCGTATCTTAGCGATGATATCCAATCATGTCGTTTTGTGTCGAACTGTATCATCTTACTGTGTTGTATCATATTTAACTGAATAGTATCGTATCGTGTCATTTTGTTGTATTGCACTGTATTGTATCATGTCTTACTACGTTGTCTCATACTGTATTGAATCGTATCGTATCGATCATATCCAATCATGTTGTATTGTACTGTATTTTACTGCATTGGATCATATTGTACGGTATTATTTCTTACTGGGTTGTATCATATCTTATCATGTCTTACTGTGTTAAATAGTATTTTTTTGAACCATATTGTATCGTATCATATTGTATCATATCATGTCTTACTACATTATATAGTATCGTATCATGTCTTAATATGTTGTATAGTATCGTATTGTATTGTATCCTATCATGTCTTACTACATTGTATAGTATCGTACAATGTCGTATCGTATCATGTCTCACTGCGTTGTATAGTATCATACAATGTCGTATCGTATCATGTCTTACTGCGTAGTATCATACTGTATCAAATTGTGTTGCATCAAATCGTGTCAAATTGTATCGTATGTGTCGTGTCATATCGTATGTCAGATCCCAACCCCCCTGATCACCAATGGTATCATTTCTTTTTACAATGTGCACTGACAACAAAGACCTCTCAGATAGACTGTTTATTTTTTACGTAGTGTTCAAGACACATCTGTTTGTTCTGTTTCCTGTTGTTATGTTTGTTTGCGATGCTTAGCACCCACAGTCATATTCTTGCCAGTGTAAATATCCAAAGCAATAAAGACCAAATCTGATTCTTCTTTTATTTTTTTCCTTTTATATTCTTTTCTCCCCATCTGTCTTATAATACCTATTCAGTCCACATTGTCGTCTTTTGTATATAAAAAAAAAGAACAGTCTTACAGAAACTAAATTCTACATTCTGGACGTATTTCCTTTCTGCATTCACTTCCTTTTTTTAATTGCTTCCTCTCCAGCAAAAGAACAGGTCGAGCGACGCAGCGTGTAACACAAAAATCTCATCCCTGGTTGTTATTTCACAATTGGAGCCGGAGAGAAACACAAAATTATGCATTAATACAAACCGGAGCTGCGTTTTTTTGACTGACAGCTGAAAAGAACACCTATATTTGGAGGTTGACATTTTGCATAATTACCTTTCTACTGAACCTCAACAAAAACAGACGTGCCCTGACAAAGGCATAAACTTGCTTGTGAGGAGACAGGTGGCAGTTCCCCAGCGAGTGCACCATCCCAGAATAAATGTATAAATTGGATGTTCATCTTTCACCTCATCGTGGATCCGTGCCTTACCTGTTAAAATGCTCTCTGTATTCCTTCGCCACCCTCTGAATCAGGGTCTTTAATCTAAAAGCAAATGAGAGGAGAGTGAAATACCACATGAGTCGAGGGAGTCTAACCTTTTTTTAGCCAATGTCTGCAATTTGTGGGAAGGCTGGAACAATAACAGCAAGTCTTATCTTTATTTGAAGGCTGCGCTGACTTATAGTGGTAACCATGGGAGTCATTTATACGGAGACATGCTTTTTAATTTCAGTGCTCTTTGTACCTGCCACTCTCCTCTGTGGGGTCCTTCTCATCGATGACTGCAATCGCCACCAATTTGCCTGCGGTGTTAGACAGAGATTACAAATCACAATCATGCACACACAAAAAAAAGAAGGAGGTTGAGAAGACAATGGCAGGCAGATAAGAGGCTCTGGAGGAGACGAATCACCTCTCAACAGCAGGGGGGTTGGGGGACAGAAAGAGCGCTTTATTCATTCAACACTCAAACACTGAGCTAGCTCGGGCTTTTCTGCTCTGTTTGAACAGGAAACAAGTGGTCACTTTCAGGTTGAAGAGCTATTTCAGAGCCGCTCAAAAACCTAAACCCACCACATGACAAATGGCTCTACTTAAGAACAAAAAGCACTGTTACACAACTTAAAAGGTCTATGTTTCAGACTTGGATGGTTCGAGGCTGGAAAGCCCTTTTAAGCAGGGATCAGAGTACCAGGCTGCCCCCTGGTGGTCACAGATGGTGCCTGAGAGGCAAGGCTGAGGTTATGTAAAAAGGAGAAACAACAGTCTGATATCATTGTCTGTTTTATCGTGTTCAGGGAGGATTCTGACTTTTTCACTTTGTATTTGCTTCACTGAGTAGAGGCTGTTTAGAAGGTTTTATGTTTTTGGCTGTCATACTAATCATCAAATCTTTATAGTTTGTTATTATTTCTATCTACCATCAGGGAAATACAACCTCCGCATTGTAAATCTATCAAAAAGAAATTGTTTTCATTCATTTTTCAGCTGCTTTTTATGCCTTTGTGTTGTTTTCTGTCGTTTCTCTGTTGCCTCTCTAATCACATCTAATCTCCAGCATCAGTCAATTCACTGATTTTCCATTTAGACACTATTTCCAGGTTTCGTGTCAGCCTGACTTCACTGATTGCGTGTTTTTGGGCATTAAAAAAAATCCTCTCCTCAGTGAGTTTGAATGCATGAAACTCGATTCCTAATTGAAAAGCCTTTAGAGAGAGAGCTGTTGATTCTGTTTTCACAAATTCACTTCGATTTCCACTCTGTAAACTAACTTCTTTTAACAGACTGACGCCTCAAACCGTGCCGCATTTGATCAGTCACACACTGTTTATCCAATTACAATGCTTTGGAGAGTTTTCTCTGTTCAGAAGCGCGAATGCCGAGCAGCACTTTCTCTATAGCCGGGTTTAAGACAGACAGTGTGAAACAACAAAATCCAACTACAGAGCCTCACTGATCTAAGCAGAGTGCACATAAAGGGGTAGAAACACTGGATCTAATATTAGAAAGCACAGCTTCCTCTGCATGGAGCACCAATTGTCTGCCTTTAAGAGACAGTTTGTGTTTCACTCTTCAGCTCAAATGTCCTCGGTGAGAAAATGAGTGTACATTTGATCAAGTGCAGAAATATGCTTTCACTCAAGAGGAAGAGGAGAGTGGATTTAATCTGAATCAGTCATGTGGTTGATGATATATAGTCTGTGATTTCAGGTTAAAGATAGATTCAAAAACAAAATCTGTGATGGAATATTAAAATATTAAGGCTCCTTTGGCAAACTTTTGATTTCTGTCAATGTGGCGCCCCCTGTGGACAAAAGCAGTTTTTACTTATTTAGTCCGAAGCATTACTTATTTTGAGTGTTTTAAACTGAAAATGTAAATGCAGGAGTGTTTCTTCAGCTGCTCTGATAACACCTACCCTCTTACAACAGTTTCAGGCATTAAAAAGTTTAAAGATAGTCAGTCTTGTCCCTGATGGTCCCTGAAGGCATCAATCTAAATTTCAGACTATTTCACGAACATCAAAATTGTCTCATAGGCTTTAACTAAAAGTTTTACCAAGACCTCTTGCATGTAGTTTATTTAATCAGGTTCACTATTGAACATTAATTAAAAGTTTATCAACTAATAATTAATGTTTTCATATTTTTATTTACAAATCGAGGATTGCACTTGTACCTTTGTTTTTCTTTTCTTTGTGTCTGTCTTTCACAAATAAATCAGTTAAGGGAAAAGTTATTAAAGCTGCTGTGAGTAACTTTTAGTTTGCGATGTTCTGGCGCCCCCTGTGGACAAAGTGACAACTCTTATCTCTGTCCTGTTTATGTGAAAGGAGCGTTTTCAGGCAAAAACCTCTTCTTGTTGTCTTATGATGATGAAACATGTTAGCCAGTACATCTACCTGCACAGTTGAGGTTAAAGCTCAATTAGGTGCTTTAAATAGACTACACGGAACGGTGAAAACGCTGCTATTTTCACAGCTCTGTACTGTTTCTTTGTACGGTAGGAAAGTTTCACCCTTTCTCTCACAATAATAATAATACATTTTATTCGTAGCGCCCTTTACATCCAGAGACCTCAAAGGTCTACACGTTAAAGGCTTGAAATAACATCACTACTTTATGTTTGACTCATTGAACTGGTTACAACCCAAATCAAGACGGCAATTTTATTGGCTTCATTTCCTTTTCAAATGTGTTTATCTCCATCGCCCTTCATATTTAAAAGAACTCTTGATCGCATACAACTCCCCATACTCTCTTTGACATATGAACCACCCATTTTTCTCTGTTCCTAGAATCTTTACAGAAGTTGGCAAAAGGTTGTTTCAGTCTAGAGCCCCACCAGATTGGAATAACCTACCTCTGTCTTTGCCTTCTATTAATTCTTTTTATTACTTTAGAATGGCACTATATTCTCATCTCTAAACAAATTGCTCATATTTCTGATTTATTTTCTTTACTTTTTTGCATTTATGTTCACATTATTTTTCCTTGTTAATAAGTTTTGTTTACTTTGTATGTTTGGCATATGTTGGTTGGGGTTTTTGTTTACTACCTGGTTTTCCTAGCGACACATTTGTGCTGTTCAACTTCCAGCTCAAACACTGGAGCACACCCCATGGTGCATGACTGTCCTCTTCTTCTACGTCTAACCGGCTTCACTAGCTTAAAATACATTCAAAAATTGTAGGTCTGCCACTTTGGTGACTCTATGAATCAGCTTAAAATAAAAACCTTTAAAAGAAGTCGAAGAACAAAGTCACCAACCCTGACGACGCTCAAAACAGTGAATGAAAATGGCTTTCATGAAACCTAAAATGAGTCATAGGTCTAAAGCTGAATTTGGAGCTCAAACGTCAATTTCAGGCCTTTGTATGCTCTGTTCGGGGTTAGAAATCCCTTATTTTGTTGTAAATGGAGCTGGGACAGATTTACTCTGACAATAAAGCCGCATCAATCGATTAACGTCCTCTCTTTTCTGACCAGAAAGTCCAAAACCAAAAAAGTGTTTGTTGAATTTCTAATTAAAAGTGTCACCTTGGAACTTCATTGGGATTTTAATCGATACTTAAATGACAGTTTACTGCAGCTCCAGATATAAAGACAGCGCTCTCGCTTTTTTAGTAATTATTCATAGAAATTCTGAAAATCAACCAGAACAATCAGGTAGACTTTTGAGAGAAATTTACATAAAAATCCAAAAAGGAAAAAAGGTGCATGAGCATGTAAAAAAGAAAAAATCAATTTGGAAGAGAAAATTAAATTATGGATGAGAAATTATCTCCATACGCCACCTGTTTCCCCGAGCTCATACAGAGTGAATCCATCAATCTGCAGGTATCCTTGGAAGCGCTCCTTGTTCACCCACGATGACAAACTGGCGTCTTCGTACTCTGCGACACAAAGAGAGAGATCTTTCAGAGACAGAGGCACGAAAACAACAACAACAACAACAGAACAAAGTGATTAACATTCAGCTCACAGTCTGTCTACATTAACGGCAAAGCAGAGGCGTGTATTGATGCCCGGATTTTGAAGACCGGTGTGTTTACCACCTGTTTGCTGTCTGGGAAATAGAGAGAAGGACACGAGTCGAGCATGCAGAGACAAAGGTCGGTTCAACAGTGATTAGAAAGGGGTTTTGGTGGAGGGCTGCAGCCGGTTTGGATCTGGAGCAAAAGTAGAAAACACGCTCCAAATTAAACATGCAGTAAAAAAAGAATCCGCCGATGAGTTTGAGTAGAAAACGAAAAACGCTGCATTTTCATTCACAGTAGATAGTGTTTCCCTGTTTTGCTTGCTCACTTGACCTCATTTTCACAACGATAAAGCCCTTCTGTCTCCATAAAACCACATTTGGTTTGTAAATGACTCTCCAACGTACACTCATTTCCAGGACACAGTTTTTGGCAGATTTTCACACATTTGGAACAAATACATTATTCAACAGATGCATTAGTGCTAACAAAAAAAAAAAAAAAGAAAGGAAGAAAAAAAAGATAAAGTGCAACAAATAGATAAATAAATAAATAATCAGCCAAAAGGAAAATAACGGATGGCTCCCTGAATGCGAGCCACATGTTGTTGTAACTCGAACATCTGGAGGCAACATGCAAACAGGGGGGAAAGCAGCGCCGTCTCCCCGGGGTCTAAATAGTGCGGCTGCAGAATGCTTATAATTGATGTCAAACGTAGATGAGACCTCATTATGACATGTTAATAAGTTATCATGACCTTTCAGCTTGTGTTGCAGGAACTACAAGAGCACTGATGACTTGAACATGGTTTAAAAGCTGCAGGGAGCTTGGAGCGTCAGGCTGAACATGACAAGCGAAAACCCCTGAACATGCTTTTAAAACCCCCCCAAGGTTGTCACTGATACTGATATAAGAGAAAATGACCTCGACGCAGCAAACTCTAGAGTTAGAGCGCTGAGTCAGGAGATCCGGTCGACATTCCTGAGAGTTATTCCCACAGATGTTTTGGCTTTACAGACAGCACGCAGCTGCCCAGGGAGAGCCGTCGGCCCCCATGCCAAGATGGTACAGCCCTGATGAATCGCTACGCCGTCTAAACCTGCTTCACCTTGAAACAAATTGGAGCTGCGAGCTTCCCGGGCGGCAACATCGCAATCTCCATACCGCCCCTACAGGAGCCTGTCAGCCCAGGGTTCACACAGCAGGAGACAGGAGGGAGAAAGACGAGGGGCAGGAGGGGAGATGGAATCAGACGGCGGGGGCGGAGTAAGGATGATCCCCGTGTCAGAGTTTTTGAGCGGAGAGAGGAGGCAGCGCTGACACATTTCAAGGATGAAGGTTAATCGTGCGGAAGACCTCCAAGACAATGCAAATATATCTGAGACAAAGCAAGAGTGAGCAGCAGGGAGAAGAGGAGAGGAGGGTAATATCTTCACAGGCTAAGACAGAGCACTGATGTATTCAAGAGGGAAAGGGAGGCTGAGTGAAATGACAGGACCAGTCAGGCTTCCTCAGAAGATTAACTATGAAAATGCTTTGGCAAGCTGCCAAAGAGCACAACAGAAAAGCGACAGCTAGGCGCAGGAACCATGTCAAAATCTGCAGAGCTGGGTTATGAAAAAAAGAAACTTTACGAGGAAGAAAGTAGACAAGACGGAGCAGCGTTCATTCAGTGTTTAAAAAAATCATCATGATAAGTGTAATGTTGAAAGACACGCAGCATCAGGGGCGGATCACGCTGCATGAGTCCCTGTCTGTTCACACCACAGCTGGTCCGCTGTTTTGGCCTCGACGAAGGCATCAGGAAACTCGTTTGGATCTGATGATGGCAGAGTACGGAAAGAGACGGGTTTCTCTGGAGACCGTCAACGTAAATGTCAGATTTTAGAGCCTTATATCACGTTCTATAAAATCCAGCCTTTAAGACGCACCTGAGAGGAAATTGGCTTCAGGGGAAGGCACGCAGAAATTTTTTACTTTGCAGCTTTTCACACAAAATCCTTGATCCTGCGGGCCAAAATCCTTGATTATGCGACTAAATATGCAGGGTTTTTATGCCATTTTATGCGGGAAAATTGCGGAAAGTTGTAAAGTATGCGAATAGTTGTGAAATATGCGAAAAAGGTGCGAAATATGCGAAAAATGCAATATATGCAAGAACTGGGAAAAAAGATTCTTCTTCCACATCCTGTTACTTCGCTACCACTGAATGAAAAGGAGCAATTTAAAGATAAACAGGCATACTAGATGCAAGACACATCACAGTAAGTGCTGGTTATGTTTCATTTATTATCAACTTACAACTATTTTGGTTATAGTTTTCTCATTTTAATGCGGAAATTGTGAAATTAAGCGGGACCCGCATTTTTCCGCGGAAATTTGAGATTATTGCGGGAATTATACGCTGTTTTTCAGGGAAATATGCGCCTTTTGGGAAATATTCGATTCCCGCATAATCAGCGACAGATTGGTGATATATGCGGGAATTCATGCGATCGCATAATCGCGTTTTTCTGGAGGGTCTAATCAATGTACAAATGTGAGTTTAGAAAGTGACATCTAGTGTGATTTGACTGAACCAGATAAAGCCGTGAAAACATTTTAGAGATAAACTTTGAGGGTATTTCTTGAGCAGTTTTTGTGAAGAAGAATGATGGAGGAATAAAAAAAACCTCAACTCGAGAAAAACTAAGATGAGAAAAGAAATCTGTTGATGTGGTTATTCAAAAAGCTGAACTCGTAACACTTGTTGAGACGTAGCAGCTGCTGCTGTCACAGAGGATAAATTCTTGGGTGATGGTACGTCCTAAATTGGCACGAGGGCAGAAAAATTACAGAGTGGGGTGTGATGTGTGGTGGGATAAGCTAATGTTAGACAAGAAGCAGCTCCAGGCCGTTGCAGACTGAATGAAGCTGAGAATGAGTTTTTATGACTTACAAATTCAGGCTTGAGCTTCTTTTTAAAAGTGTGACGCTTTTATTCATTTATCAACTTTTTAAGGAAGATAACAGAAATATATATGATGACAGAGAGGAGCTATTTAAGCTGTGGGAAATCGAGCGTTAACTCCTCACCAGTTATTGCACTTTTCATCATCACACCATCCGCACTCGTCCTCTTTTGCCAATTCAAATAACCCTCGAAGTGAACACTGCCCATGTGTGCCGTCAGCGAGTGTCGTCATTGTGTTATCACCTTTTCAGGTGCGATCTCATCTTGTCATCACATTCATGGACTGTTAATCTGAGTGTCATTCAAGCGCTCCCCAATAAACCTATGCAAATAGCTCGCTCTCACACACATGTGTCTGCTTTATCTGCCTTCCATACAAGGAGCGACAAGGCCGGGCTGTAAAACCGCATGTTCATAGAAAGGCTGAGGCAGACCTGGGAGGATTTTTTAATGTGTACAAACACAAATGTAAGGCTATAATCAACGAAACAAATTCTTGGTTGACTAAAACCCTGATATTTTCGACCAAAAATCGACTCTATCTGACTCTGGCGGCGGGGGACGACAATATACTGACATCAGCACAAGAAGGTAATTAAACACAAAGGCTAAAATATCAATATTCAGCGAACAACCAGAGTTGATTGACGTGGACGCTCTTCAGTTTTCCAGTCTCTAGCTGGTCTCCAGTGAGTTGGGTGAATCCAAAATGGTGAAAACAAGGGGGGTATTCTGAGACAGGCTGTTACCTGTGAAACGGGGGTGCTCTGAAAACACCCCCATTAGCACTTGGTACGTTCCTCCTAATGAAATTAACCATAGACTGTAATTCGACGTGGGAAAATGTCAAGCATGTATCGACCAATGAGTCGACTGAGACTTTACAGCCCTACACAAATGTGTTTCAAAGGTAATTCCAGCGAGTGAAGCATCTGCAAAATGCCTACTGTGTGGACTAAACATAGACTGTATATAGACGTCATCTGCCTCCTCGCTGGGTGAAGCCACTCCGAAAACAGCACCCTCTGGTGACAGGCTGCAGTATAGGTCATAAATCCCGCCTCCTCCAGCATCTCTATGGAGCTGTGGACAAACTGTGGACAAGCTCTGTTTTTAAAAGTTATTAGGGGGTTCATGTTTTCTATGATTGACACTTTGTACAGCCGATGAAGAAAGAACGCGAAATTACCGAGGGCTTTTTGGCTTCAAATCTATATACTGGTGGAAGGCGGAACCAAGTTGTCCATAGTATATACAGTCTATGGGACTAAAACACCACTGAACCCACACATTGATCAAAACCATTCAGCCCTTGAAGCACAGTAGCAGACAACAGCTGTGCAGCAGTATGAAAGTGAGGATTTGTGTTTGTGATGTGCACTAAACCAACTACAGCTCAACAACAAAACGTCACTTCTAACTGGGACAGAGCGGCTTTGCTCAGTGGCATTTATTCATTAACAAAGACGGAAAAAGTCAGATGAATGAGCACCGAGTCCTGATCAGTGTTTGAATCTTGACAAAATGAATAAGAAAAACGGATTTTTGATAAAAGCTCCTTTGAGGAGTTTTAACGCCTGTAAACGCCGCCGCAGGGTAGGTGTCCAACAAAGCACTTACTCTGAGATGTTGATAGCTTTTCAGTGTAGTGATTTAAGTGGGCCCCTGATAATAGTATAGGGTCCAAGACAACAAGAAACCATTAGAATGTCTTTAATTAACAGAGGAATAATTAGGTAGGGCTGCCCAATCATGGCAAAGTAATAATAGCGATAACTGAAAGCAATATGACATTTGCATCACATGAATTTAAGCAACTTAAAACTTCTTTACAACTTAAAAACTCTTAACTCTGAAAAAAGCAAAAGTGATTTTGTATCTGATTGTTCTTCAACGGTTTCAGAACCAAAATACAACAAACAGAAGATAAAAAGTTCTCACTCTTTAAAAAGTTGTAAGATTATATAACATAGACAGGGGTGGGAATTCTGGGACGGGTAACTGATTATTTGTTTTGAGGAAAAAGTACAAAAAGCTGAATTTGTTCCATATCTCAAATTTTAATCACTCATATCTATAGAAGAGTTGAAAGTGATTTTTCTTTAAACTTGTATTAGATGTACAAGCCTTTACAAGAGGACACAATACTGGTTAACTTTCTACTGTTTGATATTCATGAATGAAATACTTCTACTATGAAGAACGGTTCATTTTTATAGATATAGCTCTAAACTCGAACCCTAGCAGTTTAATTTCAGTCATATTATTCACAGAAAAGAAGTCTGATCACTTTAAAGTTTACTGCGGCAGAAAAAGGGAGAAGAAAAAGCAAAGAAAATCAAAATAGGCCAAAATCTAGAAGACAAAGAAGTCGACGAAATTGAAAAAGAAATGTTGGGGGAAAACGCTGCCGAGGTGTTTGGGATGGGATGTGACGGCGTACAGAGAAGGTTTGATTTAAGAGAAAATGGCAACAGACTGACAATCTTGGGTGATATGTGCAGTGATTTGTAGAGACTTGTTCAGCTTGTCTCACTTCACAGTCAATCGAAATGGCCAAAAAATGACATTGGAGGCAGTTTTGAGCACAGAGTCTCGGGGAAATTTTCCATGAAATAAGAAGACTGGAATCATTTTTTAATGAGAGACACAAATTCACAAGTGTTATTTGGTATCCAATTATTGATTTCCAGAACATGCACTGGCATGAAACGCAGGAAGGCGAGTTCATAGAAGAAAACTGTAACAAGCATAAAAAAACATTAGTCCTGTTTTAAAGCTCCTGTGAGGGATTTTTAAGTGTTCATGAGATAAACTGAAATTAACAGCGAGGAATCGTTATGACACGAAAAAACAATAAAGGACGATTTGCAACACAAAAGACCAGTTCTTCAGTAATTTTAAAATGCAAGCTAAAGTTAGAGTTAGCCATCTGCTATTAAACCTTGCCAATTTTAGCCGTTTGAGACTAACAGTAATCGGACAACAGTACACAATTTTCGCAGATATTTTCAGAAATAAAGTGCGAGATGAGTTAAGACGCAGAGGCAGCGATCGGTGTGTGGGGGGGGGGGGGGGCGGCGCTTTATCTCGAGTGTCCCTCATTTCTTGTGATGTACTTGTATTTCATTTTTTTTGCAATAAAAAGGATTTAAAGTGAGTTTTCTGCCTTTAATTCTTTGAGGAAGTGTTTGAAAGGCTCAAAAGCAGCCAAAAAAATAAGTAAATATGTAGATGTATTACTTAAATTAACAAAATTTTAAAACTTCAGAAAAATTTTTAAAAAATCGTCTGATTAATCGGTAATCGGACCCAAAAAATCCATATCGGTCGGGCCCTAATTTTAATGCCTGTAGCTGTGGTGTTTGCTCAAACGATTTAAAGCACAATGGAGATGATTTTTTAAATTTACTTGAGCAATAACTAGTAAAATACTTAACAATTTACGAAAGCAGGATATGATTTTTAGTGAGCAGGATGGGGCGCCAACATCGACTCTAACTGCAACAGCAGGGTGCCAAAATAAAGGGAAGGTATGGGTCAGTGGTTTTGGTTCCTTTCCATCTTCCAGTGAATAGAAATGCAAATTACAGCACACCATACTGGCAGAAACACGACTATAGCCGATCCATAATGCTAACACTTTGGCTCCAAATGTGCCTGTTGTGGTATTTTATGGATGGGGGGCTCTTTCCTCCATATTCATATACAGTCAATGATCTTTACAAAAGCATTCAAATGAATGCAAAGGTCATAGAACTGTGTCACTGGCCGCTGATGCAAATGTGCCTCAGAGGTTTTGCCAAACAGATCGTCATGCAAAGTGAGTGTCGAACAAAACCACAACAAGGTGCTTCAACCTTATTTCACTCTGAATTCGACATCCAGTAAGTGGATTTTCAGGAAGGAGAGTCCTCGGAGGAAGACTTCCCACCTCGGCTGGAGAGAAACCAGAAGCAGAGGACCACAGGTGGAAAAAAACAGGAACAGGCGAATGTCTCTTTCTGATGTGGAGTGAATAATGATCTTTTTGCTTTTCTTGAAGGTGAGCGCTGAACGAAATGCAGGGGTAAATACTCCTCATTAGCTTTAACTCGCTAATTCATGCCTCTTATTGTTTCCTGAGGTTTCAAAAGAGAAGAGATCAGCCATGTGAGGAAGGAAGGACAATACATGTCAATTTGCCATGCTGCTCACCTTCCCAGCCCCTCACCAGCTTAATACCCTGTCACCATGGCGATGCCAGATATACACCGCATCCTCTGTATCAAGGTCCTGGAGGACTCCGCGGATTGTGGCGTTTTCGTTATCAAAGTGTACTGTGGCGAGCCTCTCCTGCTGCAGTTCTGGTGCAACAAGCCGCCTTTTTGCAACAGCCAGGTGGAGCAGGTGGATATGAGTACCGGGGGGGCGCCTGCAGAGGTGGATTTCATTCTGCGGGCCTTACACCGAGCCCCGAACCTGCCCAACAGCTTCTACTGGGGCCCGTTTGTGTTGGCGCTGTGCCTCGACGCTCTTCCCTTTCGCTTCCACCTCCCAGCTGGAGATTTCAGCAGCAGCGCGATGCAAGAAATCATGGAGGAATGTGGTGAGCTCACGTTGTTGCGGTGAGAAGTTTGAGAGAAAAAGCAGCTCTTATGTCAGTTCAAATGTTTTTTTGGGGACTTGACGGCTGCGCTAGTGATTCATCTTGGCTTGTAATGACTGTATATACAGTACCAGCTCGGCACTGGTTTCCTCAGTATAAACTGTGGTCTCTCACGCCCATCCAACCCCAGCCTGCTATGTTATGCATGTCCGCCCTAAGACAAACCACCACAACATCACTGGCCTCGCCGCACACACAATAGTGGGCAGGGCCCGGGGTGCTTTATGATGGGCCAGGCACACTATAACTCAGCGTGGTGAGGAAGATGAAAGAGGGACAGAGAAAGTGGAGGAACACGGCCAGAGAAAACAAGGACTGCAGGGAAGGAAGGGCAAGGAGCTGTATACAGATGGCTCCCTACTGGCGTCTTAAATAATTTCTTTCGCCTTATACAGACAAAACTATCCAAGACAACAGTGCATGGAGAGACAAGGGAACAAAATACTTACCATCGTAAGTAAAAAAGCCTCCGTCTTTAAAGACAACAACGGCAGGAAGCTCCGGCAAAGTGACCGACTGTTGAAAACACAAAAGATACTTCATTAAAGACTTGTTTCTTTCTGCGTGTTGCACAAACAGAAGCTTTACTGCAGGTTTTAACTCTTTCAGAATACTTCAGAAATGACATGATATACGATTCTTTGGCATTTTAGAGTGAATCCTACAGGAGGAGGAGAGGGAGGAAAATGCTTCTTTTAAAAAGATGTTGTGAGGAACTTCCGGCTTGTTTGGCTGTGTGCATATCCGCCATGGACCACGTCATTACAAAAAAATTTTCTGCCTTGTTGCTGATGGTTTTTGGGGGCTGTCCCGATTTGTCGAGGAAGTTTATAAAATCCTTCAAATGTCTGCGGTTTTGAACGTAAGTTTCGATTTTTGAGTCACGTGGTGTTAAAGAGTGAGAAGCACATAAAAGACACCTGAAAAACTCTCAAAATTAACTTTGTGCGACACTGTGACTCCGCCCCCGCGTAGTCGTGTCGTCTCTGGGAAGTCAGAATATGGTCACCCTAGATTTGTGGTCAAAGGGAAGGTCACATAACTAATTATTAGTGCATGGATACGCCATATCTTCTGTCCAGAGGTGACAATATTATAGAGTTAAGGAGAACAAACCCATTTGTATTATCTTACTTCTCACAGAATCGCTAAATTCTTAACAATTCCCATCCCTACATGGGAGTTGGCTAATAAGCAGGACAGTGAGTTATGCACACTGAAATCAGGTCATAGAGGAGTGTATCAGTGTCAGTTTCAGCCTGTTTCTCAAACAGTTAAAAAACTCCTTATAGTGCCTTTAAATTTTGCATTGACTAACTGAACGCAGAGGCTCCTTTTCTGAGATGTAACAGCTCAGAAATTCACCAATTTTTTGTTACAGTTTAAACAGTTTTATGAAAATATTATTCTAGCTAAAGAACTAAACTGTCCACAGAAAACAGATTCATGATGCTGTTGCAGTAAGTACATCATTTTCTGGTCCCCGCCAGGTTAGATTTGCTGAGTCAGTTAGTTCACATGGCGATGGAGCCACTGAAAAAAATCAGACTTGAAAATCGACTGACCTGATTTTTTACTAAAATCTAGATTTCATTTTTCAGTTTTACCCAGTTCAAGCATGACTGTGCTCCTTACCCAGTGCTTCAGACAACATTAGATGTGACTGCCTGCGGCGTTTAGCATATAGTGACTGGATTTACATATGGAGAGGAGTTTCCTTATCCCTGCACATGGACTTACAGGCGCACACACGAGAAGAATTTAATGCCAGGAAACTGCTTATAGCAATTTCCAAGTATGAACTAAATCATGGATGCTGTACCACGTGGTTGAATATTATATTATACAGAGACTTATTGCATCTCTAGTTCTCTTATGTAGATTTATGGAAAAGTGTTTACTGTCAGAGGAGTTTTCTCTGAATGAGTCATTTGAGGAGGGGATGTGGTGTCATGATTGGCAGCTCTGTTAACTAACAGGTTCATGGAGAGTTTCTCACTCACTAAATTAGAGCTGAGGAGGAAGAGTGAGACAACATATAACAAACACCAACACAAGAGCTGATTATCGAGGAAGTTTCAGCCCAATCACATCAGGTAGGTGTATAGTCCAACTTCGAGAAACTCAGCAAAGTGTGGCTTTAGTCGGGTTGACATATTCTAAAAGTCCAAGTTTATTCGAAATCAATTTCTCTAACAGCATGAAATACACACTGCTTCTACTTTACTTTAACCAGACTGAATCTAGTCTGCTGTGAACTGCACCCACCTGAGGGACCTCTGCCGTTTAACTCCAAGGTTAAAAATTGTAGAAGAGGTGTGGATTTATTCTTCAGCTCTCACGATTTACTTAAACACGTCACAGACGCAACGTGCAAGCCCACACTGAGCTGAGAGGGCGTTTACATGCAGTCAGAGGACGACGTGCTCAAGTATAAATGTGATTCTTTCCATTCTTGGAAACACGCGAAGGAAGAAACCTGCGCTGTATGCAAACACTCAAAGAGTTTCAATAATTCATGATGACAAAACTGCTGCATATTCAAAGAGTTACCTCTGGAAGGGCTTCCTCTGAGGCTGAGAAAAAGTAGGTGTAGACGATAAGCTCAGAGGCCACCTCGCTGTACTTCTCCTAAAACGGCAAACAGACATTAAAGAGAATATAAACATGAAAGCTCTTCGGTTATTGAGCGTTGAAAAGAATGAGTCACTTTAGGGTATTAAACACCGTTTCATTTGTTCTACGATGTTCAAACAGAAGCAGAATTATGTCTGTCATTCACTCGTACACAGTACAAGCTTTGTGTTATATTTAAAGGAAATCCTGATTCATGTTGTGTGTGATATAAACAGCGCTCACTTTAAGGGGAGATTCCCCACCGACGTACACAAAAAGCACATCGTGTCGTTTCAGCATGTGCTCGAACATCTGCCTGCTGGGAAGCGCCCGCACAGCTGGTCTACAGAGGGAAACAAAACAAGCAGAGATGAGTTCATTCAGCAAAACAATGACTCTCTAAAACTGAAACTTGATGTTGAGGCTTCCGGCAGCTCTGTTTTGACATTTCTGTGCTGGTGGCGCCACCGTGTGGACGCTCAACGACTTGCAGCCCTGACTGGAGTCAGTGCCAAGCTTTTGATCATGCCCTCTGTCACGGACTGAGCTCAATTTCCCTCAAGGAGGAGAAATCTGTCAGGCTCAGTTGATACAGGAGCTTAGAGTGCAGCATCAAAAGGTTGAAATCCACTGAGCGAGAGAAAATATGGCCTCATTGATAAGCCTTCCTGGACAATTCGTATTTACACAGCAGGATTTTTTTCAGCCAAATAAAGGGAATCTGTATTTCTTCACAGGTTTCAAGCCGTTTCTTTTTGAAGAAGATGAAAGCTGAGACTCACCCGGCCACTCTGTTAGCAAACTCTACGATGTCGTCTTTTGTTCGTGGGCCTTTGTAATTATAGGCAAGATCCCCCTTTAACCTGAATGGACAGACAGATACAGGAGGAAGCCATTGTTAGTATTATAAAACCATCAAAACCATCAAGTACCATTTCTCTTCTTTGCACAGATTAAAATAATTATGTTCACATCTCAGGCATTTCTGTATTTCATCAGTCTTAATGTTTTGTTACTAATAACATACAGAATCTTATTTTAAATAGGGGTGTCCCTATACAACTTTTTTACCTCTGAAATATACTGATATTGTAGCCCTCACTATTGGCCGATACCGATATTGGCACAAACTTGTGCATGACAAGTTTTGCACTCAGCTGCAACGTCTTTTTCAGACTTAAAACGAAAAATACTGCCACAAGACCGACATCACTCCTACTCTTTGGTACTTTGTTAGTCCCTTAGTACACACTGTTGTTGTGATCACATGGGCTCTGCATGCACTGCTAGTTAGAGGTGCTGGAGCAGAGTCTGAATGGACTGCTTGTATCAGAGTGCTGATATCTGAGATTTTAGATGCACAGGCCGACATAACCCGAAATTCGTTTTTGGGCTGATATTGGACCGATATCCAATATCATATCGGGACAGCCCTAATTTTAAATATATAGCAGTATAGCAGTCTATAAAAAATGATTCATTCCAACTGCAATCATAGCCCTCAAGATCAAAGGTTTTCCCATAACCCGGTTGTTCAGGTCTTTTAAAGTTTTAATATTCCTTCAGATTTTTATTATGTTTTTTCACCAAATATGTGCCTTTGAATTTGTGAAAAGTTATCTTTTTTTACATGTGTGTCAGGCCTGGTGGAAAATTTGAGAACTTATAAGTATGGTACGTGGGCGAGGATTAATAACAGTTCCACCTAGTTTACCTGGATAAAGAAAATCCATGTGGCTTTTGCACTAAAGTCAAAGGCGTGGCTGAGGTAAGCCCTCTAAGCCGCCATGCAACAGGATGTAGTTTTTATCTCAGTCATGCATGCTCCAATCTGCCCCAATTTCCATGAGTATACTGTGGATTCAGGCCTCAACACACTCATACAGTGACATTTGATCACAGTCAAAGTGCAGATATAAGAAATACCTCCAAAACAGTTCAATGTCTCTTCATCATTTTTAGTCAAGATCTTCTCAAGATACTGGTCTTGATGTGTACCAGTATCTGTATATTTTAACATGTCTCTATTAAATTGTAAAGTTGTCGCAACTTCGCAACACATTTCTTCTTCTTAAGAGGGGACCAAGCCTGAACACATCCATGCCTGAAAGTATAACTACAAACAGCACCCCCTACTGGCATCAGGAAGCTCCTGTTTCTACACACTCACTGTCAAATCCTACCTGGTTTGCCACATTCCCTTAAATTTCATCTGCTGCGCCCTGAGATCTCCTTCCTACCCATAAAGAGACTGTGAGTCTGAGCTGAAATCTGCAGCTCCAGCAGCACATCTCATTTCTACCCTACGCCTGGAAAGATGTGCTTCAGTGAGCTTATTTATCACGCCTGGAAAAGACTCTTGGGGTCCCGTATCATAAAACCAACAAAACAGAAGCACATCAATCTTGTTTCTGTTTGCTTTTGTAGAGTTTTCACAACTAGATGCAGACTCCACACACAAGAGTTTTGAAACATCATTTGGACACTTGAAATTAAAAGAATAATTTTAAAAAAACATCAAATTGTTTTGCTATACACTGTGAAATGTGATCTAAAGGAGTCTGTGGACTTGGTTCATCGTGACGCTGATGACCCAGAATGTTTCCAGGAATGTTTTTCGGGGCTCATTCTGATTATGTACATAGTGAGAGCCTGTTGTTGTCACTTTAAGTCTATCCTCGCCATCCAAGGCTTGCAATATCAACAACCAGTCTCTTACAAGATGTTCTGATTAAACAGCAAATCCATCAGGGGAGGCTTCTTCGGCACAAGGGTCAGCCTAATCTTAGTCACTGCGTCTCGGATGGAAAAATAAAAACAAACAGTCCCTAACTGAGTCCCTGCAAGGCATAACAACACTCGGGTCGAACTCCTCCAGCAGACAGGCGGCATAAAGGATTGCTAAGGTTGCATCATCCCAAAGAGCTTCATGAACTCAGGGGGGAGAGAGACTCTAAATCAAGTCTCCTTCTGTCTCCGAGGGAGGCGTCTTGAGTCTTGAATGGCTGTTTCATCACTTCCTTGGCTTGATGTTATGAACCCCGCTGCGATCCAGTGGCACTTTCCCAAATGAGCTTGATGAAACTAAATGGGAATCCCATTATGGCGGCGCGCGGATAAATGAATGTGTTTCAGATAAATGAAGGGAACTGTGCGGAGCGGAAAGATCATTTTTCTCAAGTCAACATGAGCTCTGCTGTGGAGCAGCTGGTGTCTACCTATCAATGTCTTTTAAGATCGACTCACACTCTGAGAAAAAATGTAATAAGACACATGGGAGAAGATGTAAAGAGTGGAAATAACACAACACCACCTTTGATTTGTTGGTGAAGTGATCATTAGATAAATCAAAGAGCTCCTTTGCCTGAGACTAAACAAAAGTATAACAGAGGGGAGAAACTCTTAAAGCTGAATTTAAACAAAGGGATCATACAACAAGCGAACTTCAGCAGTGAGATAAGTAATACAATTTGCATTCAAAGGTGTGAGACGTTTCTCACTTAGTAAAACCTTAAGGAGGCTGCAACAACACCTTGTTCCCGCAGGAATAAGTCACCAAAGGGCATTTCGATGAGCCACATCTCAGGGGGAGAAGAGAAGACTATGGGGTAAAGAGACCCTGATGACAACACGGTACAAAGTTAAGTAATGACTCTTTAAAGAAAGAAGGTCCCCGAAGTAAAGTAATGAACAACAAAGTCAAAACGATCAAATAAAAACACCATACAGCCTCCACAAGGAAGTTCAATCTTCGTTTTCTGGCACAAATGGAAAATTATGAGCTTTAAAAATAATATAACCTGCAAGATACTCGATAAATCTTTTAATCTCACATGGATTTTACCAGGTCTCAGCAAGCTGCTCAGAAAAGTACAGCCATTTGATTAAACAGACTGATGAGATAAGTGTTTCATAAAACATAATTACTCAACAAAGAGTTTTAAATCAGTTTTATAGGCAGAAATTGTTCTTAGATTTGCTCTTAGGTACAAGAACGATGAGAGAAATCAGTGTGTGGCACTTACAGTTTTATCGTGGGGTAACCACGAACACCGAACTCTGACGCCATTCCTGCAGGACAGAGAAGAAATACAAGATCCTGAGCAAAAGAGGCAAAGCTTTGTTTTCATCACAGATTTGTCAGAGAGTCTTTTATCAGAAAAATCAACAAAATCATCACTGATCATGAAAGTTTCATAATAATAAAAGTAACTTTATTTGTAAAGCGCTTTGACATATAGTCATAGAGCACATGGGAAAAGACAGACAAAAACAAAAAGCTCAGTTAAAATGGAATTGAACGCCATTTTCATGTCAGAGGAAACCCAGACAATACAAGAGCCATGCAACTTAAAATGAGACCATGAGGACAAAAATAAAAACATAAAATAGTTAAGAAAAAAGGAGAGTGCAATTGAAAGGGGGGTCGAAAGCAGAAACAGGATAGTAAATATAAAAGGCAAAATCAACAATGATAATAATATAATAACAGTCTGTCATGGATAAAACAATCAGAACAAAAACAAAAAGGAAGAGATATTGAAACGTTTCCACTCACCAGAGTACGCTGTGGCGTCCATCTTTCCCACACGGACCGGCGACCCCGAGCTCTTCAGCTCAGCTCCCACATCATACCATACTGGCTCTAGTTTTTTGCAGTAACCACACCACGGCGCATAAAACTGAAATAAGGCAGAGAAGAACATCATCAGTGAATCAGAAGAAACAATACACAGTGAGTGACGTACTGATTAAAAAAGGACATTATTTTAAAGAGAACAAACTGCTTCTGAAATGCAAAAACTTTTCTTCTTGAACTTTCTTTGAAGTCAGTGTTTCTGAAGTTCATGTATTTTGGAGACTCCTGTCATTGTGCACCGATGGCGATTGCATGAATGTTTGAGGAAGAAAGTGAATAATGATCACAGCAGTAACAGAGTTTATTTCAATGAGCCGATGCTGTATGAGAACCAGACAAAGGGCTCTGAGAGGCAGAGAGGAAGAGAGGTAAGAGCTCAATATTGACATGCTGTCAAGTTTCACTGTTTAACCAGATCAAGCAAACTTGTTAGCTTACAGTTTCTTATTTACACATCTGTCAGCAGAGCCACATTATAAAGCCATGTCTTTGCAATCGAGCAAATACAAGTGAAGTGCTCCACATTTTCTTACTCTGTTTTTGTCTCCATTACCGCCTTACAGCAACATCTGGCTCTTAAGCTTCTAACAATTTATTGTATTTGCCAAGAACCTGCAGAGTGTGTGTTCAAAGAGTTGGTATGATAAAAAAACAAAAACAAAAACAACAGCAGAGCTGTGGGAGTAAATCTAAACAGAGGAACTTTCGAGCCAGGCAGCTGAAAAATGAGCGAAAACTTGCTCTGTGAAATCAAGAGGAGCAGCAGACTGAGGAGAGAGTTCAGTGTAGTTTTGCCTCCAGCGTTGCCCTGATGTTTTTACAACATGTCTGCAGTAGACAGACACATTGATAACAAAGCAGCAGAGGCTTCCAAATCCAGTTAGCACTGTCTGGAGCCGGCCAAGAAGTTAAATCTACTGGAACCACAACAGTGACTTGAAATCACCAGTTTTTTCACACCTCCTGGACTCTTGCTGACAAACTAACAAGCTAGCGAGCGAAAAATAACTGACAACCATTAAGAGTTCTTCTGACTGATTAACAAGTATGACATATCGGAATATCTGTCTGGTCATGAGGTCAGCCAATCAGGTGGTTTGAGACGTTCCTCGATCCTTTTTCAAATCTAGGGGAGATCGAGCATTTTCTGTTGTGACTCCCACTTTGTGGAACGCTTTACCCCTGACAGTGCGTACTGCAAACAGCCATACCTGTTCACTTCATATTTTGGGGAAGTACAGTTACTGTTATTGGGTCTTATTTATTTGCTATGTTTATCTTTATTGTTGTTTTATGTTTTATGCTTTCATAGTTTTTATAGTTTTTTATTGTTTCTTTATATTTTACTACACACATACAATACACTACACATATTTTTTACACACTATATAAATAAAGCTGACATTGACACCGACATACAGAAACCCTTCAAAAACTCTGTTGGCTTCTGTTAGCAAAAACTGTAGTTTTGTGTCTGTTTTGGCACCTCCTTGAGGACGAAGCAGACGTAATTAATCTTGTCTTTTTGTGCTCAATGATCATGTTCTCTTAAAAAGTCTAATTTTGCTGCCTTTGACACTCAGGTTCATAATGTGTTGTAAATATTTAAGTGGAAAGTGTAAAAACTCAAAAATCACTACACAAAACTTGTGAATCTTGTTCCTGATGGTCTTGTTCCCTTTTGTATAACATGAAAAGACAATACTATGAATTTCAGTCTGTTTCATACACATTAAAACCGCCTTACAGGAGCTTTAACACAGCAGACAGACACAAAAAACCAACTGAGGAAAATATTTGTTTTGTTTTTTTGGTGCTGATCATTCTGATGAGTGTTAGTGTAAATACACATTTTCAGTTAATTTAAGATTTTTATGAGTATCCAAGACATAACACACACATTTTTGTCATCAAATAATACCAGTGTGTGGAGTGTGAAACGCACATAACCCAATAATATCAATCAGTCCAACATGGTTTGCCCCACCTTGACTCTTTCTCAAATCTTTCTCTGACAGACGTACATTTTTCTCTAAAACTGAATCACTCAAACTTATTTCTGAATGCAGACTGTGTAAAAAGTTGATACAGAGCTCAGGACTGACTCTGATATAAACCCCTCCAAGCCCCCCTGGCTTTGGAAAGCATGCATGACTTCTCATTCACTAATCACCAACACAGAGGACAGTCAGCACAGCCTCTTCAGCTCTCCCACCCCTCCCCACATCCCACCCTGACTGCTGCCACTTCCGAAGGGGATGATGTAGACAGTGGCGTGCTGGATATAAAGTAAGGCACAGCTGAATGGACCCAGACTGGTTTAGTGTGTGGGTCTTTATGTGTGTATGTGTTTGAGTGCAAAATGTCAGACTCACATCAACCAGCCAGATATCGCTCACTCTGGTGTCTTTAAATCTGTGGAAAAAAAGAAGATAGACGATTTTAATAAGCTGCAATGAACCCACATAAGAATATACAATGCAAATAGCTATTCTATGATACTTTAAAATACTTCCACACAGTTCAAGCTCAATGTTAGTGCATGAAACTGTGTCTGCATGCATATAAACTCATTTGCCTTACAGACCAGCAAGGATTTTTCATATATTTTGGCAGGTTAACTAACATTTTAGGCTTGAATGTGCAAATACCAATGTCATGCCAGCATTATTTTGCACCCTAAGCTGAAACGATGCAACTATCTCCAAAAAGATGCCCTTCTATAACAGAGAAAACACACAAATACACATGGGAGGGGACCAAATCTCTGTAGGATTTCTGCTGCAACCTGGCTCTGTGAGTTGTACGTTTGTTGACCTTTAGAGAGGGTTGGGTGTTTAAAATGTTGGGAAATTACATGGAGCAAATTTACTCAGCAATAAATACAGGAAACCAAGCAAAAGGTAAGAAGTGAGCTCAAGTCTGAGCGGCACAAACATGCAGGAAGTCGAAATACATGCTCTTGTTTAGGAAGGTGAAGCAGACCATTAAAGACAGGAGCATCACTTACGTGTCATCTAGATCCTCTACAAATGCAAACACCGCTGAACTCAGGAAAGCTGCAATAACTGCGATTTTAAAACACACAAAAATACATGTTAGCTCAATGCAAACAATGGCTTTAAGCAGTTTCTGTCCTCCAACATGAAACCTCATGACTGAAGCATCACCAGCTAAAGCTGTTATCCCCCGGCTAACTCTGCATCATTTTTGCCTCATTGTTTCACTAAAAGGAGCGTCAATGCTCTCTGTAACTGAACGTGGAAACGCGTGTAGAGACTGGGGTTTAATGTACGTGAAATAAAAAAGGGGAACATACCTCCATAAAACAGGGAAGCCTTCACTTCTGCCATCGCTACGAGTGGAAACAGCAAGCAGGAAATACAGCTGCTAAATCAGGGTTCGGTGCGCATGCGCGGGATCACGCAGACTCCCAGAGGATTCAGGCGCCAAAACAGGTTTGAGTCAATGTAGTCAATAAAAGTCAAAAGACCTGTTCAAAACGTGGTTAAAACGTAGAAATTGCTGCTCTACCTTTATATTTACTCACTATAAGTATAAGTGTTCATATTACCCCCCTGTTTTCTTCAACATTAAGCATTTTATTACTTTTAAAATTAAACTAACTGAGAGAGAGAAAAGAGATAATGTTTTTTCGATCAAGTATACATACAGTACAATTTTAGACAAGATATTCCCTATTTTTTGGAGATCAAAAAGGAGTAGATAGAAGCTATTTAGCTTATTTGTACCTACCCTCATTCCTTCCTATTCGTTGACCTTTTACATGTCTCTAGAATTTTAGGACTTCTTAAGTCGCCAAAAAGCTCAACATGAATATGTAACATATCATTAATACTGAGACAAAGACCTTATATATACATATATACACTCATACCTATATACACATATATACACACAAATATGCACTTCATATATAGGCCTATACCTATGAAACTTCAAATCTCTCATTTGTACCATTACCATATACAATATAATAAATGTGACAAAACAAAAAATCACTTATAGAAGTATTTTTCAATCATAATCTGATTTAATTTACTTTTAAACTGTGCTATTGTTTTGCTTTGTTTAATTTTATCGGGCAAACTGTTCCATAGCTTAACCCCCATAACAGAAAGACACATGCTTTTTAATGTTGTACGAACGCCTGGTTGTTTTAAATTTTGTTCCCCTCTTAATACATACCTGCCCTCTCTTCCACCAAACATTTTCTGTATATTACTAGGATGGTTGCTGCCAATAACGAACCACAAGGGGATGCTGTAGTATCATTTAAAGTGCACCAGGTCTACTACAACATGAAAATACTTCAATAAAATAGAAACCCTGTATTCAAAGTGGCCCACCTGTAAAAGTATCAGTCAATCAATCAATCAGTCTTTATTTGTATAGCACTTTTCATAAAAAAAGAAGCCAGACAGAGAGACTAATGCACGCTTTTATAACCAGCAGGCTTGACTACTGTAATGCTCTCCTCTCTAATCTACCAAAAAGCACAATAAACCAGCTACAGCTGATGCAAAACTCATATTACACCCATTTTAAAGTCTTTGCACTGGCTGCCTTTTACTAGTTTATAAAGCTCTACATGGCCTGGCACCAGAATACCTTACAAAGATGATTTTAATTTATGAACCAGGGCCACCTCTCAGATCCTCCCAATCTTCTGTTTTAGTCGTTCAACAGAGCAGAACAAAAAGATTTAGTGATGCTTCTTTTAGCTGCTACGCTCTTAAACTTTGGAACAAACTCCCAGAGGGTCTGAGACAAGCTGCAAATATAGAAGTCTTTAAACGTAACCTAAAAACTCATCTATTCAGCCTGGCTTTTATGTAAAGCTTTATTATTTTAATTACTATTATAATTTATTTATTTTTTAGTATCACTTTTTACCTTATTTTATTTATAAATTCAAGTTTATATTTTATTGTCTGTTTAAGTCTTTTTTAATCACTTTTATTTTTCTTCAAAAGGTAACATAAAATGAAATTTAAGACATAATAAATAAAATGAAATATAAGAGCACCAAAATAGCTAAATACAAGATGATCCTGTCATTAAAACTCGGAGAGATAAATGCTAAAATACTGAAAGTTAATGATATAAAAATTTAGTTAAAAGCAAGACTTAAAAGGTATGTTTTCAGTTTGCTTTTAAAATCATTTAGATTAGTATTAGTATTTCATCTCTGTCTCTAAACTTGGACCATTTTGCCATCATCCCTTCATGACAAATCACATCAGCATTTTTTATTGGAAACATATTTATTTGAGAAGCTTCAAGAATAAAAATGTGGTAATACTGTCTACATTGTTGTTAGAAATAAACAATGTCACATACATACATTTTAAGGGTTATTATTTCCTTTACCATCCAATCATAATGACACATTAACTCATAAAACAAACCGACAACAAACATCAATACATAACATTGAAATAAGGCCTGAAGTGTTAGCTTAACAGAGTGTGGATGTAAAATAAATAAAATATATTGTGTTGAATTATTGTCATGGTGTCCTATACTCTTTCTTTCTCTAAATTCCCACACTCCTGGCACGTTTATACATAAATGAAACTGAGTTGAGGTGTAAAAGGTCACCACTTCAGTCACCTTAATGCACTAAACCAGTCAGATGGGGGTCACTTGGCAGTCTGGGATTTTAACAAAGCTTTTACAAACTCCACACAAATTTAAAAAGATTCAAACCAGAAAGTTCAGTTTGTTTTTATTAATTAATACTTGCATAAATGATGCATGTGCTGTCAACTATTAGTTAGAAACAAAATTCTGAAGTCCAAAAGATAACCATCATTTCATGGCCTAATTCTTCAGGAATGAGACGAACACAAACTCAGAGTAAAAAAGTTTAGCATCCTGTGAAAGAGCTGCACTTTCTCATGAGGTGAATGGTGGTCATGACTGTGTTACTAAACAGACTCATGCGGAGGAGCCTCCTGCTGTAGTCCCGTGTGCCAAGTTTGTGAGGGTTGAATGGCTTTGTATTTGAAGGACCAAAACACACTGGACACACGCTGTTAGCCCACAATGTAATGCAACATTGACTTCTGCATAAACAAACCGTCAAACCCAAGAATACAGATGAATTTCCTTACATTCAGCCCAGCACAAATATATGTTTTTCACCCTTCACTTGCATTCAAAACACATGTAACGCACCACTGTGCTCAGCAGTTTCATGAAAGGCACTACGAGAAGTGAAAGCATGGTGGGGGGGCCCATAAAACATACAAAAGGCATGAATTTTAATCAACTGTTAGCCCATTTCACACACTTCTCCAATAGAAAGTTTTACTACAGCACCGCCATTTGTCTTCTTTCCATAAAGAGGAGACTTGTTTTGCAGGCCAAGCTGCAGACTCCCACAGTCAGCTGTCCCAGTGAACCCCCACACACGTCATCTTACAGGACGGCTCAGATGTGACCTCAACTGACCCATATAACAAAGCTTTCTTTGCCCCATTTTATCACTGTATCTCATGGCAACAAAAGCAAGGAGACGATTCAGTTTTGTCCAAAATAAAGGCAACACTAATGCTCTGCAGTACTAGGTTAATGTACTGGTTTAGAAACCTAGAATAAGCTAATGTACAAGATATATAACTTAATCATACATTCTAATTTGAAATTCAGACAAAAACACAACACAGAAAAGGCAGCATTAGGATCTCACTTTGGAAGGAGGGTGTTATAATGATGATTTATACTTTAAACTCTTTAATTTGACAGTACTCTAAGAATCAAGTAAAACAGATGCATTTAAGGATGGATCTAAAACACATTTAAGTAAAAGACCAAAAGACTGAACTAAAATACATGTATATATTTCATTCTTTTACTTGTTTTTTGCATCTAAACCCTGGAGTCTTGCTTCACTTTGGTCTCAAAGTACTCTCAAACAAAAGAACCACATGTATATCCACGGCAACAAAAACTTATTTTTTTGCAAAGTTTTGAGCTGGTATTATTCAAAAAAAAAAAAAAGAAACTCTGCAATGCTGGTGGAAAATTGCACCATGAACAAAAAAACATAAATAAACCTTTTCGACAGCTTCCTGTGTTCCCACAAGAATAAAACACTGAGGATTTAACCTCATCAGTTTAGATGAGAATATACTTTGCAGATGGATTATAAACTCCAAGCAGACCATCTCAGAGTTCGGCTGCAGGATAAAAGCGGTGGATAGAGAAAGCAGCTGAAAAAAATGAATGTTTTGAAGTCACAATGAATGGTCTAACACTGTAAATGTCTCATTTTTAGCTTGGCGTGTTGCCCTCCTCACTGTGGTTGCAGAGTTTGGAAGGTTTTCAGCTGTTTGTAACATTTCAGGACTTCCACTTTTGCTGCCTCCACATTAAGGCCCTTCATAGTCTGTATTGAGACAGTCTTGTCATGTCTTCTCGAGGCACACTGGCGACTTTGCTCAGAGCGGCACACAGTGAGCAGCAGCAGCATTTTTTTGGAGCGGATTTGCATTGGCAGCACTTCATAGGGGTGACTCCATTTTGGGATACATTATCCTTGTGTGTCTCTCTACAGTTATCACTTCCTCATTCCAGGATGTCTGTTTCAAATGGGACCAGATGGTAGTAGGAAAGGTTGGTGACATAAGCTTCTGTTTCCTCATCGCACAAGTCGGCTTCCATCGGCAAATACTCCGATCCATCATCATCATACCTGGCAATGAAATAGAAGACACATGATTTGAAGGACAATACAAACTTGTTTTTGGCAGCTAGAGGTCCTGACACATCAGGCCCCTTCTCCTTTGAAACCATCTACTTGTCAAGGTCCAGGAGACGGACACCTTCCTTACATTTAAAAGCAGGCTAAAAACTTTCTTTTTTAATAAAGCGAATGTTTAAGGCGACTACTTTCTCTTTAATTGGCTTATGGGGCGCTCACACCAAGCGCGAGCAAAATCATCTACTCGCTTAATTTGTGCAAATCTAGATGTCAACGTCAACGGTAATTTCAACGGTAATCCCTGCCACTTCAACCGGCAGGATCAAGCGATAGACTAAGGTTTTTTACAATTTACCGGGTAATCCGACCTCCTCACTCACTTGCCTCCAGGCGAGCTCCTTTTTATGTTCCAGTTTCGGTAATTGAAAGAAATGGTATCATATAACTCGGAGGACCAATACACCGACATGATCAGTATCGGTATTTTAGAGACCAGTAAACAACCATCCATTTTCATACGTCACCCAGCAACCTTCGCAATATTCAGCTTCCGCCCAACTCGTGTCATTTGCGCCGCCTGAGTAGTAGGAGCGTCTAATCGCGTCTTTACATTGACTTGATATGTAATTCATTCGCGCGAATGATTTTACTTGTGCTTCGTGTGTGGAGACATTTAGACTGCTGGGGGACCTGACACATGGATCTCTTTCTCTATCTATACGTATCCATAGCATGTTAATGTTTGTATGTTACGTATTTGAAAGCCACTATGAGGAGTCCTGGGACAAAGACAGTCGTCCAATTAAATCACCTAGAACTGTAGCTCGACTTGTTTGTGCATATTAACATACTCATTCTTATTGCGGACCAACTGCTACCTCTCGTCTGAAAGTCTTACATTTGTCAAAATAGGTCTCTTATTATTACTACTGGCTTACACTGTGGCCTTCAGTCGGCACTAATTAACCATCCTAAGCTCATGGCTGTTCACCATCACTGGTCTGGTTGCCCAAGCTTTCTGCCTGTTTAAAGGAAGTTTTTCATCATTGCCAAATTTTGCCAAAAGCTGCCAAAGCTGGGTCCTAATTGGGTCTCTGTAGTATAATTAACAACATGAGGAAGAATATGGTCCATGCCTGCTCTTTTTGTAAGGTGTCAAGAGACAAGATTTGGTTTAATACAAACACAAACTGATTGAAAATGAGGGGTGAGATTCACAGAAGAAAAGAATTTAAGCTATTTCAGAGTTATGTAAAGTCTTGTTTTGTAGAGGAATGTGTTCCTCTTTTGCTTCCTACACACCCAGGGAAGGAAGAGGTGCACAGACACACTTCCTATCACAGCAGAGGGTCTTGGGGTTTGTTCGCCTTCAAGTTTTCCCACATGTACTAAATGTACTAGGCTAACACTGAAACTCTTACTTTTGTAGAAAACAGGAAGGTGTCGAGCCGATCATGAACAGTAATCTATCAAAAAGCAAATATGACACAAAAATAATGATAAAGAAGAGTGGTCCTGTAACTCACGTATGTTCCACAGAGTCGGTAGATGATGGTCTTTCTTTTTCTTCTGGCAGATTGTGATCAAATACGATTGTTTCTGTGTTTGCCAAACAGAATCCATTGGACCTCATGATTTCTGGAAAAGTACAGAGAGAAATATTAGATCAGCTGTTAAATTATGACATGAAGGGTTGTCAGCAGTGAGTAATAAAAGAAGTGTACCTGATATCTTGATTGGACTCTGAAAGCATGGCTGAATTCTGTGGACTTTGTCGTTCCTAAGCACCTGGTCGAGTGGGGATCGCTCAAAGAAAGTCAACATGACCTCTGACCTGGAATACTGTGGAGACAGGATTTACAGTATTATATCGTTTTACACACATATTCTTAATAACAGACAATGACAAATAGTCAAGTACAGAGAAGGCATGCGACTCTAACACTGATGTAAAATAATCCAGGTACCAACCTTGCAGGGCATGTTGATCGCATTCTTCAGCAGTCTCTCCACCTCGTTCAGTTTCTCCTCAATGTCGTTTGCCTCCTTGATTTTTATAAGACCTAAAACAAACAAAAGAATAACAGATAAATACAATGATGTACATGACATAGGGCTGGGCCATATGGCCTAAAATCAATATCACAATACATTGAGCAGTTCACCTCGATAACGATAAATGGAGGATAACTACTTCACAAGCTGCTCACCCCCTCCCACATTAACTACATCTTCGACATAGGACAGTGTCTTAAAGGGACATGTGATCATAGCCTACCGACACTAATCCAAAACCAACTTTTACTTATTTTATTTGACACCAAAATGGGCAAAATGACATTGGTATTGGTAAATTTTCGGTTTATCACCCAGCCCTAACATGAGATGTAAAATTATTCACTCTTTTGTGAGGATTTTATTTGCAGTAACAGTTCATTAGACAAACCAAATCAATCAAATTTAACCCAGCACCACAGCTTTGCAATCAATACAACCTTTTTTTTACGTAACTGCATGTTTTTTATGGTATCAAGAGCCAAAAATATCCACATTATTCATCTAAACCAGAAAAATTACTTTCAAATACCCTTCTATTACTGAAAAGGCCACTAATTTATCTCATTTATCTAATCTAACCTTTACGTCAAACTGTTATCAGCCCGCAGGCCAGGGGGGAAAATACCGGGCAGGTCTGAGTTTATCCCTGGTCAGAGGAAAAGGTTGCACACATTACATACAAAAGGTGGTGCTTACTACTGTGACCTTTCGAACAACCATGCCCACTGATATTTATCCTACAACTACTTATCATCATCTTAAGAACAATAACACAGGGCACAGTCCCAAGTGATGCCTCAATAACAGAGGGGAGTAATAACAGTGGTGAGGAGAAACAAACAGTCTGTGATAAAACATAGTGATCCAGCTGTAGCTGAAGAGGTGTTGGGAGTGTGAAATCAGCACTTTTAGGGATCCAGGGTCTCCGCCCATGAGAGCGAGCAGTCAGCAGAGCTTCATTTACGGCCGTGCTGACGAAGGGATGTGGTGAGGAGAATAATGATGCAGACTGCAGCCGCACTAACGGGGGATCTGTCTGCTGTAAGTGGTCACACGGCGATTACACTTACATGGAAGTTCTGAGTCAGAGAGCCTAAAGCAACACTGTGCACACAGTCACGAGCTCATCCATTTGTGATAGCCAGCACTGACGACATCATAACCTGGGGGGTGTGAGGAGGAGTGTTGGGCCGCAAAGTCAGCATGAAAAAGTGAGTGTCTGAATTTCACACTGGCTCTGGATCAGGTTTTGTTCAAGTCTAGATGACTTGGAGTGATACAGTCTCTGTTTTTATCTCAACCAAATTTGTGACAGATACTTTTTCATGGAAACGTAAGAAAGTTCAAGCACTTTAAAAATAACTGAAGGTGACATTTTAAGCAGTAAATTAGTCAAGATTGAATAGCTGTGTTTTAGAGGGTTTCAGGGGTGTGTACTTATACTTTCCCAAAGGGAGTCACGGCCAATTTTTAGCATCATAACTCATGTTGCAAAAGTTATTATTATCGTGAGGCAAAACTGAAAGAATTTATTACATCAAGCAAGAAATCCCATGAAACTCAGAGCCTTTCAGCCATCATCTAAGAGCTCTAAGCTCTGGGAGTGACTGTGAATTTTTAGGGCATTACAGTTTAGCCAGCAGTGAACAAAAAACAACTTTTAGAGACTTATTTATCTATAATCTGCATTATTTACAGTCTAATTAGAAACTTAAGAAGAACTTTTGAGCCATTTGTTATTTTTTTTGCTGAAAAGTCCTTCATTTATTCATGACAGGTCTCAGTTTCAGTGTAAATAGTAGGTTCACGCTCTGTAAACTGCTTTGTTTACAGTCTAAAAAGCATCTTCAGAAGCAAACTTGAGTCATAATTTCTTGGTTTCTTGAGTCTTTTGCAGCTCTGTGTACAGTTCACACCTTAACCACTGAGCCAAACTACCAACCCCAATTAAACGTATTTATCTTGAGGGCCTGGACTGTGGGAGCTGAACTTGCAAAAACCTGTTTTATGGAGGTACATTGTTGACAGATTACCGCTAATACAAGCTAGGATGTCCTTTGGGTGAACTGCTTCTGCTCACAACAGTGACCGTTGATTCATGATTTAACTGGACTAACTAGACTACAAACACACAACACTTGAACACATGAGAGGTTTTCATAGTTACTAAACTTCTTTGTAAAATCTTTGACAATTTAAAAACACAATCCCCAAACTACAGGTCTCACTGTCAGTTCGCAGCATTCACCACCTTGTTTGGGAGAAGATTGTTAAATAAGGAAGAGTTTATATCCTCATACTCTTGTGCTACGGACTGCTGACAATCACCAAAACTCATCTCATCCCCTTAAAAGGCCGTTTCCTCCACATAAAACTGACTGTAAAAAGAAACTGTGGAAAGTCCGGAGAACCTCATCCCCTGTCCATTAGCTGATGGTGTCTCTCCAGATCAATATTTATGGAGATGCTGAAAATTCAGCAGTTTCCATGTCATATAGATGCTTTAATTTTTTCACATCAGCCATATTTAAATGTATCAACATCATTAAAGAGCTGGAGAAATAGAGTAAATAGTTTTTACTTTATAAACTACAATGCTTTACAATACCAGGATAACTGAAAAACAGAAGTGCAAAGTTGTTTTTGCAACAGCCTGGTTATGTTGTGCAAGACTTAATTGTGGCAGTTGAAAGCTTTTCCAATTAGAGAGAGCAGATTCATATCATACTTGTTGAGATCTGCACAGTCACAGAATCAGACAGATGTTTTTAAAGATATTTATCTTCACGGTTTCTCAATCACAATAGAATAAAAGGGTGAATCATGCCGTGCCATCAGAATAATGAAGATAAAACGGTCGATTAAAGAGGCGTGGTTCTTTTTAGTAAAGTTAATGCGGGTCGTCTAAATCAATGAAAGTGTTAAAGAGCACAAAACTCTGGGCTGCACCGCCGACTTTGTCCAAGCGGGCGAGCAGGCGGGACAGAATGCAATCAATCTTGACGGTGAAATTGCAGAGCACCACTAATTGCGAGAGTCACCCCTCCTTCTGTTCCTCTTCTGCTACTCAGGCTCATGGGAAAACACTAAAAATACCACACGGGCGCATGCAAGGACAAGAAAACAAAGCAGGCATCGTGTCCAAAAAATCTCAGGTTTGCTGTCTTTGTTGAAATTACAGGATTGTCATGTGGAAAACATCTTCAAAGATGCTGACACACAGTTCAGCTATGTTTGCTGCCCACCAAAAGCCCTGAGTGTATTTCCTATTTCCTGTGAGGAGACTATTTCCTGCATTAACTTCCTGGCTACTACAGCGGTCCTTTTTTGAGGAGAAATAGTTCACCAGTGTCTTCTTTATGTGATTTCAAGTATGTCTGAGTGTCCCAGCTTTTCCTACTTCACCTGGTTTAGAGTATTTATGGCCTTCACTCTTGATCACACAGATACACAAGTTCCCAACTGTTACTGGACAAGCCACCTCATCTATACGCTGAAAACAACACGGTAGAAGTATTTGTATAACAGGAACTCTGCTGTGTCCGAGTCATCCTCCTCCTCCGCAGTATCTGAGCAGCCATCAGATGTTGTAAGCAGCAGTTATTTCACAGCTGTCCTCTGCATGGATCTGATAAGCACATGTCAGCAGTCTAAGGCTTCATCATCTAACCGCCAACTCTCCGCTGTTTCATTAGTGTTCAGTTATTTCTGGAAGCTTCAGTCAACAAGCAACAAGTATCACGCATAAACAAACAAACACAGTTATAATTATAGGGGGGGTTTATCTTCTTGTTGTTCTTGTCCATGGTGTGCACAAGTGTCAGAATTGTTGTGGCTAGTCTGTAAAAGTACAGCTTAATGGTAAAATTGTGAAGCTATACGTGATCTCTCCAAGTCGGCATATTTTTGACAATAAAATCAACATTATTTTACTACTTTAAAATGTTCAAGGGAAGTTTTTGCTGTCTATTTAATCAGAAACAACAAAATCTCTTAGCTGTTAATGTTAGCCAACAGTTAGCTATATAACACTAGAATATAGCCGTAAGCTATAGCTATGTAGGGGAAAGTCCCGCCTCCTTCGTCTCTGTTTGGCTAGAAAAAGCTGAAAACGTCACCACAGACTCAAGCCAAAACGCAGACTGTCGGCTCTGTACATCAAACAGAACATTATCGCACTTCTGAATCTCCTAACTAACCCTAACCTGACAGACAATGACATTTCACAGCCATTAGAAATAACCAATCAGAACCCAGCACTTCTAGCCAATCAGAGGCAAAAGAGGGCGGGACCTTCCCCTACCATACCACAAAAAAAATTTGCTTCCAGTACAGTCAGCTTTGCTTAGCCTAGCATAAACTTAAATTGTGTGTTTCACCACTTATTTGCATACTTGCACCCTTTTTAATGTTAAATGTCAGCCTAAATCCCCAAATGTAAAAAGACACAGTTCTGCTTTTAATGAAACTTCCCCTTTTGGGGTACAGAAACTTCCAGAAGAGCTAAACAACTTCATGCTACTCAATATATATTTGTAAGAATAACTTTATTTTATTCCCCAAAGGGAAATTCAATATGGGGCTTTTCTTAATTCAATGGTTTTTTTTTATATATATATATAACTTACAAATTAAAGTTATTTACAGCTTTTCAGATGAGCATGAAATATATTTTTTTTTACTTGGGAGCAAAAACCAGGCTAGCTGCTCTGTAGGAGCTACAATATTGCTTTGCTTATCGGTTATCCTGTGTTCGGTTACTTTTGTCTGGTTGTCATTGGTTTGGCTGGGTTTGGGTCACATGGGCACTGTGTTTGAAAACTGGTGTGTTATAAAAGTGGTGGTCTTACCTGCACTGGGGTGGAGAGGTGAGCCTAGGTAGCCGTAATTTTTGTTGACCGCGCTTCATGTTCTTTGTTTGCAATGATACACGTCACAAAGTGTACACATACTCTATCGAATATGAGTGTGGAAGCGTTTTTTTCTGTTATTAAAGCTCCGAAAACTTTAATGAACTGTGAGTACTTCTTTGGAACAGCAGCAGCGTGTCACACAAATATACAGGACCTATTCTCTGCCTCAAGCGACTTTTTTAAATGTACTAAAAGCCGCAACATGCTCCACAATGTTTCCAGTCTTTCTGCAAGAGACATTTAAGAGGTCGTCATTGACCCTCTCATTTAACTTCCTGAATAAAAAAAAGTTTGTGTTACTAAAGTCTTGGCTCATTTCTTTGATTCTGTCACTGATTTAAAAGTATTTTAAAGTTTACGTCACAGAGTAAATACATTAGCTGGAGTAGTGAAAAGTCAAGGGTTACTTTTAGCCATTTGTAGCTGATTTTCTCCAAAAGAGTTGTACTGTCTATGATGTAATGCAGCTAAAAGCACAATCAAAACTCTGATTTCAACACTGTTACATTACTAACTAAAGTGATGACTAATAAGTGTCTCAGAATAACATTTGAAGTGATCTGGTCTGCGTCAGCGCTCCTCTGTGGATTCTGGTTCATGTGAAATGTGAGCAATCGCTTCCTGTCTGCATTCACTCTGGGGTCACATGTAAGGTAAGTGTTATGAGGCCTCGGCAGTCCAGAGGGACTAAATATGGCAAGTCCACTCCTCTCACAGCCTCCCTCGTTCTCTCTGTCTCATCATGACATCAGGCTGAAAACTCTGCACGCCTTCCTTGTTGCCTGGGCGCCGCACAGAAACAGGAAAACATGGGGAGAGCCAGAAAGTGGATCAGAGTGAGCAGAGAAAGGCCAGAGCCGGGGACTTTTAATCTGAGGAGCAATTAGGGATGCAAATGAAATACTGAACAAGAGTAGAATTAAAGGAAGGGGAATTTCATTAACCCTGCTGCCTGCAGTCATTAACTTGTTGAATTTTCTTGAGTCAATAAAGCAGAAGTGTCTCCTTCTAGGTTCTTACCGAGCTTAATATGTCTTTACTCTTTAATCAGAGCTCGAAGGGGGATAGGTAGTAAAAAAAGAAGTGAAAAGTGACTCACTCAGTCCTAAATCTTACTTCCCACAATGCACTGCACACTGCACTGGCAGGCATAGAGCGCTGAACTGTCAACAGGCCTGTCAGCTATTTCAGTGCCCGAGCAGGAAGCAGAGCCTTCCAGTCGCCACTGAAGAGATGTTTCCAAAACATTCCTATAGGCTCAGCAGGGTTAGGACAAAAGGGAAGTGCCAAGGAGGCTGTGTGGGGAGATCATACACACTCAACAAGCTGTACGCTCTGCCAGACTTGTTGGCAGTGCCACAACACCACAGTGTCAAAGATCCACCCCCAGAGGGCCAAAGGTTCGGGCTACGTACGGTCAGAGAGTGGACGCAATAAACCCAGACCCAAAATTCTGCTTTTACTAAACACCACACAACTTCACAGACACGCCTGCTCATAGATTATAATTGTTCAAATTCTCAAATAATATATCTGGTTTCATTACTCCAAAGTGAAACTAGGGTTCCCAAACCAGACAGCCATTAAGCTCCCAAATATTCAAAAAGGATGTAGAAACATGCAGTCACCATGTTGGTTTTGTGGTCGAAAGGCTTTGTGAAAGGTCTGCTGATGTAACTGAAAGTGGACTTTGTTAAATATTAACCTGTCCTGACAAAAGCATCCAAGTCTGGGTTTTGGAGCAGTTCAGTTAAGATAAGCCCTAAACCATTATTGATTATGTCCACTATGTTCTTCTCTTTTGCTTCCCTAAATGCAAAAGTCCAGATACCACTTTATCTTTTCATACCAGCATCTGCTTCGTGTACCATTTTACCCTTTTGGGCCCTAATTGAATATAAAGAAATATCTACTATTCTCACAGCTGGTTAGGAAGTAGGATCTAACTATAATCCACCAAATACTTTTCCCATAAGCCAAAAAACAGCAGCTGTTGTGCTGCCGGAGACAAACTATAAACAGGAATATCATTTTGCAGGGGCTTTCCTGTTCAGACAAAAACAGAGATTTCCTCATGAATGTCCAAATTTCCCAGGTCTGATGGAACCAAAAGTTGCAGAGCTTAAACTGAGAGTCACCGGATGAATTTATTTGTTGAATTAAATGATGTCATGCAATTTTGAGGCCACTCAAATGAAATGTCGCCACTGTTAAGCTTTACAGAATGCAGTGTATAGTTATTCATTGTATTTAGCAGAGTGGACTTGGTAGACATGGAAAAATGGCAATATATAGCTGGGAGTTGTGGTGGTTGTGATGGTTTGTGTGTTTTAACAGTTTGCTAAACGTCTTTGTTTTAACTTTCATCTGTGCTAAGTAATTTTAGCTCGTAAGCTAACCTGTTCAGATACAACATACCATATGTATTTTCACTGTCTCAAACTCAATCGCGTTGCTGTCACAGCACCATTGGGTCTCGGTTGTTACCTTACATTTATGGTACTGGCCCCGACTCAGTACATGCTATCATGACAGAAAGCCATCTCAACACTAGTGCCTAATAAAAACTGAAAAACAGTCAGTCTGGTTTTGTGTCAGTCTTCGGAAAGTTGCAAAATCGCATCAGAGCTTGATGTGTATAGTCAGGCACGTCAAAATTCACCTCTGAATATTTTGTAATTTCGCATCGTATATTTGCGTCGTTCCCGCTGTGTAAGGACCTTTAACATAATGATGTGCAGGTGAGAAAAGGCTTGGTCACTATAGATTTATGTGTTTTTTGAGCACATTACTGTTGGTATCAATTTCCGTTTTTGTTTTTTGGTTGACTTTGATGGTTAGGGTTAGGGTTCTACTGTCACATATCATTTTACTTAATTTTTGCACCCTGACTGCACCCTAAACTGACGGCTGAGGTTGTCCTGAAAAAAAGATGTGCATATGTTTGCTGTGTTTAAAAGGATAGAATTGCTACATAGATTTTTACAAAATAAAAACAGGCGGACCAAATATAGCAAAATATAGCTGGGAGTTCTAAGGGTTAATTAAATACCAAGGGGGCCTCAAGCCGCCCCTGTACATATGGCCCCAGAGTTTGTAGCTACGCCCCTGCTAAGGACGTTACTCTGAGTATGTTATGTGATGGATGTGTTGTTTGTGTTTGGGGCTTTCCTTTTCCTTCTTAACGTTATAATTCAGTTTTTTCTCACCTTCTGTCAGAGGAGACTTGGAGAGGTCTCTTCTGTCCTCAGGAAACGACTCCGCCAGTCTTTTAAAGAGCCGCCCAAGATCCGAGTAACTCCGGTGCAAGTATAAAATGTTCCTGTCAGACCACTCCGTCCTGATCTCGAAAAAGTCCTCCTCCTCTCCCCGCTGGCTGATGATAAGTCTCCGGATCCCGTTGACCCAACAGTCCCGTACAAACATATTGACCAGCGACGTGCCCTCAAACACAGCCGATGCCATTCCTCAGACGTCAGTCCAGCATGCTGCCCTCTCTCTCTGGGGCGGCAGACAGCGGTCAGATAGCCTGGAGCTCCTGAAATGTCAAAATAGACTCACACAGGGAAACTTTGCCCACTTTTCTGTCGGGGGTTTTCTCTGAGCAGCTGGACGTAAATGAAGATACCTCCTCAGCGCATCAGGCGTAATCTCAAACGTGGCATGAGTTGTGAAAAAAATAGACTTTAGAGTCACTGATACCGCCCCTGCGAAATTGATTTGGTGTTATCGATCCAACAACAGTTCATTTTCCACGTCAACCTCTCCAACAAGCCGAGGAAGTGTCCTAAAAGTCCAAAGACGGGTGCAAAATCTGTGAAAGTCTACAGTTCCCTCTTTTAGTTTCTTAAATCCAGAACATTTCTCCTCACACAGACTGGATCAGCAGTTGCTCTTCTTTCTGCACAGTTTCCTCCCCTCTCCTTCCTCCCTCCTTCCTTCCTCCCTCCTTGACAACAGGGTATTATTATGCAAAGAATGCACAGGGCTGCAATAGGGAAACCTCCTTATTAAAATCAGGAGGAGATGCTTGTTATGCTGTGGGTGCCATGATAGCCACGGACTGTGTTTACACTTTGTTTGAAATGACATTTTTGGAGATAAACTCAGGAAAATTTTGGGGAATATACAGCTGACATGAAGTTTTTATAAAGTCTAAGAAACTTTAATACTATAGGACATATTTGTAGAAAAAAATGAACTCTAAGTTGGCTGTTTCTTGGCAGGAATTACTTGATTTTGCCATTTGATTATGAAAGTTCAAAAGCATGGCTTAGACTTGATTGTGATGCAAGTAGGGGAGACAGGGGCTTGTTGTCACATGGGTGAGTTGTCACATTGCAATTATCTTTGCCACCAGAGGGCGCAACTAAAAAGTGGAATACTAGTTTTATTCCTTTACATGGGCTGTGTCCGAAATGAATCACTCAATCCCTAACCCCTTAGCCCCATATGTGGTTTTACTATATAGTTGACTACATAGTGAACTCAATCACCGGAGGTTTCGGACACTACATGGCATGACACAATGCATGACGGGATGCCCACCAATGGTGAGTGCCCATCGGATGGTCCCAACATTTTGCAATGCTTTTTGGGAAATTTTGAGTCGCCTATATTGGGCACTGGAATTGATCACTGTGGTTTTGGACACCCCTCAAAATGGCGCTAACCCCCATGTAGTCACCTATATAAGGGTTAAGGATCCATTTCGGACAAAGCCTCTGTGTTCCTTGCCCCAGTCCTGTCACACCTGCTCCCTGATTGTTTCTCCCCACCTGTGTCTCATCAGCCCTCGTTACCTCTTGTATTTAACCTCATGTCTCTCACTGTCTTGATGCCAGTTTGTTGCACTGTATAGTCCTCATCCTGGCCTTTTTCTTCACAGCCACAGTCATAGCCTCTCGTGTTCTGAATCTTGCTTGTTTTTGGATCTACAGAGAAAAGAGTGGTTTAAAGGAGAGGAGAAAGGGAGAAAACATGGTCAGGAATTACAAAAGAAAAACAGTTGCATAATATTTTATGTTAACGTTTGTTCAATGACTTTTTGTTGCTCAATAATAAACATGTTCTGTGCCTGACTTTGATCTTCACTTTCAGTAAAAAAATTAGAACAACTATAATTTTGTCCTTTTTTTATTAGCTGCAAAATCCACTGTGACATCTTACCCCATGAAGTGAGACAACTTACCCGATGGTGGGGCAACATGTTACATGTTCACACTCTCTATTTGATTGCTTATAATTCTGCACTGACACAAGATAGAAAAATGACATGAATACAAAATATATACCTGAGACTTTGGTCTTTCATCTGGTACACATTTTGTTTATACATGATGTATTGTTTCCAAGAAATATATGAGTGTATAAAGTGTGACAACAAGCCCCGGTCTCCCCTATACCATCCCTGCCCAGAAAGGAAAACCCCCTGTCTTGAAGTGGAACCAAGATTCATGTCATTGATAGGCAGCTAATTTTAAGTTGATGGACCCCTAAAGATAAGACTCATCTTCTTGGCGCCATGAGGAAATTAAAATCTGAGACCATCCATTCAGCAGCTTTCAGAATATTTCAGTCTGAGACACTAAAAGCACATTCAAGTCCTTAAGAGTGAAGAAAACAGTGAAGCACTTTCCTGTATGAAATGATCTCTTTCCTAATGGTCGTAAAGTACATGGTATGCTGCACATTTCATTCCAGGCTCAACTGCGAGGATGATTGTATTACCCTGAAAAACCACCCCGGTATTATCAGGACCCCCTGTTTAATAATAGGATCTGTCTGCTCTGAGTGGTTCTTCAATCTGCGGTTGGCCACATTTAAAGAGTCAGCACATTCTGGATCAAAACCCTGTCCCACTGTGATTTTTCTCCGAAAGTAAACTATGAAAGGAAAAGCAGACCTTGGCTGATTCATCCATAAAAGCGTTCGTTCTCCAAACATTTGTCTGTCATTACAGCGGAGCCAAGGCCAAACCTTTGTGGGACCAAGAGGAATTGCTGAGGATTCATTTGTTTGGAAAGGGGCTGATGTTTGACCAGATATACAGCAATTTGTTTATGCACGGGCTTAAATGTTTGCACAGGATAGGCTGATATGAACAATTACTCCAAATTAAGAGGAGGACTCTCCAAACTTGCCTCATTATGTGCTTAAATTGACTGAAAAATGGTGATGTTTCTGGAGCGGATTTTGCAAATGCTCAGATTCACAGAAACAGGGCTTCTGTGGCTCAGTGGTAGAGTCAGTCGTCTCTGGTTGGTTCTACTTGTACTTCCATTTCTATCCAGTCTTGTTTTCATAATGCAGGCATGGAAAGCCAATAATATCAGATTAACATGGATCTAACTGCATCCTAAATAAAAGTGCCTTCAAGCTGTAGCTCCAAAATTAGCATGAAGACTTGTAAGATATTCTTAGCCAGAACATACATCAGTTTGTTCACAAAAATATGATGATGAGGCCTGATAAAAATCTTTTTTTGGCCACTGTGTAGTAGCAAAAACACACACAAGGGGTGGTGGGCAAGCGTCATAGTAAAGGGCTAACATTATATCTCCAATCAAGTGTCATAACGGCCATGTTTGTCCCATCTAAAAGAACTCAGGTCCAGTTTTCTGTCTAGACAAAAGAGAATCGATAAAGACAATCTCAAAGTCACTGCGCTCCAGCTCCTCACAAGCCATGACAATCGGGCCTCTTCTTTATCCCTTTTCTTAAAGCGAACATAAATTACATCCTCCGGCGAGGCCATATGCTCAGGATATACACCTAAATCTGTGTCTTTGCTTTTGTAAATTTATTGTCAGGCTTTTCTCTTCCAGACAACAAACATCAGAGGCTCGTAAAGCAGAGCAAAGTCCAACATAAAAGTTGGACACATCTGTCGGGGAACAAAGAACATCTGCGTTGATGGAAGCAGGCGTTCCCTTTTCATTGAGCAGCATTGTGAGCCATGGCAGCGCTTCACTCTGAGGAAGTCTTTCTGAGCCATAACTCTACCCTGAGCGGTTTTAGAGGACAAAACCCAGAGAAGAGAGTAGGGGCTGGAGTGACAGTGGGTTAGAGGAGTGCCTGAGTGTTTTTAACAGGCTGTATAATGGACTGTGGTTGTCGTCACTATGCATCTGTTGGACCTCGTGTTTTACGGCCCGATCCTTATTGTGTCTTCAGTGAAGCTTGGAGAGCAGAAACCCTGTAAGATTTCAGGCAGACCTGATGTCTGCTTGCTTTATTTCCTCTGTGGAAATCCAAGTTCCTGCTACTGAGGCCATAAATCTGATCTGTGGGTTTGAGGGCATCAAGAAATCCATGTGGATGGCTGTGGATACTCCATCAGGGATGTAATTACAGTTTTGGTGCAGAAATGGATGTGAATAGATATTCACATCACATAGACTGCTTATAGAAAATGTTCAAACATTTAAATTCCCATTAAATAAAATATGTGTTTACGCACTATGTCCTCTGCAGATACTTACTTATACATGGGTTAATGGCCAAACAGCTCCAAAATTGTATTTGTGGCTTCATTTATGCCTTTCATCAGTCAGTATCATGTTCAATTCTACATGATGGCCTCTGCTGGCAGCTAAGTCAGCATTAAATAAACATAAAGGTCAAAAAGGAGAACGTACACAATACATAAAGATGAGTTTCATTTAACTATCTGTGCACACAACAGGATGAATCATAAACTGTAAACACAGACACTGTCCTCTCCTTCCTGCTCATAATATTAATCACATACAGTAAAGGCTCATGATTTACTGAACACACTGGGACACAGGTCTCAACTAATGGAATATCTAATGCCTCCATGACCGACACTTTAATCTGCGGTGGGACCTTCAGCCCCCAACTTCACCATATAAATCTGAGCTATACGGAAAATCTGAGGTACCTACACTTTGAGTTACAGCCTCTGGACCCTGCGTACACATCTATTAACTCGTTGGACTCAAACAAAAATGATATTTTTTCTCTGTAGGACTTGCTCCATAATCTTAAATGAATGATGAAGTTTTCAGTCCAGTCTGCTCAAGGTGTCACAAAAACAGACGACGATAATGAAGCACCTGGAGAACCATCATCTGCCAAGAGTACTTCAGGCATCTGCCAGCATGTCAACATTAATGCTGTTTTATCTGCGCGCCTCTATTACTCTCACACTGCTGTGAACAAGCACCCACAGGTGCTTCACAATAACATGATTTACTGCTTCATATAAAGCTGTCAGGAGGATAATAGCCACCCATGAACACTCCTGCATCCGTGCATCCAAGTCATGTGATTTCATCCAAGTGTGTAAGACGTTAGTTTTTGCACTTTCTGCAGCTGGTGCAAATCTTAGGCGACACATATTATCAGATTTGAGTTTCGCTGCTTTTAATGTTTCCAGTTAATCACCCTGTTCAGTGGTTTCACTTCTGAGAAGGGCTGACATCTCTGATCAAAGATTTGTTCTCTCATGTTACAGCTGAGCAGCTCTGACAAGTGTTATAAGACAAGGCTGCTGTCGTACTTCAATGCCGCAAATGTGACTCTTTTTATGAGTGTGATTGACATTAAAAGTTATCTGCAAAATATTAAACTGTTCTGCACGTAACTTTTTTAGTTATTTTGCCCTTTGGGATGATGCTGTTCATTTAATCGTGGTTGGTGCAAAACTGCAGTATCAACAAATCCCTGTCCCTCTCAGCTGAATCAGTCAAACAAGCTGTAGAGGCCTGTAATGAAAGCAATATGAAAAGTTGATATCAGTATTCCCTACCACTAAACCTACAATTGCACATAAGTAGCATTTCTGTAAAGTATACCACAGGAGCACAGGGTGCATGAGGGGCTTTAAAAACCACAGGATGAAGTGTTTCACTTCCAAGGACATCCTGTGGTGAAAGCCGACGAAGAATCTTCTCAGAGACCGCACTTTTCTGGGTTTTTCTCTCGTTCTCCTATTCCAATGTGTCTCCAAAAGACTGCACCACAGCTCATGGGTTATGAAGTTCACAAAACAACACTGCACAGTAGGTTGTAAAGAAACTAAGAAATCAAATAAAACTTCTAACTTCACTGCCTGTACCTAACTTAACCGAACTAAACTTAACTCGCACTAAATAGACCACATACTTAGACTCCCCCTGAAAGAAAAGAAGAGAGAAAATTTGTTGGTCACATGTAACCCAACAAAAGACAAAAATCTGTGCTGAGGATGCCAAACTGGACTGTGGTGAGAGCTCAGAGAAGCTCTCAGGCTTCTTCGCTGATCAATGAGTTGTTGTTGTTTTTTTTACCGAGATGTCTTTTGAAACAGTAAAAACAAAAATAAGTGTAAAGTTTCACTGAATTTGTGCTTAACAGCTGATTGCACTTATGTTTGCATGAGTGTCAGAAAAGCTGATACAAGTGTCAAATATCCATGAATAAATGAATAATTAAGCCTTCAGCTGTCTTTAATGATTTAGTACAGTAGTCTTAATTTGCATTACACCTACAGTGAAATGTGAATTAAATCATGAATTGATGCCCATCTCCTAAATATTTGGTCACATGATCAATTTATTTCACCATTTCCAAGCAACAGGGGGGTGGCTCAACTTACCCCACTCTCCCCTATCCGTCGAACAAGCGTGCACCCTGGTGGACAAGCGAAATAAAAGGAACGCTGCTAATGGCTGCCGTTCGTCGCCAGGGCAACAGGGGGCGTATCATTATTTCTATTTACGTACAGCTCTGCGTTCAAAACAACCGAAGAAGAAAAGCCCCCCCTCAGCTAAGGAAAATGGCCGACGTTGAGATGGACATCGCGTCCACAAGAATGAATAATGGCAACGAACACGTGTAAGTGATTTAATTTAAGAAGAAACGCTCCTAGTTATAAGTCTGATCTTTTCTTTGGCTAGAATTAAAATAGAGCAGTGAGGAAAGTTAGGACTACGGGTGTTAGCTGACTAGCAGCTTCACGCTGTAGCCTGGCTAGTCAACGGCTGGCTAACGCTAACTGTTAGCATGTCTTAGCTAACGGTTGAAAACGGACTTGGCGGTCGTGCTCACTGCAGTTAGAGAAAAGTCGTCGAAGTTTACCGTTTTGGTGGTCTTTTGGGGTTTTTAACTTTAATTACTCGCGTTAATGCAGATAATTTCTCCAGTTTCTTGCTAAATTCAGCACATTACGTAATCGCGGTTTACCTAATGTCAGCCACAGAGCCAGCTGGTGTTTGTAGTCATCCAACAGTTTTTTCCTTCAGGTGGTGGCTTAACCTGCCTAGAGAAAAATGGTTAACACCACGATTTTTGTTCACGTTACATGTCACATTATGGAAGTGCTTCATGTGAAGGGAGCTAAGTAGGTTCCACTACTGCACGGAGTTGTGGTTTTTTACATGATGCTGGAAGTTGCTGGTGCCCCGGTTGCCATTGGTTACTGTGTTGTAGGAGAGGCAACAAAAGAGAGCCTCTGTACCAGCTCTGTGTCAACAACAGGGGACTGTTGGTGTTATCAGCCATCACTTTAGTTGGCCTTACATCATGAGTTGTAACCGTGGTGTAGTAATTGTATGGCTTTTTACAGCAATACATAAGCTGATTTAATGGGTGATAACTCATATGATATTTAATTTGTCATTAAACGAAGACTTTGAATTGTTTTATCTATTGAAAAAGGTCAGAGTTATTCCACTCAAACCAACAGTTACTTGAAGGGATATTCCGGCGTAAAATTAATCTAGGGTCAAACACACTGCAACACCGAGTTAGACACCCGCAGAGGGATGAATGTTGCTGACTGCTTATTTTTCTAGTTATACCAACTTTAGTAACAACTGCAGGATAATAATACACAGTGGTCTGAGGAGCCATAAACAAACCTCAACCAAAACGCCACTCTATAGCCACAAATAATGCTCAGAACGGCACCTAACTTCATCAACAGTACATATAGGGTCCTAGCCATAGTACTATAGCCTGGCTGGGCATTCCTGTTGCGTGAATCACTTGATGTTCCTTCCCACCAAGGTGGGAATCACTTGATGTTCCTTCCCACCTTGGTGGGAAGGAACATCAAGTGATTCACGCAACAGGATGGCCCAGCCAGGCTAATAGTACTAGCCACCAAACATCTTTTTAACTTTGCCTAATTTCTTTAGCAAAGAGACTAAACACAACTCACCTACTCTCTTCCAGCAGCCGCTTGTTTGTAACGAGACCTCTGCCCAATCCATTAAGGACTGCTGCAGGGTGACGCAGCTCAAGGAAGAACATTTATGATCATTTCTTCATGGAAATGCAATCAGACCGAGATGCTAAGGCAGAAGAACTACCACGTCTGCAGTGCAAAATGATTAATATGGTGATTATTACTTCAAGGAAATGATAAAGTAATGATCATAAATATGTGGTCGTTACTAAAGTTGGTATAACTGGAGAATCAAGCGGTCGGCAACATTCATCTCTCGAGGGGTTGTCTAACTCGGTGTTGCAGTGTGTTTGACCCTAAATTAATTTTATCCCGGAATATCCCTATAAGTGAAATTTACTTTAAACTCCTGTAAAAAGTGTCTGTTTGTGCCTCATATCTATGCGTATCTTGTGTATTTCCTGTTTTGAAGCGTAAAATAACATTGTGGTTTTCCAACAGTCACTTACCATGACAATTTGCTGTGGAGGAAGTAAATATAAAAGTTTCCTTCTCCATGGTACAAACTGCCTCAGCTGATGCTGACACATTGAAGCCCTTAAAGCCATTACACATTAATATAAATATTGTTAACCTTTTACTTCACTTTTCACCCCTGTTATAAATGCATAATATGAACTTTGTATTTAAAGTTTTCTTTCTTTCAAACAGGAAGCAGGATCTAGAAATCCAGGAACGAAGTGGAAATGAAGACAGTGGAGACATGTCTGAAGAAGAGGAGGAGGAGGAGGTAGGGATGGACCACAACAACATCGAAATATCTTCCGTGGTATGATGCCATAGTTCCGATGCACTTATTACCCTAAACAATTTAAAATAATCTCAGGCAGTCTAATGTTTTGGCCACACATGTATTAATTCTTGTGTCTCAAATCATCTTCAACCCCACAAATATAAATATGCAGTAGAAGTTAATAAACATCAAACAGCTGCTGCAAAACTGTGGCGCATGATTAAATGTGAATTTCATTGTTGGTTACTCCACCAAAAAGTTGAAATAAAAGGCAGATATATATGGAGATACAACTTAGTTTGCTGTAAGTGTATCTATAATAAGAGGTAAAGGATTGTTGCTATCTTCTACTTTATTTTTGAAAATGCGAATTCAGGGATGTAACCAGACTTAATGAAGCTGATATTTTGCCCTGTTCCAGGAGGAGGCAGTGACTAACGGTGAGAAGACAGGAGAGGGGTCCAAACATCACAGCGGCAGTGGGAAACACAAGAGGAAAAAACATAAACATCGTAGTAAGCACAAAAAACACAAACATGCCTCTGACGAAGACAAGGAGCGCAAACGCAAACATCGTCACAAACACAGGAAACACAAACGCAAAGAGGGCGCGTCTCCCTCGGGTGCTGTCCTCTTCGGCTCGTCCAGCCACAGAAAGATGGAGTCTTCTCCCTCCTCTGGGAATCCGAGTCTGGACGACAGGGCCCTGCTTGAGGATTTGGAGAAACAGAGGGCCATGATAAAAGCTGAGCTGGACAGCCAGTTGATGGAGGGCAAGGTCCAGTCAGGCATGGGTTTAATCCTTCAGGGTTACAACTCTGGATCAGAGGAGGATGGAGACGCTCGAGTCAGAAATGGAGAACAGCGTCAAAGAGGCAGCTCAGGTAAACCCATCTCTCCCAGGGGGGGAAAGAGCGGGAAATCGAGACGGGACTCAACAGAGGGCAGCAAATCCAACGCCAAGCGTCGCAGTCGGAGTAAATCTGCAGAGAGGCCAGGTCAGACCAAGGAGTCTAAACAGGATAAGGTCACCAAAACCACCAAGGACTCAAGTGTAAAAGACAGAGGCCGGGTCAGGAGCAGGTCAAAGGACCGAAAACGCTCAGATAGTGCGGACAGGTCCAAGGAGAGAAGCAGGAAGTCCAACTCCCCTCCCAACTGGAGGGGAGAGCAGAAAAGCAGCCGCACTGAAAAACGGCCCTCACCTCAGCGGGAGGATAGACCAAACCAGGACAGAGCCAGCCGCAGGTCCAGATCACCCGGGAGAGAACGACCGGGTCGCTCAGATGCTGACCGGGACAAACGGCCAGCAAAATCCCCATCCAAGGACGCGTCGTCGGGGAAAGAGAACCGCTCTCCTCATCGCCGAGGGCCTCACAGCCCTGGAAGGAGACGCAGTGCTTCCCCTCGGCACCGAGATGCCCACCAGCCCACAGCTACTGCCTCTGACAGGACGTCAAAACAAAGCCACTCACCATCCAGAACACGGTCCCCCCAAAGGAGAGGCCGCAGTCGCTCACCTGACACCAGGAGGAGGGATGCTGATAGGCAGGACTCACCATTTAGGTGAGTTCCAGTCTTTATTTCTCTAACTTTTATTGTAACTCACAGTAGAGGTGCACTAAGTAGTAAATCACAGGCTGTAAGAAGAAGAAGAGGGTAGTTATTAGGCAGTGGTTGTGTGCAAAAGAATATGTACTGATGGTAAAAACTTGACAGATGGAGGATCAGCCTTGGAACCTGAACCAGGACATAGTTAGGCTGAATCCCAATTCATAACTCACAGGCTTAAAAAGTGTGTTTCTGGTGAAAGTTTGAGCAGTTTTTCTATTAGACCTTGTTAGAATTTGTAGTGGAGACATGAAGGTGGCATCAGGAGAATGATAATACAGCCTGCAGATATGTGTGTACACAAGAGTACATCAACTAGTTTGAACCAGAAAAACCTGGCTGGCATGGAAATGATTGGAACAACTGAAAATAGATTTGCATATGTGTTACAACATGTAGGTTATCCTGGGTTCGAGTTACCTCGGAAGTCAGATGTCAGAGCCAAAAGTGACGCCGCACCTGAGTTCCCAGCGTTTCAGCGACCAAGTCAGAAAAAAGCGAAATTCAAAATCGGAGGCATGAAAAAAGATGGCTACATGAACAAAGTTATTTTAGGAAATTTTGATCATTTCCTCTAAGCCTTCATCCTTTACCATTGACAGGGTCTCATGTCCGTCCCCAACATCTTTAAGATGGGTTCAGTGAGGGAATGGGCTTGGAGAGGTGTGCAAGTTGTTGACTTCGTTAAAAAGTCATCCATCGTGGTAGTGGAACGCTTTTTACTTGCACTGTAACGGCAAAGCGTCACCATTATAGTCTGATTACATTCCATCAAACACGAACATGACATCGTTTTTATATCGTAACTACAAACACGTAAGCTTCAAGGTAAATGAAATCATCAAATCGTCAGCCTTGCTATTAACATTTACACGTAAAGCTTCAGCTATCTTGCTTACAAATGTATCCGGTAATTTTATTAGCAGCCAATTAGCCAACTAGCTTACCGAGGAGACGGTCCTTCTCCGGCGTCCACTTCGTCAGCCAACCCGACGTGTTTTCTTCGTGCTGGTGCATGGTAGTCGCGCCTTGCAGATCTCGCATTTCACGGACTTCCTCTCTGTATTTGGTAGCAGCTCCCAAACACCGGAGCTACGTGTCCTGCTCGCAATTGTTACCGAGTTGTACTGAAGTCCGACGCCGACTTGTATGAGCTCTACTGCGCAGGTGCACACACAGCGGAGGCGATGAGCGGATGGTACCGCGGCACGTTCGAGCGAAAAATGAAGCGAAAAAAAAAACGATTACGTCGATTATTAAAACAGTTGTCGACCATTTTGATTGTCGAACATCAACCGATTAATCGAATTAAAGTGGCAGCCCCAGTTCCGTTTCCACAAAGTACTGACATTAATGGCAGTTCAGACTCTTGACAGTTTGCAAAGATCTCACTTTGTATTTAAAGACACAATACCAAACTTCAGAGGGGTTAGGGTTATCCAACTATTTATGGGTGTGTCATGTTTCCAGATAGCATATGATGTAGTGATTGTGTGTCTTACTCCTTGATTTTATTCCTTACGCTCTGTAGGACTCTGTCCCTGCACCTGTGATGCCTTTTTAGAAGTTTTGAAGGTTTAGTGTTTTGGCTTTAGGGTGAAGGTTTGGATTGGGCCTTGGAATACTTAAAGAGAATGATCCCGTTGCTTGTAGACACCTTACCCAGCTGTCTTATCAGTCTTTTTTTTTGTACACAGCATGGTGAATGAGATTGCCCCAGAACTGGCTCAAGTTATCAGAGTGAACAACACAAAAAGTTTCGTAGATATTTCAGAGTACTACTAAAGAAAAGCCCTGTCCTTGAAGTCCCTCTCTGGTTGATGTAAAAAGTCTTCTTTAGCTCATCTGTCCCCTGGTGTTTGTTCAGGAAACGTGTCCGGGCAGATGCCGGTTCAGCCAGAGACAGGTCACGAGAGATCAGTCCCAGATCATCCTCCCGCCGCAGGATGAGTCGCTCACCTCTAAGACGAAGGTCCCCATCACCACGACGACGGTCCCGCTCTTCCCCTCGCAGACGCTCTCCACTGGGACACAGGTAATGGCTTTTATTAGTCCCCTTTCATTTGTCTCTGCTCAAGGCGCAGAATTTTTCTCTGCACCTTTTGTCTCTTACGTAATCAAAGACACACTCGGGCTTTCTAATTTTAGTCACACATTTGTCATGTTTTTTTTTTTTCTTTTAAAGGAGTTGACTTTCAAAGTTCCTTCTTTTATTTGATGCCGACTTTCTCCCGTGTGAACTTTTATAAGGTAGTAAAACATTCTTCTTCGTCTTTGCAGGTCGGGGGAGAGAGACCGGTATGGAAGGCTCCGACAGTACAGACGCTCCATGTCCAGAGATCGCGAGAGGAGGAGACGACGCAGCAGAGACGAGGACAAGTTCAAGGGCAGCCTGTCAGAGGGGATGAAAGTGGACCAGGAGTCCTCGGAGGAAGAAGTGTAAGCAACAGTAGATACCAGCAGGGATGATTCTGGTTCCTGAAGAACTGTGGAAAACTGAAGTGTAGATTCAAATCAGCGAGACACAAAAAGAATCAAAACAACCTCTTTTAACAGCTAAGGGTGTGATCTGATTAAACTTTTCTTATCTGACGTCGTCACATCTTTTTTTATTTGCTTACACATGCAGACATGGTGGCAGCAAGTGAAGGTTTTGCAGTTATGGATGCACTGCCAGTGTTTCCCACACAGAGACTGTACCTGGGCAGCGACTCTTAGCATATATAATGATGATGATGATTTCAACATTTTTCTTCCACCCCATATAAAATTGCCATTCACTATCTCTTTCCCTCTCCACTTCTCTCATGTGTTGTCAGTACCTGAATTTCTTGTTCATGTTTGCAGGATGGAGGACTTCGATGGAGAGGAGGTAGACGAAGAGGCTCTCATCGAACAGCGCCGCCAGCAGCGCATGGCCATCGTCCAGGTCTGTATCCTGTCCTCTCAACCTAAACATCCTGATCTATCTGTAAAAAATAATAGAACCCTCCAGAGTTAGTCTACTTCCATACAGCTAACCTCTTCTTAAGTCAACAATAGACTTAGTTTCACATGGATATTCAGGGCTTGACATGAAGGTCGTGTTCACACCTAAAGGTCATGGAGCATCGTGGGCAGATTTTGCTTTTGCTACTCATCTGGAGCGTGTATCAAAAGACGCTAGTTGACAGCAGGGATGGCAAGTCGATTTAACCGCGCTGCTGTTGCTGTTACTGGTTATGGAGAGTGAGAAGACACCGGTAGATCTACAGTGAATGTCCGTCAAATATCCAACCTAAAACTAACTTCACTAATTTTTTTAATGCGCACATGTGCCCCTAAATACATTTTACAATTCGCACACATATATCTTCAGTCGCAAATGTGAGTGAAACGGTCGCACTGTCGAGCCCTGATTCTCATTGACAAACCTTCCCTGTCTTCCTCCAGAAATACAAGTTAGTGAATGAAGACACTAACATGGTGTCGGAGCCCAGCAGCCCTCAGAGCAGCACACGCAGCCGGTCCCCATCCCCCGACGACATCCTGGAGCGAGTAGCAGCAGACGTCAAGGAGTACGAACGCGAGAACCTCAACACCTTCGAGGCCAGCATCAAGGCCAAGCACAACCTCATCGCACAGGAGAAAGACGGTAAATGCCCCCAGTCGAAGCCGCCTCTGTATGTTGGCGTACAAGGCCAACTGAATGAACCACGGTCAGATGTGTGTTTGAAAGTCACCTGCAGGTGTAAACACATCTGATGTCATGAAACAGGGTACAAGATTATCATCTGTCTCTTGATATATGCGCAGGAATTCACAAGACTTCTGGCAAGCACACAGGTCAAACTTTATCCTCTCACTTTTTAGAGGTTGATGTGGCAGGAAGTCTTCATGTCATTGTCATTCAGGGCTTTTCCTCCATATCAGAGCATCAGAGGATGATCTCGTTACCTATAAAGAGGACATCAATCATGACCAGCTTCTGATCCTGGTACAGGAAAAGGTCACGAATAAAGTACAATGATGTTTTTCTGTGCAGGGGTTATCTTGACCCAGGTAACCACAGAATATTGCGATCTATCATCCCTTCAGTCTCACCTGTAACTTCAACCTTTCAGGCTGAAGAGGAGAGAAGTCATCTCTGAGTGTGGAGGAGATCAGGGCCTGAAAACATAAAAGCAAAATCATCGTCTGAGATTTCCGTCTTTGATTTTTCTGAGAGAGCAAATGGACATTTTTCGTGTTCTGCAAATTTTTTTTTCAGTGTATTTTTAAGGTTCACTCAAGCCCAACTTAGTGCATGTGGAGGAATTCACAAATATGAAGGGGGAAGTTTTACCCCGGCCTGAAAAACACGGGGCTATAAATGTGCAGTAATGTTGCCTCTCTTACCAGCCAAAAGAAATCGGGCTTCAAACTCGAATTGCATTTGGGTGCTTGATTTGTGTGAGAAACTTCAAAGTTGTGTGTGATGCAGCCGTTGTAATTTTCTTTCTTTCTGTCATGTGTTCATTCAGTTGCTGGCTTGTAATCCAAAGCCTGGGTGTCTCTGCCACCTGCAGCATATTTTGATCTCTGCAGAGTATGTGAATCAAACACAAGTACCAGATATTCTGTTTTACAACCTGTTTAATGGATCGAGACTCACCCCCCGCCTCGTTTTTGTTTCTTTCTTTTGTTCGTTTCAGGAGCGAACCCAAAGAAGCCTTCAGCCCCCGACATGTTTACAGAGTCTGATGACATGTTTGCTGCTGACTTTGATGTAAGGAAACCTGAATGTAGGATGTTGTTCTTTACCTTGATGTTCCTCTCTGTTGTGAATGCACTGATCTTATTTGCTTTGCTCCTGCAGAGTGCCAGAATGAGAGCAGCAGGTGTAGGGAAAGACTTTAAGGAGAACCCCAACCTCAGGGACAACTGGACAGATGCTGAGGGTTACTACCGTAAGTGCCGCCCATTTATCCTCTATTTGTGTTCCAAAGTAGTTTTACACACGGAGTAAAAGCCTTTATGGCTGTCATCATTTTGCCGCCTGTTGCGGTGATTTAGGGGTGAACATCGGGGAGACACTGGACAAGCGCTACGATGTTTATGGCTACACCGGCCAGGGTGTTTTCAGCAACGTGATCAGAGCCAGGGACACTGCCAGGGCCGGCCAGGAGGTGGCAGTCAAGATCATCCGAAACAATGAGCTCATGTGAGTCAAACAGTTTATCTAAAGATGTTCAAAAACAAGTTTAGAAACCTAGATTTATTCTTTGATCGACAAAAATCCCTGAGAGTTTTTCTGATTCTTTGTTTGACAGGCAGAAAACCGGGTTGAAAGAGTTAGAATTCCTCAAGAAGCTGAATGACGCTGATCCAGATGATAAATTCCACTGCCTTCGACTCTTCAGACACTTCTACCACAAGCAGCATCTCTGTCTGGTGTTTGAGCCTCTCAGGTACAAAAGGAAAACACTCTTTTCCTGAATTACTCATCATTCATGTTGTCAGTCTGCTACTGTTTTAAGGGGTTTAAGCTTCACTCTCTGATGCCGTGTCGTCTTCTCATCTGTAGTATGAATTTGCGAGAGGTGTTGAAGAAATACGGTAAAGATGTCGGTCTCCACATTAAGGCCGTGCGCTCCTACAGCCAGCAGCTCTTCTTGGCCCTCAAGCTCCTCAAACGCTGTAACATCCTCCACGCTGACATCAAACCAGACAACATCCTGGTACGGTGGAAACTCTCAGTCCTGATTTTACTTATTTAATTCAAAGACCGATTAAAAAATGCATCCTGAATCATTTTTGTCTTTTAAAGGTGAACGAGTCAAAGACCATTTTGAAGCTGTGTGACTTTGGTTCTGCGTCCCACGTTGCCGATAACGACATCACACCGTATCTGGTCAGCAGATTCTACAGAGCTCCAGAAATCAGTGAGTTCCATTGTTTCTATCTCCCCTCGTATCGGTCCAGTTCAAAAGAGACGACTTTGCTCACGATTTTTTCTGCTTCAGTCATAGGAAAGCCGTACGACTACGGCATCGACATGTGGTCTGTTGGCTGCACTTTATACGAGCTTTACACAGGGAAAATCCTCTTTCCTGGATCTTCCAACAACCACATGATCAAACTAGCGATGGACCTCAAGGGCAAGATGCCCAACAAGGTACGATTGCATCACACAGTCTCAGTCCAGTCAGTGATTGTTTCCCTTTTCCTGAAGAAGTGACTCCATGCAGTGTTGTAGAGGTTGCAGCTGATGTGTTGACGTGGTTATCTTTGTTTTTCTTCCCCCTTAGATGATCCGGAAAGGCTTGTTCAAAGACCAGCACTTTGATCAGAACTTGAACTTCCTGTACATAGAAGTCGACAAAGTGACAGAAAGGGTAAGGGGTTTACCTTCCTCTTTAATGTACATCTTTTTTTTCTGATGAAAGTTTTGGTTGCAGAAAACTTTAAAAATGTTTAAAGTGTGATTTTATTTTGCGATCAGACCCATTTTTTGTTGTCTGCAAATCATTTAAACCATAAATTCAATCAAAAATAGAGCAAAGATAATGCTCCAGCCATGATTTTAGGGCCCCGAAGTGACACTACATTAAGAACAGACATGACTCTGAAGTAGAAGTCGTCGCATGGGCTCAAAACCCCAAATTGTATCACAATTCTAACCATTCTATTTGAAAATCGTGGACCCTGAGGGGGACCACCTTGTTTTTTATCAGCGTTCAACTCGAAAGCCATCATCTGCAGTGTTAAAGTGCTAATGATGTGGGTATCTTACACATCTGGAAGAGCACAGACGATGCTGAACGGTATATTGCCAGCTTCGGAGCACCATATGCTTCCATTCAGACGACGCTCTGTTAAAGGAAGGACGATGCCAAAACCACAATCTGCACAGATTAAAGCAGCATGGCTCAGCCGTGAAGGAGTCTGCTGCTAATCTTGCCTACCTGCCGTCCTGACTGCATCATAAAATGAAAAATACAACAAAAGAGACCCTTAACCGTGGAGCAGCTGAAATCCTACTCCAGGCAAGACTGGGATGATGTTCTACTTTCAAAACTCCAGACGCTGATCTTCTCGGTTTCCAAACACCTATGAAGTGTTGTTGAAAAAGGAGGTGATGCAACATGATGGTAAACATGCCCTGTCTCAACTTTTCTGAGAGTTGTTGCCGGCATCAAACTTTAACCATACATTGTTTCAGTTTCAGCTCTTGGAATGTTATTTCTGTTCTGTTGTCAGGTGAAAATGGGATTAAAACGATTTGCAGGCATTAAATAGAGTGAAAATGTACTTGTACTACAACAGCAGTATTTTAATAACTGTTTTTTTTTGTTCCTCTGTCCAACAGGAGAAGGTGACGGTGATGAGCACCATCAACCCCACCAAAGACCTGCTGGCGGACATGATCGGAGGCCAGCGCCTGCCCGAGGACCAGAGGAAGAAGGTGATGCAGCTGAAGGACCTGCTGGACGGCACCCTGATGCTGGACCCGGCCAAACGCATCAGCATCAACCAGGCCCTGCAGCACCCTTTCATCCAGGAGAAGATCTGAGACCCCGAACGCCACACACACACTCCCAGAGCAGACAGAGAACCAACCACTAAACCAGCTCTGACCGGAACTCTGCAGCGAAGCAGCCAACCCACAGACTTCTACTCAGAATGTCATGATTTTTTTTTTGTTCCTCCTCAAGTTTATTTTCTTTCTGAAGACATAATTGTGTTTTATTGTAAATAGATCATCGAGATGGTAGCCATTCTTGAAGACACTGATTTTGCAAAAACATCATTGTAAACTTCCCCCTCTCATACCCAGCAATGCAGTTACAGACTTTTCTTTTTTTATTTAACTGGCATTGAAGTAACAGATGTTTTAAAGAAAAACTATAATTCCTGTAAATACTGTATGTCTATTGCATTAACAATCTCGAGCAGCAGACGGAGAAGTTTTGTTGTAGTTGCAGATGTCTAAAAAGAAAAAAACATCATTCATTTTAATCCACAATTGTCATTGTGGGGCGACGCATGCTTTTGAATGTGCACTCCTTTTGTGCGCTCTATCTGTGGTGCAGGCCTGTAAATGCTCTGTATGTGCATCAGTGTCCCACATGTGGCTGCAACTCCAACCCTTCCTTAAATTCTGCAGGCGTGACGTCTGAACTGAAGGTAAAGATGCATATGAAATACTTCTGGAACAATACTTTTTTCTTTAAAGCAGGTAGTCATTGTTTTCTGTTGCTGGATATTTCCATATTGTTGATTTTTTTTTTTTTAACCTTTCCCCCCTTTAGCACTCTGGCTCGGTCCTGGCTCTGTAAGGCTCTCACATTTAAGTGCCTCCTGTACGAGCCTAGTGTGTTACAACACCAAACAATGCTGACCTAATGAAGCCACACCTTGACCCTCCTCTCTCCCATTGTTGTATATAGTCCACAGTTAGTGTCAGTTCATGTGTGATTATTTTTTTTTCCATTAAGTGGTAAAAAAACGATCTCGTGATTTCAATAAAGAATAGTTGTGGAAACGCTGCTGAAAGAGCACCTTCAGTATAAGACTTTTTAGTAATAAAATGTTTCCTATTATATACAAAAAAAAAACCCTTTCTTCATTCTGACGTCCCACACATCCTCATCATCCTCGCAGCTCAAATCACAGGAAAGTTGGCTGAGACGTGCACAGGTTTAGAGCTTCATGTTAGCTGCTCTTAAGGGGCCTTAAGTGCACTCTTAAGATTGCGAGTGCATGAAAGTGACCGTCGCTGCCGCCTCATACTATCAAAGGTACAATCAGTCCATCTTGAGTCCAGTGGAATGATTTTCAGCTCTCCTACACTACACCAAGTCATAACTGTATCCTTCATCTGTCACATTTTTACACTTGTGTTGAGCTTCTTATAAGCATAATGGGAGACTCAGAATAGATTCCCATTTTTGTCTGTCTGGAAAGTTAAGGCAATGATGCAAGAGCTCTCTGTGCTTGCATAAAGTGCGCTGAGAGGACTTCAGAGATGAGCTGATGGGCTGAAGCCTTAAAGGCTTTGAATACATCAGGGTTATTCAGGGGAAGAAGCAGGGATACTAACACCTACAGCTTTAATCTTAAAGACGAGAGCAGAACAGCCTGTAACGTAAATATGTGGCCAAACAAGCTATTTACAAAGACGCTTTTAAACTCGAGAGAAAATTCACTCACTCTGACTCGTTTTCAGCGCTTGTTGCAGTTTCCAGTAAATACCAGAAGAGGGCGTAAGAAGATCTAGAAACTTAACCTCTAGTGATGTTCAATAATGTTGACTGGTCCTCCTACTTAAACTTAGGAATAGTATAACCCCATATAAACAGTACAATGAAAAAAGGGCCATATGTCTACATAGTGGATAAATGTAAAGTTCCTGTGAGAACAATTTTTAAGTCAGTGACAGTCACACAGCTGAAAAAACAGCCCTGTCTTTACAATTTATACAAAATATTCACAATAAATGACAGACTTGACTGTCGAAGTCAAGTCTACCATTTATACTGATGAGATTTCTGTCAAAGTAGAGAAAGAGATATGCAAAGACAGTTTTTTTTTTCTACAGGGGTGTCAAAATTGACAAAGTTACTGATAAACTTAAACAATTTACAAGATTCGTGTTTTATGTATTTAAAGATAAGGTACTGAGTTTGATTTAGACTTAAAACCAAGAAAAGCTGCCAAAGTAGACATCTTTATTTTAGGTTGTTTTAAAACCACAATCCAAACCAACACCTTTCATTTATTATTGAACCCAGCACACAAAGAGGAAAGGAGACTTGAATTATAATTTCCATTTTTATTAAAACCATACAAACATTTGTAGTCAGTTATAAAAGAGCAAAGTGGCTCTTCTGGCGGAGGGCAGTGCTGGGCCCTTGAAGCTCTGCTCGGAGCCAGATCTGTCTGGCCTCTGCCCAGGGCTCGGGAATCCCTGCTTTTCAAAGTCAATTCTTTATTGGCCCCGGGATACTTCCCGCTTCCTCTGCTAAACCTACAGAAAGAGTATTGTATTTACACATTATATATAAAAAAAGCACAATAAATGTGAAAACATAAAAAAACAAAACAAAATTAAAGAAAAGTAGAATGCATTTCGCAAATCTTAACTTTTCTGATATTCAGACTTTTCTTATATAAATGTTCTATCATTTCATCTTTTTCTGGTCCTCGCAGACACTTTAAATGTTTCTCTTTTTCATAATTCACAATGGAAGATTGGCAGTGATCGTTCTCTTTACCGTCAGGCAGATACTTATAAGGCACATACCTCAATGTTATTCCCTTCCTTCAAAAGGAAATGATTTCTACTTTTTGAAAAAGAACCAAAGAAAAAAAACACCATCAATGCACAGCTACAAAAATGACAAAAGTACCAAAGAACAACAATACAGTTTGTACCTCATTGTTCTGACGCTCAATAAAAGGTAAACTACTCAATATTTTGTGTTCAGTCACATCAGACTGCAAGGCAATACTAACACTGTCGACAAAGTCACTGCAATACTTGATGGCAGTACACATTCTGAATTTAAGAGCTTTGGAGAAAACGACACAGATGGTTTCCTATGAAAAAAAAACACACACCACTTTACAGCATTTTTAACCATGAGAGGGGGATTCATGTGCTGTGGACCACTGCGGGCCTTTAAGACAATAAAAAACAAGGAGTACTCATATCTATTTATGTAAGCATACATAAAGCACCAAATGGGACCTTTGATCATCAAGAGAAAATGTTCATTTTCATATCAGCTCCTGAAACCGTGCAATCCAACGTCAATAATCAGATTATCACAAACAGAATATAAAAACACTGTTATATACACGTGTGAGTACCTAACTAAATTAAGCCATTTGGATATCAAGTAGACAACTATCTAGGTGCCTCCAAGACTTGGATGATGTGTCCTTCTTTTGGACTCGATACCGTACTGCAGTCACTAAAACACCACTTGGTAAAACTTGTTAGAAGCACTGAAACATTTACAGATTCACAAAATTAACATGACAACAGTTAAAAGTCCACTGTTTTTTAAACTTAGGGTATACAAAGATATCATCGGGGCCTCTTTAAACTAGTGACCCAAGTTTGACCTGCTGTGAGAAGAATGGGTTTGTACCTGTGGGGTCAGATTGGCCAATAGTTGGCACATGAGCTAGCCTGTGCACCGCTGTAGAGGGTGTTCATGTTTAACCTTGAATACATGCATCTTTACTGTCAGTGTGTACAGCAAAAAAACAGGAACATTACACGGAATACTGTTTCAAAGCGGTGAACTTTTGCTCACCGTCGCCAAGTAATACAAAGAGAAGAGCTTCCAAAAATAGCCTACATTCCAGAAAAGGAATATAACTATTTATCTGTACATAATCTGAACACATCCCATTCCTGTGTGGGATGACATTTTTACAAAATAGATGGGTCGGCAACTGCCTGTTCCTCAACACTTAAACACTATAGTTCTTATAATTGACACTTTGGTCTTTGTCTTCACATACACCAGAGTTTTCACTTTCTTTTTTCCTTTTTCTGAAGGGAGGAGAAAGCTGAGAGAAAGAGAGCTGCTACTGCATGATCGCCAGGAACTTGCTCTCCTCAGCAAGTGTAGTGAGGAGAGAGCTCATGTCTCCAATGGCCATGTTGTTCAGGCCAGGGGCCACGCTGTGGAAGGCCGCAGATGTTCGAGGAGTGGTCAGGCGCGATGAGGTTCTGGACAGGCCCTGGAAGATGGAGGGACTCAACACCCCTGAGACCAAGCTACCCTGGTCGAAGCCATCCTCCAGCATGGCACTGAAGTCCAGGTTGACCCCCTCATCTAATCCAACAGGTGCACCGCCGTCTACGGTGCTTGTCACCTGGTCTGCACCAGGGGAGAGAAGGGCAACAGAGTTGTCACTTCCACTGCCATTACCTTGTCCAACTGACTCAGCCACGGAGCCCAGTAAGCACTGCTCCTCCAGAACAGGGTACGATGAGGCCTTTTGATCCACTGGCTGGTAAGAGAGGCAGTCATCAAAGCCCTCCTCAAGGTAACCATGGTCTGGAGCCTCCAGTTTCAGCCCAGATACCTGATGTGCAAGAGAGAAATGGTCACCATTCCTCTGGAGTTGCTGCTGCTGCTGGTTCAGACTACCCTGGATTTCACCAGAGTTCTCAGGATTGAGATAACGCTGGGTCTTGACTGGGTTCCTGTAACCGTTTGGTGGGCGAGGGGCATGGATCTGCCGGTTGTGATGAGGTGCTGTTCCCTGGGGGAGGCTGGGTAGGTGGTTCATAGAGGATCTGGTAAGAACTAGATTGTTCCCAACCTGGCAAGAGGTGTTACTGTTGTGGTTCTGCAGGCAGTGGCTCTGTTTTTGAGGTCCATAGGAGGCCTGCTGCTTGAAACCCTGCAGAGGCCCATTGTTGAACTGTGCAAAATTCTGTCTTCCAAAGGGGTTTGTTGGGTTTTGACCAGTACCTCTCATCTCCATGCAGGATTTGGGTGATGACTCTAGCTTTGCCCCGGCATTGACTCGACAAGAACTTTGCAACTGATTAACTTGAGCGCAACTGTTTTGGAAATCAAGGGATGTTTGCTGCTGGACGACCATGTTTCCAAACCTTCCAAAAGGTGCAGATGTTGGTCCGTGTTCAGTACCTGACCACCGGCCACACTGTGTCTGGTGGTTGTGTTCTCTCAGAGGGGACCTTTCAGCACTTCCAGAGCTCACTTCGTTCCACTGGATTGGAAGCTTACTTGGGCTCGTCCGCTCAACCATCTGCTGCTGCTGTTGGAGACAATGAGGCCCCGCCAAAGTCATATGAAACCCAGTCTGGATCTGTTCTGTCTCCTCCATAGATAGATGGGAGTTGTCCCTTTGGCTAGAAGCTATTTGGTCCTCAATGTGCACATAGGAACTGCCATCCCCCTGAACCTGGGAGTGGAGATATTGCACCAAGTCATCTGGTAGCATATCTTCATCCCCAAGCAACAGACCAGCCTCCCCTTCATCCTCCATGGCCAAGGCTTCTAAGGCAGCGTGTTCTGCGATGCTCGGAGTGTAAGGTGAGTGTTGCAGACCTCTTTGCAGGTTGCCCTCAGAGCGGGTGTAGTTCTGGAGGCTCAAGTTGCGAGTTTCAGCTGTAGAGTAATGGGACAGAGGTGGGAGAGGGTGGAGGTTGTTAAGGCTGTTGAAGCGTTGTACTGGGGGCAGATTGTAAATATCAGGGGCTTGTGTCCGCACTGGGTCACTAGCCCTCCGGTTCCCATTCAGTGGCCCCTCGCCAGGAAGTAGTACCCTCCTCCTGTAACCTGAATGACCCATGTAACCATTTGTGTACCCGTTGGTGCCGTCACTGCAGCGATGTGGCCTGACAAGAGGTGGCAAAGACTGGTTGCTGCCACCTTCATCCATCATGGCCATACGAGTCTTCAAGCTCATGCGCTCCATGTTGGGCAGAGGCGTGGGAGGTGGGCCTCCTGTTGCTGCCGCATACTTGGCTTTCAGGTGGTAGTGCTGTGCTGGGGTTAAGTTGAGCATCCCTCGTGACCCTCCTGCACCTACCCCTCCTACACTTCCACAGCTCCCAGCTAAA